AAGGCCAAAACTTTGACCATTCAGAGAAAGAAAACAAATAAAAAGGAGCCGAGGACGTATAGAGCTTCCGATAAGCGCCCATCGGATACCCTGGAAAGGCCCAAAAAGGACATATTCGGATGCTACGAATCATTCTTTTGAAGTTACGAAATTAAGGAAAAAAAACCTCGTTAAATTATAAATTTCAAAAAATTTATCAAAAGTTATACGTTTACAAAAAAATTGAGATTTGAAAACTCGAAAAACCGAACCAATGTTGAACTGTAGTCGAGAGCAGTGAAATTAAAAGCCAAGAGAGATTTTTAGATATCATTTTTGAACTCTCACGTTTCACGTTTTCAACCAACTAGAAGTTCAATGGATGACCTTTTAAGCTTCAAAAAGAAAAGAACGAGAAAGAAACTCGTGAAATGGGAGATCGAATGCCTCAGAAGCACGGAAATAATAGAGAAAGACCCAAGTGGAAAAGCAATCGAGCAGCCAAAACAAATCGCGATTCGCCATCTTCTCCACCACTTATCTCCTCGCCCACGGCTGCCCTTTGACCTGACAAGTTCGTCCTTTTCTCCAACTAACCCTTAATTATACCGTTCGAAATATTTCTAAAATTCGTTCTTATCAAGCAAATTTTCTATTTTCTAGAGGTCATGTGAAAAGAGAGATGATGAACGGTTGCACAGCAGTAGTTAATGGCTCAATTTGGAGGCTCGCTTTGAAAAAAAGGGATCATTTGGGTTATGAAATACACCACTTTCCGAGTCCTTTCCACTGTTTTGGGGTTCTCTACAAAGAACTCCCTGCACCAAAAAAACTATTTGCAGAACTGCAAAAAAATTGAGTTAAATTTTTCGGATATTTTTGGCTAATTAATAAAAAAAGAAGTTGAAAACGAAAAAAAGTTCAACCGATGAACACGGCTAAAGAAAAAAATGCCTTTCGTCCGAAGTTGAGAAAATGTTTGATCTCATTTTTTTAATTTCCCGCCAATAGAAAATATATTTCAATAAAGTCAACCAATTTTGAATTGACTTCGTTTTTTTAAAACCTGTATCATGAAAAAAAAGTGATGTTGTTAGCATTTCAAAAGAAAAGCAAATAAAAAAAGAGCGAACTGTTTTTTTATAATTCACATAATTCATCTCATTTTTCATTGATTCTCATCCGTTTTTGCGTTGAAAATCGACACATTTTCGGTTGAAAAATCTAAAAATCTCAATACAGTTAAAGCTTTTCCTTCTTGAGACTTCGAATAAATTCAAAACGCGATCGTTGAAAAGTTTTCTACGAAAAAAAAAAGATTGATAGAAAAGAAAGTGAGAAAACGAACGGAACACTGGGCGGAAATCTGCCAAAGGCCGCCGTTTCAGAAAAAAATTAGATCATTCTCAAACTGGTGCAATAGTATGATGAATGAGCTTTCCGAGCGGCTCCGAAACTCACAAATCAAGGCAAGAATTATACACAATTACTTCTTCTGTTTCGAAGCTTCCTGTGTTCTAATCAAAACAATTTCCAAAATTCTCGAAAAACTCAATGAAAAAGAACTCCAGTGAGTTTCCACAAAGCAAAGATGATCAGTTAGCCGAACACCCTGGGGCATTTTTTGTCTTCCCAATACTGAACGGCGCCATTATTCAGCAATGATGTTTTTCAAGACTCCCAAAAGCCCGCTGAAAAGCTGATGGATGAGCAAAAACGCTACAAAGACAGCCAAACAGGCAATTAGATTTGAGCATACTGAATTGCAAGACGATTCGAAATAAGAGAAGAAATATAGACACATTTTGGAACGGCCATTCGGACGCAGATGAGAGCAACCAAGAAAAAACAAACAAATTTTCCGGGTTAAGAAAATCTGCCAGAGAAAAAAATCCATGTATTGTTGACACTTGGCCATGTGTCAAGTAGCCAGTGAATCTTGAAAACAATTTCCAGGAAAAAAAGAAGATTGAAGTAAACTTCGGAACACGGCGACGTGTAAACTCCTTCGGAAACTCAATTTGAGTGCGAACAAATCAAAAAAAGTTGCCAACATTTTTTTCTGGCCATTCGTTATATGGGAAAAAAAGTGAGAAAATGCAATTTGACCAAATATTTTTGATGAGGAACTACTCTTTCAGAGCTTGCAAAGGGTTAGCTGAAGGACGAATGGGGAGCATTTTGATGGGTCTTCTGAAGTGTCAGCGCGTTTCATGCAAAAAGAAAGAACATGAATTTAATCAGTACATGTAAGAAACTTTGCAACTGTCTAGAGTTTGTTGGCGCATTAAACGAGGAAGTGTTCTTTTCGAAAAGGAACGGCACAGCTGATGAGTAGAAGAGAAGTCTGGACCGAGGTGCTCATGTTACACAGCCGAGATGTTTTCGAGTCGACCGGACTGACCGCCGGACCCACGGCTACACTTTCAGACACCCGAGAAAAGCAACTGTTCGCACCAGGACGCAACCATTCAAAAGTGATTTGACCTAATGATCTCTACGCCTTTGTTCTCTTAAAAAAGATTCCTCTCGAAGAATTAACATAGCTCAAGAATAAAAAGAGATGAATTATTCATTTAACCTTATAAGTTTTTTTTTCTCAATTGGTATTAGGAACACAAAAGAAAATGGCGGTTTCAGAATAAACCTTCGAAATTCCCTGAACAACCTAAAATTTCATTCTGAAAATCACTGTTGCCAGCATAATTGATGAGAAACCATTAAAAGCGAAGAAAAAAAGTGACAAGAGACCAAACGGCGATAAAACCCGTGTCCGAAGGTTACGTGTTGCTCCCGTGGGACTCAAAAAAACTTTTCGGTTCTTTTTTTTCGACGCTCATTTTCTTTTTGTTATGTCGTCTGCTTTCTTCCTCTAAACACGAAAAAAGAAAGAATTTCTTGAAGAACGAACAAATAAACTTAAAAAAGAAGAGTCACGAGCTTCAATTCATTCGCTTTGAGTGAGAATGTCACTTAATTTTGAAGAAACTCAAAAGACGGTTTATCGAAATGGCTGAAGACAAAATTCAAATTGAAAAATTTTTAGAGAAGCAAAATTTAAAAAAAAAAGTTGTACCTAGTAACACGAAGTGAAACTAAAAATGTTCTGTCAAAAACAAAGTCGTAAACATTTCAAAAGTAATTGGACGAGAGCCGGAGATTGCAGCCAAGGATCAACAGAATCGTTCTTCTCAACTTGACAGAATGTCTTTTTTAAAGGAGAAAAGCTGAGAGAACAATACTGGAGGCCGAAAATAAGTGATACGAGGCCGGCGTCACGATGGAAATATGTCAAAAAACGGGTAGAAAACTTCCGCCGAGAGTGATTTGATTAGGTTTCGTGTGGGGTAAGCTGAGGTCCTTCGAAATGGAATTCGAATGGGTAGGCGGCCGAGAGCGTTTATTATGCGCATCGAAAAGCGGCACTTGGCTTCTTGCTTTTCTTTCAGCCTTTCGACAAGAAACGGCTATCTCCGGAGGAAAACCACGTGGAATTCTTGCCGCGGCTACTCTCGACTCTTTCGTCCGGAAAATTCTTCGAAAGGTCAGTCTTGTGTCATTCGAAAGTTATTCCCACGTTGAGTAGCATTACATCACTAAGTTCGGGAAAAGAAAGTTCACTGCGACAAAAATATGACGAATTCTTACAACGTCTTGAAGCGTGGTAAGACCACCCTCTCCAATATATCTTTTAAAATTCTTTTCTACTACTTCACAAACTGCCCAAAGATCGAATCGATAGATTTATTTATCAAAAAAAAAACTGGACGGCGACAAAAGCCGTTCTCCAAATGTTTATAAAATGAAGAGTTATAGTGAAGCTTCTCACTGCTAAAACAAAAAAAAAACCCTCATTCCTTTCCAAACTATTGAAAATTTGTTTTTACAACTTAATTTCCAATGAAATCATTCGAATCATCCGAATTGATGAGATTAGGAAGATGAAAGTTATCGCATTTCAAAAAAACGGCTTATGTGTATGTGAACTTCACAAGTGTTCGACGGGAAAGATTATTTTTGGGTACACACGTCAAATGAGCTAAAATTGGAAATGTTCTTCACTGTTAGCACCGACGCGGAAATGAACTACCGCGCACACTACAAACTAACTGGCGAATAAGCTTTTCGCGTAGATAAAGTTCAAAAACTAGAGATTTGGTCTTTTTTTCAAAAAAATTATCATATTTTTATTCAATTTATTCTAGATGCTACTGTATTTAAACGTCGAAAAAAACCGAAAAAAAGCTTCGAATTGGGAAACTCGGCTTCCGCTTATTTTATTGCTTTTTTTAATGCTAATTCCCTAGTACTTTTTCGTTAAAGTCCGTTTTTTTTTAAATTTTTTTGTGACTTGCTTTTTTTAGATAACAATACTAAAAAAATGCAATTTTTTTCGGAAAGTTCTCATCGAAAATAATTTTTTTGACCAGCCTACAATACAACGACAAAAAAGAGCAGAGACCCAATTTCAGTCACTTCAAATATTCTTAATATTACGACAGAACAAAAATTCCGTCGTCAGGGAAATAAATCTGATTTAATTTGGAACCGAGCCAAGAGCTCTGCGAGTCAAGCCGCAAAACAAACAAAACTACCGTATTTTGGTGAAAAAGGCCGTTCGAATGAATAAAAACACCAAAAAATGTCAGAATGAGAAGGAGATATTGTGACTCTGCACGCAACTTTTTTTTCTCATAATAAAATGACTTTTTCTGGAGCGCCAAAAAATCAGATCTTAAAGATAACTTTCTGCTTTTAAAAAGTTTAAGGAGAAAAACTATTGGGCATAAAACTGAGAGAAAAAAAAGCAGGGAACTGCTCAGCAATCATCTCATAATGCAAGTTTACGGAAATCATACTGACAAGTATGGATGAAGTTAAAAATCACGGCTAAAAAACTAATCTTCTTTAAAAACCTGAAATGCTTCCCATGTTTTCCGTAGAAGCGGCTCACATAAGTTGAATAGCTTGTTTGTGATTTTTTTTTCTTGGAATAAGTCTGAAAAAATGTAGAAAAAATACTAACGCTGCCAAGAGTTTCTGGGAGACGAGGCGTCGACCGAAACCACGCTCATTTTCTTCAGAGCTCCGCGCTCGACGTTGGCCTCGCCCTGATAAGACTTCTAATGGATGAAAAAAGTTTTCCTTTTTAAGCTTTTAATGATTTCTTTAGTAATCTGATGACTTTCCCATTTCAAACTTTCAAAATTGAAAAACATACTGCGGTGCTGAACCGTCGTTGAACAAGACTGTGCGGCCTGGGACGTTGTTTTCTTTCACTGCCAAACGACTTTTCCTCGAGAAAACCTTCCAAAAGACCGCCGAACGCCATTTGAACTGAAAATTGTTTTCTTGAACATTGTGAGAACTACCAGAAAAATAATAACGGTGGGAGTTTTTCGGAAAAAAAGGAAACAGACTAATAGAATTTCGTTCTCATCGTAAACTACTACTACAAAATGCAAAATAAACTGCTTTTTATCAAAAAAATCTCGAAATTAAAAGCTTCGCTGACACCAAATGAATAAAATTCAAAGACATGAACTCATATGAGAGCCTCAAAATCGACTTCATAAGGGTACTCCTTGGCCTCTAAAAAAACAAATCTGACGTTTTGGATTTCGTGTCCTGAATCTTTGAGTGGAAGAAGAAAAATAACGTGGGCACCTACTATTTCGAAACAAAAAAATCCTAGCAAACTTTGCAGCCTTTCAGAAAAAAAAAACTTCTCATCGAATAATATATTAATAGAAAAAATACATCACGAGAGCGAATCTAATCAAACTTCACATCTTATGAGAAAGAAATCAGATAAGTATTTTTTTTCCCAAAAATTCGCTTCGAAAGTTTCTGAAAAAAAGTATCTAAAATGTCAACGCAAACACGAAGAATCGAAAAAGGTACACCTTTTCAACCATGTTTTTATATTTTACAAAATAAGCGTGTTATTTTTCAAAAAAATGTGATAAATTCTAAAAAGTAAAACATCAAAATTGATTCATAAAATTCAGGGCCGCGGCGCGACGAGAAAGCATATACGCATTGCTTTCAAAAATTTCAAAATTATTTTTTTGATAACGGTCCAAGTCATAGATGACAATATTCCGTCATTTTTAAGTTATAGACTAGAAAGACGAAAAAATTCTGGAAATTCGATATGAATTTCCAACACGCGATGTCCGAAATTAAAACATTTTTGATGCTTGATGTCCCTTCATAGCTGTTCTTGCTTTCTAAAATTCCCTTCCGGCTAACTAATTTAGGCGCTCCATCGATTGCAGTCAACCCATTTTTGATTCAAAATTCACAAATACATTTCCACAGAAACCGTGAGAAACATTGAAAAAAAATGCACAAAAATTTCGACTTGAGAGCCGAGAAAATCAAACTATACCTGCCCTGTATTATTAGTTGAAATATGTTCTAACTCATCAAAAAAAAATAAACGGAATGAGCTCTTAGAAAGCGCGAAAACACGATATGTTGTGGGCGGGATCATCCAATCGGAAACGTTTGAGAAAGAGCTTCTTCGGGGGTGGCTGAATATATTTATCATCTCGAAAAAAAAAATCACTTTGCAAACTAACTATTTTCAATTTTGTCATTTACTCGGAAATTTAATAATTTTCAGTCCATAGTAAGTTTTTACGTGAACTAAATTATTTTAGAAAACGTTTTTGAAATAACCCGGTAGAAAAAAAGGATTTTTGGAGGCCCAAAGAAAAAGCGCTGGAGGCTGAAACATAAGAGCCTTTCTTATTGAACTTTTGGAAGCTGTTGCATAGCCTGGGGCAAAACGCACGAAAAGCCTCATTTGATCGAAATTGGAAATAATTCAGAATAGATTCGAAAAAAAGTATATTGGTTTAATTTTTGGATCGGAGCGAAGTGAGAGGAGCTGAAAAGGAAACTCTGGCGCCCGAAAAAAACCGAATTCACTGGTCCAAAGGTTGCGTGGAACGAGGCTCAATCTTCCTCCTTGCAACTAAGAATTAAACTACAATTTTGTTTTACGACTTTTTCTCAAAGAGGAACGGAGGACCCCAGGAAAGGAAAAACAGACATGAAACAAAAGAAGCGCGTGAGGTTCCGCACATTAAGAATGAATTCGGGAAGATCCATTTTTCATGTATTTGTGCATCAGAAGCTTTTCTGCGATCAGAAACCTCGACTACCAGAGTTTTTTTTTGTATGCAAAAAACCTTGGTTATCGAAAAAAAAGTTCACAGTTGACGGAAGAAGAGCGAATTATTCAATTCATTACAGTGGAAAGATGCCAGAAAAAGGATAGGAGGTGCATTTTTGTGCGACAGTGCGCGACAGTAAATAAAAATGTTTTAAAGAATAATGTTTTCTGTTCAAAAATATTTGCTGATGGGCTCGAAAACGCATAGAAATGATAGGCCGAGAACCGTTACAAGAGTTATTTTGAGTCAAGGCTCCATGTTGTGAACAGATTTTAACAAACGAATGAAAAAGAAATGTTTTTTGTACATTCTCAACAATTTTCACGACCTATTTCAGTATCATGACTTTATGAAAGAAGAAGAATAAGAGTCAAGTTCGAAAAAACGCCATTCTTTCTATCCTAAAAGAGGCGTGGCTTTGCGTTTTTTATAAGAGTTCGAACTCAGTTACAATGCCTAAAGCCAGAATATTTCGAAAACAATACGCGAAATGGTTATTCTGCATGAGGTCGACAATTATTTTGTTCGGAAGGAGAACTAAGACAAAAGTAAAGGACACTCATTAGGGCCTGCCGAACAACAAAACTGAAAAAAGCGGTCAGGAAGGAAAACATAAAATAAATAATGAATTTTTGCCCTTTTTGCCTCGAAAAGCCGGAAATTGAGCATTCGCACTCGTGGCCGCCGTTCAAATGTAAACTTTTTCATCTGGACGCGTCGACAGCTGACTTCTGGATCTTCGAGTATTTTTTCGGCATTGATTCTGAGAATCCTCTGACCCGTGAAATGGAAGTAAAGAAGAGAAAAAGCAGTACGTTCATTTATGGGAGGAGGAAGGATCCAGCAAATTAAAGGGTGGAAGACTCGGCACAGTTAAACATTTTATGGGTTCTCTTTCCAGCAATCCTTTCGGTGTTCCAAAAGTCCTCAATTGGAAACTTCCTCGCATTTTCGACGTTGCTTCGAGTTTTTTTTTGTTTCATTTTCACTTTACGAGAAGTTTTTTCCAACCAAAACTTCGAAGAGCTCAATTTCTTGTTGATTTTCGGAAAAAGGCAGAAAAAAGAAATAGAGAAATGGGAGGTAAAAATATTTCTTTCCGTTCTTAGGAGCCGTCTTCTACTTATTGAGTTTAGGGGACATTTTGAATCGTATAATACATTTTATGGAAGAATGGAACATATTGAAAATTTCTTGACCAAAACTAGGCGTTCTTCGAAAAAACACCTTCAGAAAAACACCAATAATATGGATGAAGCAAAAAAAAACTGCTTCCGCTTGGTTCTCATGATTTCTGGATTCGTGTTTTTTTTTTGCTGAAAGCATGTGACTGGTAAACCAAATCCTTGCGTATCATTTGGAATGTATATTTCATGAACTTTTATTTTTTATTTCTTTATTCGAAAACACAAAAAATAGATAATCAGAAGCCGCGAACCGTAGTGAAGCACGCAAAATAAATTGTACCACATATCAGATAAAAGCAGAACAAAATAAGGTAGTGTGTCAGTGTAACGTTTTAGAATTCTTTATTTATTTTATGAGGATCTAAGAACCCGTTGTTCAAATAATAAGAATCGAGTCGTTCTTTCTCTAAACACAAAAGTACCAGTACTAGGCAGCACTAACAAAATCGATATAGATAATTTCGGACATCTAGTCGTACTTTGAGCAAACGCAAAGACTATTTCTGGAATATGGGGCAAGGCAAACCTCAAAAAGGCACAATCAAAATGATGGTGGTGTTAAGAGAAGAGGTACACGTAGACTTCCAAACGAAAATCTGAGGTCAGGGTCCGACTCGATTCGATCTTTTTCCGAAGCTCGGACCGGCGGGCGGCGACTGGTCCATCGACAGGTCTGGAGAAGGCGACAGAGGCCGGGCCGCCGGAGACCTTACGAATTTGCCCGAAGTCCCGGGCCGCACCGTGATTCCGATGTTGGAAGAGGTCGCCGGTCGATCAGCCTGAAACAGTCAATTGAACTCCAGACTCGCATTTTGGAATAAATAATGTTCGAAATGGAAAAAGTCTAATCGGAAGTTGTTTTATTACTTCCTCGAAAAGTTATGTTGAACAGATCGCAACTTTTTTCCATGAAAATTGAATCAAGATCACAAATAAACTGTCAGCTTTTAGTTTTCAAGCCCTTTCCATCTTCAGTCATGCTTAATTCAGATACATAGATCTCCAACCTGAACATTCCTTGCAAGCCGCAAACATCGACTTGAAAAGACATATTTTAAGACAAAATTGAAAGACAGGACAAAAACTTCTCAAAAGCTATTGCGGACTTATGGAAAAAAAAATCTTTTTTTTTTAGGTCTGACTTCTAAAGCGACAATTGATATCTTGAAAATGTCACAGGAATCATATCTGTGACAAAAAAAAGATCACCTTAATCCGTTGTCCGGCCCTCCGCACATTACTGCTCGAATCAGAAACGTGCACTTCTGGATCTGGCTCCGGCTCGGGAGAAGACGGCGCTTTCTCGGCTTCTTCGTTTGTCTCACTCACGACCACAACGGACAGTTTTTTCGGACCCCCACTAGTTTCTTCTGGTTTTGGGGACGTGATAGGAGACCTGAGCAGACAGAGTCTTTTTTTCAATAAGAGGGAGGGTACCTGTGCGATATTTGACCTCTGGAAGTAGATCTTTGGGTGGTCGAAGACTCGGCCTCCGGGATCGGCTCCATTTGGATGGCGGTCGCTACTCGTCGACTGTTGTTCGAGGCTGTAACAGTTCTTTTTTTTTCGAAAATAGTAAACGTGGTAAATCATCAATTTGAATATTTTACTTGCTGATCCATTCGGAAGAGGACCGGCAGGAGCTCTACGTTCTTCCGGAGGCGATACTCGGCCATTGCCGGTTATGGAAGGCTTTCGATGGTGAAGGACGTTTCCGTTGCTCGTCCCTGGATGTTAAAGTCCAACTCGATCCTTCGATCTCTGCGCAAACCTCCGTTGTGGATGATCTGCGTGGACTGCTGTTCCTCCTCCAGACGTTTCAGTCGCGCCATCTCCATCCTTTTTTGGCGGCTTTTCTGCTTCGCCAGCATCTTCCACTTGGTGATCGCTTTGGTGACCGTTTGGAAGGTCCTTTAGATCCAAATGTGGTTATCTTCCCTGACAAGAAAGTACCTGGTGGAAAGAGGTTTCTCAATAACGTATCGTGCAACGTTTGTTCCAGCGAGGCCATGCTCGATGACGTCAGCACCGATTTGTTCTTCATAATCCGTGACACGAAGACCCAAAGGACTTTTGCTGAGCAGCTGAAAAGGAAAAATATCATTCTGAGATTTATTCCAACTTTCTTACGAAAAGAACAAGAAGTCCACATGCCGCCGAATAGACGAGAATGACGACTGTCGCCAAGGCTTGGACGCCGAGGAGTTTGAAGCTCCAGGAGTACAACAGCCCCTCCATGTTGTTCGTTGCTCCAAGCTGCAAATCAAAAGATGGATAGAAGACCTTGGCGGAAACGAAACACTTTATACTTTCTGGTTTCAAAACGAAACTCAAAAACGAGCTTCGGCTCATAATGTTTATTTTCTTTCTTTGGTGTTTTTTGTTCTTTTTTTTTACATTATCTTTATCATTTCGGGCCGACGAATGAAGTGACTTTTTCGAGATAAACTCCTAAATATTCATATGAAAACATCTATACAGCTTTTTTGAATGTCTTAATTTACAACTTTTAAACTTTTTTTTTTGAAATTAGACTGAATATCTGTCTTAGAAATTTCCCAAGAATCTCACCAAGTGTTTGTCTTTCTCGCAGAAGATCCCGACGGCCAACATTCCCCAAATCGAAGACGTCAAATGGATTGGCACAATACCAACAGGATCGTCGATATGAAGTCGTTCAAGGACCGGCAGGACCATTATCGAGAAGACAGAAGACACGGAGCCTATGACCAAGGCGTGCCAAGGTCTCGAGACCGCGCACATTGCTGAAAACTTTTTGCATTTTCCATCGGAAAGCCTTATTTCCTTGCCTGTGATTGAAACGATGGAAGACAATATCCCGTTGATCAGGTAGTTGACCTGAAGTTTTTTCGTCTTGACGAAGCTGATCGTGATGGCAGTTGCTCCGCCGCCGATCGAGCTCATGATGGTGGCTACGGCGGCTCTGAGAATATCAGGAATAGTGGAATGACGTAATCGGATAAGATGAACCTGGCCCCCAGCCGCCATCTTCCCCCGGTGATTCCCCACACCGATCCAGCGTTTATGCCGAACCAACCCCACCAAAGGAGAAACGTTCCTAAAAAGATTAAATACAATCTTGGAAAGCGCGAGCCATTTTTAGAGCTCTAATTCTCCAAGATCTTATTGAATTCCGCAAAATTAGGAGCCGAAAGGCTGACATTTCTAATTTTTGAACGTTGTATTAATCTTTCAGTTAACAAAAACTGACCAAGTAGAGCGTTGGTGGGGCTGCTCATCTGATGGACACTGTCTTCATTGAAGCGATTTCTTCGCGGCTTCAGATAAACTGTGGCGATGAGTCCGATGATGCCGCCGACCATGTGAACCTTTATCTCGATAGACCCAAAGTTCAAGTGTTCATCCTACCGCCGAGCAGCCCGCGAAGTCGACAACGCCCATCTTGTAGAAAAAGCCTTCTTTATCCCAAACCCAATGCGCCGGAGCTGCCTGAAAATTTTTCTCTGTTAGCGTCCAGACAGAAACTCGCGGACCTGAATCAGGATAACTATGCAACCGAGAAGAATGTAGGACTTGAGCTTGGCTCGCTCAGCGACAGCTCCAGAAACGATGGTAGAAGCCGTCGTGGCGAGGCTCAGCTGAAACAGGAAAGCGGCGTAGGACCAGCCCTCCTGGTTGACGTTCTCCTTGTTGCCGTATTCTCTGAACACAACTTTGCTACTTCTCAGTTTCTGGTCTAACCTTGTTGGGTCGTAGAAAAACTTTCCGAAGCCGATGTAGGGGTTACGAAACGGTTCATAGTCCCCGTAAGACAAGCCGTATCCCAAACTCCAGTAGGAAAGTCCTCCGAAAACCACGTCGACCACGTTCTTCACCATTATGTTCACTTCATCTTTCGCGGACACACTTCCTGACTCCAGAAGACCGAACCCTGAAGGCTTTTCCTTTGAATGGTGAAAAAGAAAGGTCGGTTTCGTTTTTGTTTGAGAAATTTTTAGAAATTGACTGGAATATTCCTTCATGTAGCAAAAGAAAGATTCTGGGAGTCTAAACCTGCAAAAATTCCGAATTTTTGAGAGCAGAAGCCTCAAAGCTTGTTTGCCTGTACCCACGGTTTCTCCAAAAACAGGCTGTTGAAAGGTAAAGAATTTCAAATTAATGTGATCAATTTTTAAAAAATTCCCAAACCCAAAGTATATGAAGGTTTCTTATAAATTGTTTTCTGAAACCTCTCCAAAGAATGATGAATTTAATTTTAACGTCTAACTTAGGATAAATTCCAGTTGAGACGCTTATTGAACACCGATATTTCATTCACACAAACGAAATGAATTCCCCAGGACTACAATGAGAAAATTCATTGATTGATGTTTGAACTTTGAAAAGGCTCTACAATTATTTTGTCAATTCCACCAGAATAGGAATGGTCATCGTTTTTATTCAATCATTTGAAGCTCGAAAAACGCGAGAGAAAAGCAATTACTTCGTCTCGTTTGGGAACGAATATCTTCGAATAAATCGTGTAGAACTAATTTCAAAAAAACCCACTTTTTCTTCTTTGATGACTTCACAAAAACTCACCAGAGTGCATGGTGAAGATGATGAAACTGCTGGTAATGATCCAAACGGCGTCGTCTTGGTACAACTTGTCCACCTCGCTGCCCGTCATCGTCTCCGCATAATGGTGGATTTCTGAAATTGAAACAGTTCAACTGAATTGTCAGCTCTGGATTTGAGAAAATTCCTAAGGAAGTTTTTTTGGCGTAAAGTTTCGAGATTTTCTCAAATTTCCTCAAACAACTTTTTGAAGATATATTAATATCCCTGGTAGTCGTTGCAACCAAAGTTCTATTTATAAAGTGGTGAGCTTTCTAATCTTTCTTTCAAAACAGTATAGGCTGGAAACCAATATTTAGCAGCTTTTAAAATGATTCTAGCAAAAATATGCTAGTAGCCACCATGGATATGTTATCTACCCCTTTAAATAGTGTTCGGGGTAATTTTTAGAGAATACAGAAAACACTTTTTGTTATCTGTACAAATTTTGTAAAACTAAAGCCCATTTTTTTTCATTACGTTTTTCCTCCCTAAATTTATGGAAAATTTCTTCCGATCCTAATTTTTATACTTTCTCTGGTATCAAATTTTTTGTGATTTTTCATAAAGAATAAATGTACTGACGGACGATCTGCATGGTGGAGACGTTGATGACGCCCGCCGCCGGGCCTTGGTTCGAAGCCATCGTCTCAGCGAAACGTCGAGCTCATTCCTCTCTTGTGCCAGCCATCTTATAATCGCATCCTGGATTCCATTCGGTTAGAACGAGAAACATAGAACGATCGAGCAAAGAACGAATCGTATCCAGGGAATGTTATTTTAAAATAAAGACCAAGGCAGTGAAAAAAGGGAGGTCTTAATAAAAAGCGTAATCTCGTCAATATTATATTTAGATTATAACGATCGGGTTTTCATGCACAAAAATTTGAGCCGAGAGAAAACTTGAGTCAAAACGCGAAAAATTTTCTCGTCATCTGTCAACAAGCATATTTGACCTAAATATACTTACTGACTTTTGTGAATTTTCAAATAGATCTTTGGAATTTGGATTGAGACGCCATGAGATTTTTCATGCCTCATCATTTACCAGCCACATGTCTCCGCCTCTTTTTCTAACTTTTTAAGAGAAAGACGCCTGAACTTGATCGATCTCACATGTGCAGTCAAACCTGACATCAATCGCTCGGTTGTGATCGAAATGACTCATTTTCAGCCTATATTTCGAGCTCTTATCGGAGCACAGAATGCCCGAAAGCGAAAAGGAAGCCGAGGCTCTCTCCCATACAACAATGGATCACCCAAAGGCAAAACGAGGATTGTGGACGTTAACGCAAATGAGAAGGATTCATGAATAAAAAACGAAAGAAGGAAAATATGGAAAAGAATGGGAAGTCGAACAATTGGGAATGCATGCGTTTATCTTAAAAATAGGGTGGAAATGAAGATTCGAGAAATGAAGATTCAGTTATAAAGTATACCCGAAGTAAAGACCAATAATATAAACTGTGTGATACTCTTTTCATGCACTTCGCGATTTCCCAACAGTTTTGCTAAAAGATGCTCAATTCGAAAGCTCACCAACAGAAATAGACAGAAATATTGAAAGTGAGGTCGGAGGAGCACATATGCAAGAGGAATGGTTGCGAGCGCAAAAGAAACGAAGAGAACAAGGAGGATGTGGCTGAAAAACAGCAATTTGAGACGTCGTCGCCTTGATTGTAGCTCCGGACACGGGAAACCAACACGAGAGGTCTTAGGCTCTCGAGTGGCGGCGCCGACATTCCGGAGAACCTCTTACAATAGCCTTTTTCCTATCTCAGAGCTGGAAGATGGAATTTTAAAATTTTAAAATCGGAAATCAAAATGCAGTGATTTGCTTGTGGTTCTAACTTATAAGAGTTTCAAATTACTATCGATAAAGATTCAAAAGCATGGCTATGAGCAAAACGGCATGATCAACCATCGCAGCTATGAAAAAAAAAATATATTTGAAGTCAGTACTTTTCTTCCAATTTTTTAAACCAGTTGTGAAAGATAAATTATTCCGCGGAATCCAATATCAGTATTAATTTAAGAAAGAGCGAGCGATAACAGCTGATTTTTTATGAGCACACGAAGTAACAGAAAGACCCGTGCTAACTCATTGAAAAAGGCTGACTCGGCTCCCACGCTCTGATAATACGTAAAACAAGAAAATATTGATCTGAAGAACACCTGAGAATGTTCTTTGAAAGTAATGAAGAGAACAGAAAAATGGCGTTTACTGTTTAGAAAATAGTTTAGAGCTCAAATTGGAGCTGTATTGCGTCAACTTTTCTATTCGAATCAAGAGGAAGTTTCGTGGTTTGTGAAGGAACGTCTTCTAACTTCGGGTAGCCGAAAAAAAACGTTTGGCTGACAGATTCCGATGGAAGCTGTCAATTACTAAGCACTTTACTCGGAAAACTAGACAGCGTAAGGAAGTTTTCTTCTGCTTTTTCTTTGACTTTTTAGAGTTCGATCTTCTGAGAACTACTCTAAAGAGCGACTTTCTTTCCCACTCAAACCGATTTTCCCTGCCTTTTCAGTTCAATTTGTGTTTAATGAGAAAAAAAGTGGAAATAGTGGAAAAGCCCTTCGGGATAATGATGAAAAATACTTTGTTGATATAAACTTTTGAGAAGAGAACTACTGAAAAATGACTTTGTTTTCCACCAACAAGGAATGTAATTTTTCGTTTCTTTTGAAAATCTTCTGAAAATCGGTCAGAGAATCCTATCATTTTATACCAAACATTCGCCGTGAAAAATTTCTAGAAAGGGTCTATTGAAGTTAGTTTTTGCTTTAAAAAATTGAACTGAATAGCGGAATTTCGAGATAACTGTTCTCAAAAAAAATAAAAGTTTTTTTAGATTGAAACTTTCAGAATCAGAATCTCTTTACTCAAAAAAAGTTTTTCTGGGCAAGTTCTGTAGGAATTTCGAACGAAAAGTAGAATTGACTTTCTTGTCAGACCGATTTTTCCCAAAAAAATTCAGTTTTATTTTTCTGTAGAGAGAAAAAGGCGCGAAAGAACAGAGAGAACGCCAACGAAGCTGTAAAATGAAATGAAGGAGAACCGAACAAAACGATGGCCCATAAATTGTGAGCCCTAAATAGAGGCTTTCTAACGATCCCACTTGGAATAAAACATAAACGGCCTGAGGGGGTGGCGCCTCCAAAGAACCAGGGCCTAAGCCGCGCCTTTTCCGTCAACAAGCAAGATTCGAGCCGAATTCGGCCAAGTCCAGAAGTTTTCACGTTATTTCGGCAAATATTTTCCGAAAATGAACTTTTTCGCAACGATTAGAAAATAGTTCAAAAGAAAGGGATAGAGAGAAATGGCTGGCTACAAAATGAAATGAAGCACTCGAAAGATTTGAGAAGTGCTCTTTTATGACGAGATTATAGCCAGTGTAACCCCATCTGTCAAATAAAAAATAAATCGGATTGAAAATTATACATAATCCTCTTTTATTCAAGCTTCATAAAGTTGAATGAATTTTTTTAATTCCTTCTAAAAACAACTTATAGCAAAATGAACAACGAAATTTTTCCCGCAGTCAAGGTTCTTTCAAAACTTTAAAATCAGTTTACTTTTTAAATATATTTTGCATGAGAAAACCTAACAAGAAACTTTCTCTCACTACTTTTTTTTTCCTTTACAGCAGAATCGGATGAAAAGAAACGGAGAAAATTGAACAGGGTGCCTTAACAAAAAGCTTTTTGCGGAGTTTCTACGTTCCCAATTTGGGCTCGGTTTAGGCACAAAAAAAGCGGAACGTGTTTTTTTTTTTTGCCGTCTCAAAGTTTTCCGAAAGTCGAAAAGAGTGTGATGATCTAAAGGAAAGAAAAGTCCAAGGGTGTGAAATCCGAGAAAACGCGACATTTAGCGCTTCCAAGCGGATTAATGGCGTCGATGTGTGGCTAGCAAGCATTTTCGTCCTTTGCCGTCCTTATGCCAGAGCCCGACTTGCAGATTTATTCGGGAGAGTCTTTGAAAAATGAAAATGAAACTTTTTTCTAAAGTAGGTTCTCATTTTTTGTTGAGTGTGAGTCATTGTTGGAAAAAAAGAACGCTACAAATTTCTTAGCATATCTTGAGATCTTAAGTTTGGCTGTGAAAACCTAGGAAAGTTTTCTCATTTAGCGAATTTCATCTGCAAATTCCTCATGAGTTTTTAAAAGCGCAGAAAACTGAAAAAAAATTCAAATTTTCAAAAAACGGCTCTTTCTCTTTGTATTTTTTGAACTTTTCTCACCCTTTTTCGAAGAAGCCTGCAGAAATTTTTGTGACTTCACGAAAAAAAACATTTCCGAAAAAATATAAAGATAAACGTTCGAAATCTACAAGAAAATCTACAAAATCCTCGACGAAAAAAACTTCGGTCACTTATGAGCCAAAAAACGGCTACTTTGATTTTTCAAACCAAAGCTTCAATTTTCAAGAAAATGATACTTATCCTTTTGCAAAACATATTGAAAAATGCATATTTTATGATTAACGTCATTAAATAATCAGAAACTACTAGTTATTTCTGGAAGAGGTTTGGTGGCAAGAAGACATTAAGACGGCAGAAGGATCTCTTTGAATATTCTGTGGATGCGATGAGCTTTTTGATATTTCATCGTGTGGTCGAAGTGCAACAGGAAGCTCGGAAAAACCAAGAAAAAGAAGGAAAAAGCTTTGTTATGAATCGACAAGAAAGAAGATGGACGTTCTGTTCTCTAGCGATACCTAATCGCTTTGTTTTGTAGTGGCAAAGAATTTCTCGACCTAACAGAAGCCCTACGGCCTTGTTTATTATGTCTGCAGAGCAGGTAGCAACAATTTCGTTTCGCTGAGAATTCGCTCAATTTTTTGATCCGAGATCTCGACAGAACGTCAGTTAGACAACTTATTCAGATTAATGTCCAAAGCGAAAAAAATTGCCAAAATCGCCAAATAGAACGGCCCGAAAGATAAGAAACCAAAGTGGTCCAGACCTCCTGAGGGCCGGTTGCCCCGGCGACACCGGAATCCTTCGTCCTGCACTTTTATCTCCGTATTTCCTTCCGAAATCAGTTTATCTTATATCAAACATTTAGTAAAAACGTTTTTAGAGTTTCAATCTCTGAAATGAAGAAATTCGCTTTTTCTTCTCTATAGGAAAAAGAATGCAAGATTATGGTAGCCTCTAATTGATAGTCGGCGGACGACTAATTATCAGAAAAAATAAATGAACAGATTTTGGGGTCAACCAAGTTACTTGGTTATTTCTATTTTGGTGTTCGAAATTTCATCTTCTTATTAACATTTTACTGATGGAATGAAATCTTGATTGATTTTTTTTTGATTTGAAGAAAATCGGAAACTGAAAGAGAAATTTTTTTAAGAAGCCTCATAAGTGAGAATTATTGAAATATTTAGAAAATTCGAACCTAATATGAAAGTTTAAGTCACTTTTGAATTGGATTAAATATTTGAAAAAATCAATAAAAAAATCAAAAAAATCTCTAACCGAATTTTTTTGGACTTCAACGACTTTTTAAAAATAAAATTGTTGCAAATCGGAAATTGAAAAAAATATGTTTAAAAATAAAGCTCAATTTCGAAAAACATTGTTTAGGTAGAAGCAAACGAGAAATAATGTACGTGAATGGGGCGCAAAGAGCTGGAAAACATGAAAAAAAAAAGAGTTGGCGGGAAATGTGTTCCTGAGGTTTCCGTTATAAGCAAAAACTTTCTGCTCCTGGACATTGTTTTTGAGATTTTTTTTTCCAGGCGAACTTTATCAGAAAGAGCTGGGTGGCCTCATCGTCATTTTCGAAAATGAAATAAAATAAAATCTGGTCGGAAAAATAGAAGAGTTTGATGAGGCTTTTGGCTTCGAAATTGGAACAAATCACGCAATTTTCGACAAAAATGAAGATCCTCCGTGTTTGGCCGAGGTCCCACAGGACTTTACGGAGCATTTCTCTTTTTTTTCAAGCGGCCAACGGTAAATGTTATTGAACGCTCCAGAGGGAACGTTCAAAAGAACACGTTGCTTTTTCTTCCAATGAAATTTACATCCTGTTTTTGTCCGAAATCTTGGGACTTTCCGAGAATTTGTTCGCCTACAAGTGAGCGGTGATCACAAATATTCAAGGCGTTATCATATGTATAATTAACGATCTGATAAATTTATACAGGAAGAAAATTCCTTTAGACTTGAATGAAATCGAAACGTAGAAAAATAAGTGACTAGACTGAGCAAATCTGAAGAAAAAAAGAAAGAAAATGATGACTGGAACATGGAAGTTTTGTCAACATGCAGTGGCCAAAAAGAGTCGCCGTAATAGATTCGGGAAAGCGGAAAAATGAGCGCCCACCAAGTATTTTCCTGGTTTTCGCCGTTGCGTATCCAGCCAACAAGAACACAAATTAAGAGAAAAAGCTTCGACTTTGGCACTATCCGCCTCCATTGTTGGCCGGAAACTCCAGAAGAAGTTCCTCTTTTTTGTCATCCATTTTTTCAAAAAGAATCTAGAAGCGTCATCTGTCACAATAAAAAAGTTGGCACTTAAAATACGCCTTATTCTGAAAGGGAAGCTTGATTATGAGACTCAAAAACAGTCACTGAGAATAATAGCAAAAATATATATTAAATTAAACTCAAATGAGTATCTCTGAAGTGTCTCTTTTTTGAAATTCTTTTGTCTTGAATCAAAACTTCGTTTCGCAGGTGGGATAGATTGAAGCGTCGCGGTTGCGTTGCTGTTACTTCCCAATTCAGAGCAGCATTTAAATCAAGAAACCGAACAATATGAGGTCCGCGATCCGATGATGACCGCCACGCAACCGCGACGCTTTGACTCATTCCATTTACGTCTAAGAAATTTAAAATCGAGTTTGAGAAACTTTAGAGTTGTTCGGAATTCCTCCGGAAAGCAGTTTTATTTTACACTTCCTGGTACAAAAAGATGTCTCGAGGGTCCTCTAAACGATACTATTGAAATAAGAACGTTTCATTGGGTTCTCTATGGCTAGTTCTAATAAAAACAACTCTCCCGGGTAGAAAAAGGAACAAAAATTTGTCCGTGCAAGCGAATGAATGGACGTTGGTTGACAGCCAAGAACTTCTGGCGTCGTCCGAAATCATGGATTGACGTTTCGTGTGAAGAAGTCTCTAGAAAAAATCTCCATAGTGAATCAATGGTTAAACTATCACTGGCAAAGAATACGTCCGAATGAATAGGATAGGGTACAAGTCCACAACTACATTTCCGGCAAGAAAAAAATTTGTTTTGTCCTTTTTGGGAGAGAAAAACTACAATTCCTTTAGAAAACATCAAAGATATACATTATTACAAAATGTCTTACTCAGATTATATAGATAAAGTTCATGAACAAGTAGAGAAAGTATATTTTAGGCATAACTGTACTCGTAGAATATTATTTTAACTTACGAAAAAACGGAATAGTTCTAGGAAATAAAATAAAGCGTAGCTGGACTAATTTTAAAACAAAATTCTTGAAAGAGACAACTGAAACTAACTGGCTAACGAACATTTGTTCTTTCAAAAAAATAAAGTTTTCGAAATGACAGTAAAAATTGAAAGATTGATTCTAATTTGATGGCTAAAATTTTTTTCTTTTTTTTTCAAACTTTCTCCATTTTTTCGGATAAATCTTTCTATTTTTTTCTGATCAAAATATATCGCTTACTTTACGATTAATTGTACAAAGAAAACTCCTTTTTACCTTATCGAGTTTCAATTAACGTAAAAGGTAAAATTTACAAAAAAAATAAAAAAATTGGACAGTATGAGTGAAAAAAAATAATCCTCAAGGTACGAAAGTTTTGCGCCCTAAGTTATCACTTTAGGGCATTCCACACTAGCTAGTTTCACAAATGATACTAAAAGTTGTCCTGAAGATACTTTGAGCATGCTGTTTTTTCACAAAAATACTTTCGAAAAGTAGATTTCTCGCATATGCAGATCGAGATTGTCTTTCTTTATTTTATTTACGCATATTTTGTCTTCTTTCTTTTTTTATATTTCTACGAAGATCGTTTGCTTAATTTTACGACCTTTCGTTGTTTTTCAAGGATAGTGTTTTCATCTTGAGCTTTGAACGTAGGAACGAAGCTTTAGGGAGAGAAGAAACTCTGAACATAATTACTGTCTCTGCGCAGCGATCTGGAAGAAAGAAAACACCTCCGGCGCTTTGGCCGAACACCAAAGTAGTCGTTGGTTGTTGGAGTGTACTCTCTGATAGAGCTCCGGTGAGACCACCCATTCGAGTAATTCATTCGGAGCAATCGAGCTGGAAAGAGGTCTATAATTATAATTGCAAATTGAGAGCTAATTAGGATAAGAAGGTGCGTTCCAACTCAGGGGAGAGCTCGGCAATCGTTGTTTCTCACGCAAAGATGCAAGCAACAACAATAAAGTTCCTTGTCAGGGAAACAGACGCCTTTGCAGGGTCGTTCGGTGGAAAATTGAATGTCAAGAAAACAGATAAAGTTAATGAAAGCCGGTTGCTCGGCGACCGAGAAAAACGGGTTGGCTGTCTTGAAACTCCGAAAATTGAGTCTGAGACGCCTTGACAAGTCGAAGAAATGCGTCAAAGCACCGCCACAAAATGATCAAAATTCATGCACCAAAAGAGCATTCTGATGAGGAGATTCAACTTATCTGAAAAAACCAAAAAGCCGCTAGAAGAAAAAAGTATTTTTTATGAGTAAGAGATCATAAAAATGGTTAAAATAGGGCGAAATAGAAGGATCAAAAGCAAGAAAAAAAATTCAGGCCCCCAGAAACTGTTCTTCGACTTGAAAGATCCGAAGAAAAATAAATTTCCATTTTTTCGAACTTTCTTGATCTTTTATGTTGTTACTCAGGCTAGTTTGGAAAGAATGTTTTTAGGAGGTGCCAGTTTTCTTGATCTCTTGAGCTCAATAAGGGAAAGAAACCTAGAATTTTTTTCTTAAACTTCCGCTTCTTAATAAGTTTAACACAAAAAAAATTTGAAAGGAGAAAAGGGAACTTTTTGTCTTGAGATTCTGCGAAACAGCGAAGCTCCGAGGCTTCCTCTCTCTAATAGACAAATTCATTCCGATTCGCTTCATGAAACCTTCAGAGACTCAATATACGAGTCCGGTAGATGATCGCATAAAGATGAGCTAACTTTTTATCTTGAAGCTAATAAAAAATGTTTTTTAAGTCGTTATTTTTTTATCCAATATGCAAATATGGCGCTGAAATTCTGACTCCTTTGAAATTCCAATAAAAAATAACGAGTTCCGACTGCAAATACCATCTAAAAAAATTCATAACTTTTTCTTAAAAAACCTTAGTTCCACTTCATTTTCATTATCATGAAGCCATATGCGAAGTATGAGTTTTCATGTTTTTCAATTCGAATCCAGGTCTTTATGGCGACCTTATCCCCCATTTCACTTACAACTGAGCTTGTGTAAAAGCTTTTCATTCTTTGCCGAGATCGATACGCTTTCTGCCCTCTTGGCAACGACCCAACTACTAGCACCTAGTCTTAAATTGTTTCTTTTCCCCCGAGATTTATAGCTTATCAACATTATTATTTTCACCGCGCATGTAAATCTCCTTCTAAGTTTCTTGTGCAGCGATAACTTGCTGAATTTCGTCTAAACCCGGAAAATTTTCTGTCAAGAAAAAAAAATGTATCAGACGTTTGTGCATGCTTCTTTTGTCACTTCTTTTTCTTATTTGAAGTTCTGATCAAATCTTTCTTCTGCGCTAATAGTTATGGAAAAGCCTTATTTGGCCGAAAATTCGTCAGCGCGCAAACATTCCGCACGTCTTCTGCCCGTCTTGCGTTACTTTTCCATTCTTACCTTTTCAGTACTGTTTTTCGCCTTGGCTCAGTTTTCCCAGCCACTTTTTTAGTTTTTCAAAACATTCATTCTACCTGCAAAACCATTTGCAGAGGGAAGATTAGGTTCAGAGGCCTCGTTTTCACATTTCCATGGAAATATATTTTTGCGTGTTGTGGAGCACAATTATTCTCAGTTTGGCTGGGAAGCACATTTTGCCCTTTGCGTGTGGCCTCGTACATTTCAATACTATAATTTTCACCCCCACTGTTCGAATTTCTTCTTCCTTTTGAATGTTTGCTTTTCTGAAATTTCTTAATTTTCAAGGGACCGACTCTTTAGAAAATAAAGAAGTTAAATTTCCAGCATGTAAATGGATCAATGCCAATGCTTTAAAACCCTTCAAACAAGATCAATTTTCGCAAGCCTAAGACAATTTTAAATTCCATTGATCCTGTTCAATTTCTGGCCAGCCTGATTTATCATTTCAAGCAGATCAAGTTAGTAGTTTGGAGATACAGTTTCGGAAGTCCTTAACTCTTTTGTTTGACCTTTTTTGATGGCAATCGATTGATTGAGTCAGATTGGAACATTGCAGATGTTGGAGAAGAACAGCTAGTGATGTGAAGTCGGAATGAAGTGGCGGCTGGAAAACAGTTTCTACTTTTTCCTGGCCATCCGTTTGCTCTGCGTTCTCAACTGCGTCATCATTTTGTTCTGCGTAGCTCTTTCGCAGTCATGGACAAGTCGAGCGGCGGCCATCTTCGGCATGGTAGGTCTGAAAAGAATTCCCTTTTTCTAAAAGACTCAGATTTTCACTCTGCTCTCGTGTTTGCTCATCGGAAGCTCAATTGCCACGATTTTCGCCTGGGACCTCATCAAAATGGGTTTCCCCAAGGTTATAGTTTTCTAGAGACAATCCATGTATCGTTTCCTTCAGAGGACTCTATTCTCGTTCGTCTTCATTCTGTCGACCTTGGTCTCTGGAGTCATGTTCCTTCTCTCAACGGCGAGTTGCGACGCCTACAACCGCTTCGGATGTCTCGAGCAGTACTCTTCTGGAACATTCCGAGTGGCTGCAGTGTGTTATTTTTTCATCAATATCTTATTCCCAACAGAATAGACGCATGAGTTTGAATAGAAATCAGCAGAAACCTGACCAAAAATGAATACTTCAAGAACTTGTTCCTTCCCAAAAAAAACGAAACTTTTGTTTTGAGGCCTTTTGCTTTATCAACGTCGTATTCGGAGTTGCTGATGTGGCACTCAATTTTGTGTTCTACTTCAAGGAGGAAAAGAAGCCTCCAGATCGAACATACGACGTTCCGCCCATCTCCGTCATCGATAGCGAACAGTTAAACTTTTTCCCTCGTCACTCGCCCCAAAAAAAGGATGAATTTACAGAGCTGCACACGACCTCTACATGTCATATCAGCGAAAAGGCCAGACAACTTACGTTTGACGTAATTTATTCACATTATGTCTATGAAATTCACATTTATGGAAATATAAAGAAAATCACATTCCTATCGATCACAGAGAAAAGAGAATAACCCATACAGTAACAATCGAGTCAACAATAACGGAAGGCCAACAATAAAAATATGAATAGTCTCCGGAATATATAAGTTATTTGCCCGAGAAGTGTAATCCCTAAAAAAACAAAAGAAAACAACCCGATTAACAAAAAGTGAGAAAAAAAAACGTCGTCAACAAACTGTGCTCGTGCAAATCCCGTCTGAACAAAGAATTCGGCCGTAGCAATTATTTTGATTAGGAATAAAGAAACTTGATGATCAAGATGATAGATAAACTAGGTAATAATTTTTCGAAGTAAAAAAAAGAAAAAGAAAGAAACCCTATAAAGAACCAGCCAGTATAGTATTCACCAAGGATCCATCCTTCTCGCAAGATTCCTGCCAGAACTTGCTCCATTCTGAACAAAGATAAAAATGAAAGAAAATCACCAGAAATCCTTACTTTCAATGACGTGATACTGACGAGGTTGCTCCCAAACAAGGCGACAGACCTGGAAAAACAGAATATTCAAGTAGGGAAGTTCAAAACGAAACCTGGCAGAAGCCCCAAGGTCTTTCGAGGACGTCGTGATTGGACCCGTCCAAAAACACGACTTTGTAGTCTTTTTGCCATTCGAAGTACTCCCTTAAAACTGTTTTGTAGTGTACATTCAGCCCTAGGTCGATATGAAAAGAGTGGCTCAAAGAGCGATTCAAAAGGGGATTTGAAAGAATTTATTCCTAGTGTAGCACAGGTCGCGAGTGTACCAAAATGTGTCAAAAGGAAGTTTACCTCTCTAAATGGACTGAGGTATCTTGTATGGGTCCATCGAGATACCTCCAATATATCTTTTATCTCTATCTAGCTCAGGAGCCGTTTAGACTCCAGACCATTTGATTAACCTCCGGGAGATCGCGGTACCATTTCTAGATTAGCCTATGGGGGCATATAGCCAATGTCGCTTAGTGGTCGGGCGCAACTTCAAAGTAGTCGACACCCAATAGGCTATTCTCCTTCCTTTTCAAGTCAATAGAAAGAAACGTTCAACTTACATGTAAGCCGTGTGATTTTTCATGAGATATTGCATGTGTTGGGCCATTTCCTCGACCGTTTTGTAGTCATCGACAGCGAGAAACGAGTTTGGTGGGACAAATGGTTCGGCCAGCGATCTCTGAAAATCTCCAAAAAGGTTGCACTACTTTGAACACCTCGCCACGACTTGGAACAATCTGACTTTTAAAAGCTCTCTGTTCTCTCAGCGACCCCCAAGAAATTAAAACCAGGAACACAGACCGTTTCAAATCGTGGCAACTTTTTTTCCGTTACTCTGAGAGAAGGGAAGAGAAAATCTACAATACCTTCAACACCAAGGGGATGATAGTCCGTTGGAATCCTTGTCTCCAAAGTTTTTCTGTGTTATAATCCTTGCAGATCGAATTCTCGAAGGCCACATAGAAATGATAGCTGCAAGTAGGGCTGTTAACTCTTCACAAAAAAGTAACTAACTCAGTATCAAGCATCGATTCACAGAGAGTATTCCTTTGACATTTGAGCGTCCCGCAGCCTCCGTAGATGTCCACAGGAAAGTGTTTCTGAGAGAACAAAAATAGTACAAGACGAAGGAAATATTCACCTGCAGCTCATGGACGAAGGCTTCTCTGCGGCTGTTTGTCGAGCAGTGACTGACGAACCAAGCGGCCCCTTTGCTTTTCCCTTCTACTACCTTCTTGTCGACAATCTTCAAAGTTCTTTTGATTTTCGTAGTCCTTTCGAGCACACCTCGCCGGTTTTTCTAGACTTGGGACCAAGCTTCACAGTGTAACCGTAGGGCGAACTTGCTGCTGTATCGTGTCGGAAGCCCAAGGACATGTTGAAGTAATCTTGCTGCGGCACATTGAACCCAGAATTTACCGGCGATTCCGAAAAAAATTAATGATAAGTCCAATTTCTATGGAGCTTGAAAATTTTGTCTTACAAATATTATTCATTGAACCTACCTGACTAAAATAAATGACGTATTGGTCGAGGGATTGCCGGATGAACGACGGATCCTGATGAGATAGTAAAACCTGGAAAATTTTTCTTTTCTATGATTGGAGGTTAGAAGTATTCCTACCGCGGCGGCCTCCGCAACTTTGGATCGGTCGTGAGTGTATTCGCAGTTCCAATCTTTGCAGCCGTTGAGATTTTCCTGCGAATGTCCGGCATTCCAAGAGAGAATCACTCGTTTTTCACCTAGAAATTTTTTTTCACCGAAGCTCGGCTGATAAAGAAGATGGTGCGTTACAGAGCAAAAGCTTCAAAAACAGTCAAACAAAAAATGAAAAATCTTTTCCGAACCCTCCACGACTTGCGACAGTATGGCTTGTCTGCGCTCTCTAAATCTCTCCGAAATAGTCTAGTTTTTCCGTCAGCTTTTGAAAGTTTTCCTATGACTAGCAGTAAACCAACCAAGACCGTTCCAAACAGTGGCGTGGGCCTTTTTTGTATTCGATTTCTTTTATCAAAAATTGAAAGAGTTCAAAAATTCTTTACCTTTTTTGACATTGCACTTCATTCTTTCAGCCAATTTGATGGGGCTGTCCGTCATAACTTCTTCTACAAAAAACGGCTCCTTTCCCACAGGATTGAAATTGAATACTTCTGAAAAAAAAAAAATCAAATTCATCAATAATAAACAATAAACCACCTTTTTTGATCAAACTTGGCTCGATGCGTAATGGAATGTTAGTTGTTAGAGCCTTGGGCTCATTAAATTTATTGATTATCTCATCTTCCTGCGATGCCTGAGTTAAAAAAAAACTCATTTTAAGTCAAATTTCAAAAGAATTTTACCATTTCAATGTATACCTTTTCATCCTTTGGGGGTAAATAGAAAACGAGCAAATATGTTACACAGCATCCGAATATTAAAAATTTCCACCTGAAGTTTTCTGGATTCTTTTTTGTTTTTCAATTAATTCTCACCTAGAGAAGAATTGTCGCGATTGTCTGATCATGGCTCATAGCCTGAAAAAACGATGTGAGTAAAAGAGTAAGGAACATTCGATGTCTCATTATGTTGGATTAAGAGCACACAACTGGGTAATAAGGATGTTTGGAAGTCGCTTTCAAGTACGAATTTTTGCAAAAGTATAGGAGAAAAGAAAGTTTAATTCAGTGCTGAGGACAAACAAAACACTTGAATGCGACGGGAAAAGATGAAAGGATTCGAATCAAAGTCTTCACTTGGGCGAGGCCACGTCTCCCTATTTGAAACAATATGAAAAAAAAAAAAAGTCGAAAGTTCGAACTACAACGCGAAGCCCGAGATTGATACCCATGGTAACCGCCGCAAGATACTCTTTTTTTTTATCTTTAATTCCATTTCATTTCAAGTGTAATCCATTTACTGGCTCAAGTTCTTTTTCAAATTTGAAAAGGCGTCAAAAGAAAAATTAGACGAAGAGATCAATAATTTGAAGCTCTAATCTTCAAATCTGCGCATTATTGTCGAAGCTGAAAAATGACTTACTAATCCCTACTTCTAAAGATTGAGAGGAAACCTGCGCATTAATGGAAATGAAAAAAAACGTCTGTCTCTGAATTTTGTAAGCAAACATGCAACTTTTGAGGCGTTAGAGCAGCAATCTGAAAAAGCAGGTGAAGAAAAATGAATTAAGTTTCCAAAAAAAGCTTTCCTGTGAAATTCAAATTGGATTTCAAAAATCACGTGGACTACGGAGAAACTGCGAAAGGCTCGCCGTGCTCCCAGTCGCATTTGCATTTTGGCGTTCCTGGCAGGAAGCGACGAATTATCGCATGAAGAGTGGTAAATTCAAGGCAAATCTCCGATTATTAGACCTCACGAGGAGATTTCATCGCATCTACGTCATTTGTAGCAATCCATTCTCTTTTTTAATAGAGCTGCAAGGTTTCGTGACGAGCTGTGATAACTTGAAATAATTGAGAAATCATCAAGGACTCATCATCAAAAATCTTGGACCAACAAAAAAAACAGCATCTGTATTAGAAAGGATACAAGATTGACATCTCATCTAAGAAGTTAAAAAAGAAGGTTCGATTCGTATCAGTAAATAAGAGGACATTTTTCTGGTTTCGAAGAAAAAAACCCCTTTCAACGAGAAACTTTTCTTGCCTCGAGCAAATTTGACGGGAAAAGTCGAGGCAATTAACCCTCTATTAATCAATTTGCCTCTAATGAAGAATTGGGCGGATTTTCGTGACTTGGAGCTGTTTATCAGTTTTTTGCAGATAGAACTTAAACTTAGTCCCTTAGTCTCAGCCGCTCAGATATCTAAGTTGTTGCTCATCTTACGACCGCTAAAATGACTATTTTTTTAAATTAGTTAAAAAAATGGAACTTTTTTTGTGAAATAATGCAAGAAGGCGATAAAAAAATGCGAAATTAGGCAGGAAAAAAACGTCTGTTTTGATGGAGGAAGCAAGTCTTGTTAACCCCTTCCAAGATTGAAACTCGTAGAAATTGGATTGGAGCGGTTTGAAAAAAAAAAAATCAAAAATCTATAGTTTTCAAGAAAAAAGTTTTATATTGAAAACCTCTTATATTTTTGTTCAACTCAAGCTTTTTTTGAATAGATCTATTTTTCTACGATTAATGATTTAATTAAAATTTGCTACAGCAAAAATTTTTATTGAAAACTCGCAAAAGACTCGAAAATTCAAATACGTTCCGAAAGACGTGTCCATCTTGGGAGCTATAGAAGATGGTCTATATTTTGCATTCTCGCCTTGTTGGCACAGCCGGCAGACACAAAAACGCACGAAAAGTATAATGGAAACGTATGGAATTGAAACGGCGGGAAATGTGGCAATTGTGAATTTCGCACCGGGCCCAAATCAATTCCGCTACGTTATCACCTGTAAAGGAGAGAAGGAAATTGTGCACACAACGTGGCTTGTTTTATGACGTCCTTGTTTTAGATCTATAGCCGAAACAAAACATAAAAACGCGTCACCGATGTCATAACTTGGGGGAAATGAAAGCATTTCTGAACGGATTGTACAAAAGTTTTGAAAAAACAAATATGACCGCACTCCACATAAACAATTCAACTGGACTTGAAATCACTGAGCATTTCAAAAAATTGATGAAAAAATTGCGAAAACCAAGATTAAATAGAAAATGAACAAAAATAACCATTTTCGCCCAACTTTTGCAACGTGGTACACGTTATCGACCCTTATTTCGTCCAACTCTGTACAAAACATTCAAGAAAAGAAATAAGAAATGAATATTGTATCCTTCACTCAAAAACGTGAATAATGTTGCTGAAAAACGACTTTTGTATGACGCACTTGGGAAAAAAGAGCACATCTGGGAATCCAATATCTTTTACGGAAGTTTATATTCCAATGATCTGAACAAAGTAGACAGGAGGATTATTTTACTGCGCTTTTTAGATTTCCGCTCCGATTCGTCACGAAATGTATTATAAATATGATGTGCGTAAAAGTAAGTGACCAACAAAGAGATAGAATTGAAGAGAAAAAATCGGCTGATCCTTTTGGTCGATCTGGTCTCGAACGGAGACCAAATATACGCATCAGAATGAGTTTCCGAACTCTAACGTTCTTTTTTTTGCTAGGATTAGATAATTGGATGCAAGACCCTAGGAGTCACTTTTCGCAAGAAGCAAGTCTGAGGACAACTTTCTGAATAAAGTCGTGTTGTCCTTGAAAATCTTCTTTTGAAGACAGATTAAACGATTCATTCAACAGATTTGAACTGTTCTATGATATTTCAAGTATTTCGCTGAAATTCGTACCCAATGAAGAAACAAAGGAGAAATAAACTTAGAACTGGAAGGTGAACGATTATGTGTTGGAAACAAGCGGCAGAGGTGTTCTTCCGGACTGCATCCAGTTGAGTTTCCAAAAGCATCCTAATAGTGCAAATAAGCTTGAAAACCCAAAACAAGGGGAGAAAATGGATGTTTCAGGACTATAAAGTTGCAGGAAGCTACAAGCAAGGAAAAAATTCCCAAATGCATGGAAGTTTTGGGACAAAAAGCTGGCAGTTTTTGTTCTTCACACACGTCATTTCACGTATTTGGGCTTCTTGTCGTTTGCAGGAAATAATAAAAGCTATAGATGCTTGAAAATTAGAAGAGACAACTTGAGAAGTTAACGCTTTCACCGAGCAACGGTAAAGATATATTTACTTCAAAAAAAAAAAAAATGAAACTAAAATAAGAAACTGTCGGCCACACGATTAAATGGAATCAGATACTGAAAATTTTCAGATTCTGACTTCCTTCTGTCCCAAACATTCTATGAGCTTCGAATGATGAAGTTTCAAGTTTAAAAACTCTGACACAATCGCCACAAGAACTGTCAATATTCCTTCATGCGATCTTCGACTCATTCGGTAGAGACTACAAAGCAGTTGGCGAATTTCCTTCTTGACTTTTCGCATAATAGAAAAAAATACTCAAAAAATTGGTATTAGGAAAAATATAGGAAATTTTCCCAAAGGAGAGTCTTAAGAAAATATACGTTCAATAACTTGTTTTGAAAGCTTGTTTTCTAGCTTTAGCTCACGTGAAGATTCAAGATAACATTAGGCAAAAACAGGTAAAAGTTCTCGCAAATTGAAAATCTGAATTTCGAAAGATGCAGGTGAAGTCAAAAACTCATGTATTCCGATGTTGTTGCCTAGTGGAATCAAAAATATAGATGATGAAATTGGCCGGGCGGTGGGAATCTCCGAAACGTTGCTATGCCGTATCCATTCTCAAGAGTCGAATAATAATTCCTCCCGAAAAAATGTTTGAAAAGAGGAAAAATATAAAATATATGGCAAATTAATGAAATGACCTCGAATCCACGTGCCACAACAAGAACGCTTGGCGAGAATCTCATTTCAACTAGTTCTCGTCATCTTTGCACGCCCTCGCAGACAGAATGTCAACTTCTGAGGTTCCTTTTTTATCCCGTTTGCGGCCTTGTTTTGGCGCTTTCCTTAATTGGCTTTTTGCAACTTGGTGACTTCGAGAAAGAGAATCAATCATTCTAACGATAAAAGAAAAAAGTTGGAAAAAGAGGGTTTCTTTGAAATCTGTCGGCCACAACTCTTTGAAAACTGCTTCAGGGATTTCTTTAATTAAATGGCCTTCCGAAATTGTTCCTATTTTTTCAAAGACGCTGTCTTTGAACGGCCTAGAGTTAATGGAAGAAGCTTGCGAGATCTTTACGGAACTTATCTCTTGTCTTTTCCCCTTATACGAAGATTTTTGAACAGATTTCACTGAATTTTAAATAAAGCTTGAAACAACGGAAGATTTTCCAGCCACTTACTCTGCGTGAAGGTGAGCTGCCGCCGACGGACATGAAGCCGTCGGGAAGCGTGACGAAGGTACAAGAGCTGGTGCACGTCAACGAGTGGACCTCCGACAAATTCATCGCTAAAGCTTCACTTTCCTGTTTCTTTTCTTACAAGGTTCGTTGTTGCCTACTCCATTACTCACCCTTTCCAGAAATTTTTCTGCAAGCGGACTGGCCAAGCTCGAAAACGTCCTGTGATCATGGACTGCCGTGGTCATTTGATCGTCTACGAGACGAATTGTACTGGTGAGACTCGTCTGTTTTGAAGAATAAGTTTCAGCCAAAGATTTCAGGATACGTCTTCGACCTAACTAAAGCGCACAAGGTGATCACAAAAAACGACCACGGAAGCTGCGTTCTGAAAGTCAAGTTCAAGTTTGGCGCTATCAACTTCTTGCTCACCGGGGTTCAAGTCTCCGAATGGAGGTTTTCGCGTTTCAAGATCTCGAATGAGCCGTCTTCTCTTTCAGAAATCTGCTGATGTCGGCCTATGAGAACACTCTGGACTTTGCTGTGACTTTTGCTTCGACGCGCAACACCAGCAAAGTCTCCTCGGAGGAGGACCATCCATGCAGCTTGCTCGACACGACTTTCGTGGAGGAACCTGAAGAGGTGACCGTTTTGAAGAAATCCATTTCAGCTCTTCGCTCAATAGGAAGATAGCGTTATTATGCTCCGCGTCTTCGAACTTATCCAAATTTTTCCAGGCTTCAAAGTCCTTCCTTGACGATATCACAGAGGAAGACTGTTCGGAAAAGTCTTGCATCGAGCCTTTTGAAGAAACTCCGATAAAAACAGCCATAACAACACATCCTAATCGCTCCTGGACTACTTTGAACCAGGTACTCAGTCCACACTGTTTGTATTCGATTATGAATTCAATCCAAGTTGTCCACTGCAACTGCTAAGAGTTCGACTTCACAAGAGGGGTCCGTCAAAAGCGTGAATCTTAGCGAAAAGTACGCCTTTTCAGATATGATAATACAGCGAATCTTCAAAATTTCAGCAAATCCGTTCGTCAAGGAGCCACCCGTGTGGCGACGCTGCGCAAAAAAATTGAGGAGATGAACGAGTCTTTCAACAAAGAGAACTCTTTCCACACTCCCGCCAAAGTCTGGCTATTCTTAAGTTTGAAACAGAAGGCATATTCTTAAGGATGTACAAATGACGACGATGGTACAGGCAGGCGGCAAAAGTTACAAACCTATGCCGCCGGTCCGACCAGTTCCTCACGAGTACACGCCGATCCAACGAGTCAGTATCCACAATTCGGAAGAAAAACAAATTGTTTTATTGCAGCAAAAAGTTGTCTTCAAAGCTCCCCCAGCTACGGCTTTCGCCAGGCAGCCGCTTCCGAGCATGGCGTCCCCGTCGTCGACCTTCAAAATCGTCTCGATGACGTCGACGAGCACTTTCTCTAACACCGAATCCGAAACACCGACTTTGCCTGTCAACGGACCGCCCAGGCCTTCTGGAGTCCGAGTTTTCTTGCACAAGGCTCAGTTGAGCGAGGAACGAGCTGAAGAAGTCAGCCATTGGTCAGATATATTGCTTTCCGTTAAAGTCACACTCCCTTTTTTTTTTACAGATTTCCTTCCTTCACATTATTTTTATTTTTTGTCGTCAACGTCTTGTTCTGCCTTTCAAAGAACACAAACGACACTTGTACAATAAAGGGCAACGGAAAAATGGAAGAATCTCATGATATATACTGTATAATATACACAACGATAAACAACGCTTACAGAGCTTAATCGTAAAGGGAAAACCGCATTGCGCCAGTTGATTTTTCAAATTGAGTTTTTGGAACAATTCTTTGATTGAAAAACCCATTTTCTACAGTCCGAAGGTTATTTCAAAAAATGAAATGTGAAGTTACTCATGTTAGTGTTGGAAGTGTCTGGTTAGTGGAGTCCAGTTGGATCGGTTGCATCGGGGCTTCAGAAGCGGCCTGGGAAACTTGGACCAGCAGTCGACGACTATCCTGTCACACTCGCAGAGCGCCGCCTTGCATCCCGCATTCTTTGCTGGAAAAAGGAAGTCATCCATCGTTTCCCAGCAGAACTGACCTGAGCAAATGGGTTCCGTGCTGGTCGTCGAGTTTCTTTGACACAACCACGAGTAGTCGTCGACGTACTCGATCTCAACATCGTAGCATATCTTAATTATGAAATATTTATCGGGGGTACATAAACATTTGAACTCAACATTTAAAAAAAGATTTATTCTAGAAATTCTAGAAAATCAGAAAAATTATATTCCTGGAAAGATCTAGAAATTAAAAATTATGGATATTTCTGACAAGAAAAAAAGCAAATTCAGCTTGTATTTTTGAAAGAAAATTGCCAGAACAATTTCTAACAAAAAAATTTCTCACAGTGCCTATCTGCACAAACTCTTTTTTTGCATATATAACAGTTGATTCATAAGTTTGAAGCATGATTTTTTTGAATGAAATCTCTGAAAAAAACCTTTAAAGAAAAATTTTTTTAAAAAAATTAAAAAAACTTCAAAGCGTTTTTAGAGCTGATTTTTAGAAAGCTGCGTCACATTCGCAATAAGCAACGTCTTCGAACCTTCATCGCCTTTCAAGTCGAAAAAAATTACTTCATGATCTTTCACATTTTTCAGGGATGTGTAAACTTGAAAGAAGCAAGTTCGAGAATCTTCGCGGTTTGAATGAGCACAAAAAAATTTAATAACTAACTTTAAAAGTCAGTCAAGCACTAGAGTTTATTTTACAAAAAAACTGGATATGCTAAAAAATGTTCAAACGTATCAGCTGAACAGTTTTTAATTTATTATTAAAAACTATAGTGGATCTTTCATAACGCAGAGCGTTCTAAATTTCCTTGAAGGACCCCACTTTGGACATAGTAAAGGAACTAGAACTTTGAAACTTCATTTTCCGAAATTAGAAAATGGTTCAGGTTTCAATTTTTCAACATTTTCTCTTTTCTTCAGAGTCATAAAATTTTCGAGAAGAATGAACTCTATTTTGTCGCAAAACTTCCACTTACCCTTTTATCTACGGCTGCATCATAACATTTGTCGTGGTGCATGCAGCATCTGAAAATAACATTTTCTTCCTTCAAAAGGACCAACTGACTCGTCGATGCCGTCCACAGGAGTGTGGCTGCCGCCGACGCCACACCAGCAGCCGTAGTTGTTGTAAACCTGTAGGACATATGCAAGTCTGAAGGATGAATTGTGGCCCTACCAAAGCGTTGTAGTGTAGTCGGCACTCGGCCATTTCCTCCAGGTTCCACAGCGCCATGATCGTGTCGTTTTTGCGAATGAAGGTTCCGCTGACGACGCCTGCCAAGATCAACAACCAAAGCATCTGAAAAGAAATAACTTATAAATTTTTCGTTAAAAGAAACTATGCAAAACTCAAAAGTCATGAAATGGTCAATCGGCATTAGCTTACGCCGAATGTGTTTGGAGTGGCTACGAAAAAAGCACAAAATTTTAAACCCTCTTTTTTGACCTCGCATGCTTTTCACGCGCATCAAGATCTTGTTCGGTAATTGTCTGAGAACCTTTAACAAAAGTGAGATACGGACAAAAAATAAGCAAAGCATGTGCGTTGAGGCCACGAAAATGGGCATTTTTGTCAAATCCAACGTTAATTTTTTTAACTTTACCTTTAAAAGATCTTTTGTAACTTTTTTTTTGCTCGAAAATTACTTTGAACGCGGTATTCTAATAAGAAGATTCTTATAAAAAAGATGACCAAAAAATCGACGAAAGAACATATTGAGAGCCAAGTGAATGCAATTGGGCAGAAAAGCAACAGACGTTCGTCGGGGTCGCCACCGCCGCGTCACGTGTTACCTCACTTTAAACTCACGTACTTACCAATTTTGATTGATGCTCTTGAGTCACTGGACTTCGTTCACATGACTTTCAAAAATAAGACGTTGATCAAAAAAAGATATCCGGCCGAAAATTAAAACTGTGAAAACATAAATTACTTGACACTGACGTTTAATTTTTTTAACATTTCGAGATGAGAAAAAAATTAAAACTTTCAGCGATGCAAAAAAAGACAATTTTTATATATATATATCCAAACTTGAAACCGAGATGTTTTTTTGCGAATTTTTCTAAATGTACACACCCAATATTGTGGACTATATCGCAGCGAGAGTAATGCTATACCGCGGGGGAGCCGCGAGCGATATCGCTCGCCTCTCGCTGCAACCTCGCAAACGTCTTGCGCTATATCGCTCTTTGAAAAAAATTTTTCAAAAATGTTTTTTCTTGAATTTGATCGATTTCATCGTGTAAGTCAAAAATAAAGCAAAAAAAATGTTTTTCAAATTGAATTTTTGAGAGGGAGCGATATGGCAGCGAGACTTTGACTAGGTCGCAGCGACATGTTGACGATATCGCAGCAAGAAGCCTTGGCTTTATCGCCTGCGGCCTACTGCGATATCGGCAATTATGTTGGGTGCAGATCGACGAAATCTTTTTCTGGGAAACTGTGACTCTCTTCTCTGCAACTGAAGCTGGCAGGTGATTGCAGATTTTCGGTTTTCAAAATAGTTTTCCCGCTTTTTTTCGAACTTTTATTTAAAATTCCATTCGCAAAGTTCAATTGATTTTCTCCTTTAGAATTTTTTAAATTTCATAAGTGTAAAAGTTTTCCAGAAATTCAAAATGTCCGACCGAAGGGGAGGCACTGCTAGAAAACACCCCCGACGTAAGTTTAAATTTTCTAAAATTTACATAGAGAAAATTTTCAGGCGGTTCCTTCAGGAACCCCCGTAAACGATTTCTTCCTGGGGGAACGGCTCAAGATCCGTTGAACCTTGCTAATGTCCAAACTGAAAACTGCGACGACGAAGCTGATAAAGCCTTACGACCGGTAATTTTTTACATGTACGAGTTTTCACTCCGTTACTAGAAGTATAAATTTAGAGTGTATTTCGAAAAAGTGAAGCTGAAAGTTTTCCAAAAAAAAAAATGAATTAAAACATAGAGCAGAGTTATCGATACGTTATATATGGCTCTGATGAATTTTTTTCTTATTTTTATATATGGCTCTGATGAATTTTTTCTTATAATTAAGTGATTTTTTTAACTTTAAAAATGATTCCAATTATTTTAGAAAAGATCACAAGAATTGTAAAGGGAAACCTCAGTATTTTAGTTTTGATTCTAGCTCTTGCGGAACGGTCTTCTTCCAGATTCGAAATGCATCTTTAAATTATTTAAAACTTCTTTTTATCTCAAAATTTCGCTTTTGTTAAAGAATGTCTGCAGTAAAAAGCTCATCAGTTGAACTTGAATTTATTTGCTATTTTTATAGATAAACTGCAGCTCGCCTACGCTGGAACTTCCCAAGAAGAGGTATATTCAGTCGTAAAATGGAAATCGATTGATTATTTTTTACAGGGCAAGGTACTCGGATATCGATAATATAAAGAGTCCGAATCATTCTCCCAAAAAAGCGGTTAGTTGATAGCATTCTTTTTCTAGAAACTGATAAAAATTTGAGAAAAGGAACTCATCCGGTAGTCCAGTTCGCAAGCTTCACGACAAGAAATCGAAAGAGGAGGATGCGGAAACAAAAGAAAAAGCGAAAAATGCCGAAGAATGCAAAAAAGTCAAGAAGGAGTATTTCAACAATAAGTAGGGAATTAGGAAAAAAAACAAACAACCACGATCCCGTGATATTTAGGTATTGCTACGGTAACTTTGATAGATATTATGGGATCCGTTTGAATCCTGGGGAGAAAGATCAGCGGCTGAGTGTTATGAAGAAAGAATGGTTTGAGAAGAAAAGTGTCCTTGACATTGGTGAGATCTATTTTTCTAAATGTTTAATAAAAAGTTTCTTTTCAGGTTGTAATGTTGGTTTTTTGACATTATCAATTGCCAGAGAATTTTGTCCCCGTCGAATTCTTGGCATCGATATTGATGAAGTGCGTATTTTGGTCTTCCGATCTGCTAATTTTATTGAAATTCCAGCATTTGATTGGCGTCGCCCGAAAAAATATTCGGCATTATTGCGATCAAGAAGTCGCGGTACGTTTTTAATTTTTTTAAGTTTTTGAATAATCTTTCAATAAAAAAATTCATTATATTTGATATGTTTCAAGATCTCGATCAAGTATTAAAAACGCATAGACAAAATCTCCTTGCAGTTTGGAGGCGATTTTTTTTTTCTACATTTAGGTCTTGTGACGCTTCTTTCCAACATTTCAAAAAGACTGTTCGAAACAACTAGGAATCGTCGAAGAATAAAATTTTCAAAATTGATCTTTTTTTGAATGCTTTCTCTGTATGTCGTTAACTTTTTTTTCTCGCTTGTCATAAAAGTTCTGGAAACTTTCTTCCTATTATTTTCTCTTGTAGAATTACAAAACCTTCTTGTATTATTTAAACAATTTCTGAGTTTCAGAAAATTAATAACTTTTTACTCTCAATTTTGAAGACATTCAATTCAAGGTATTTTTCAGCTTCTTGGGAAGTATCCCGCCTCCTTCGCCACGACTTTTGGACCAGTTTCACAAAGAAAACCAAGAGATTTTGGGACAAAGTTTCCCGATAATGTGTGGTTTCGTAAAGAAAACTACGTGTTTGAACAAGATGAAATGATTGAAATGGTCAATTTTCCCGAAAATAAATCTTTGAAAACAAAAGGAATTTTGAGGTGGAGGAAGAGTTTGATGTGATTTTGGCTTTGAGTATCACCAAGTGGATCCATCTCAACTGGGGCGACGATGGAATGCGAAGATTCTTCAAACGCGCTTTCAAGCAGCTTTTACCAGGTTCTTCTTATTTCTGTAAAGAAAACTTTTTTCAATGTTGTCAGCCTTTTCACGGATTCTTTCAGGAGGTCGTTTAGTCATTGAACCCCAGCCGTTTGACAGTTACAGGAAGCGATCAAAAATGACTGTAAGTCCTCCGTAACCCTTTTTTCCTTCATGTTGAATCCAGGAAAAACTGAAAGAGAACTACAGCAAGATTCTGTTCAAGCCAGAAGACTTTGAAATGTACCTCATTGAAGAAATCGGGTTCGAATCGGTTGAACACCTTGGCGTTACCTGCGCTAAGTCCAAAGGTTTCTTTTCTGTTTTTTTATTGCTTCATTTGACTTCTCTCAGGTTTCGAACGGAGTATTGACGTTTACCTAAAGCCTCTGAAGCCGAAAGGATCGAGTTCGATTTCTGAACCTGATGATGATTAATTATTTGCGGGTTATATTTTTCACCTCAACTCTAAAACAAGTTGTTCACACTTTTCATGATTGAGCATGCTTCATTGATCAATTTTCTGATTGTTTATAATTCGTTTCACATAATAATAACGATGGAATAAAGTTTTATCCAAACTCTCCGAGACTCGAAGACTGGGGTAAATGCGCTCTACTGCAAATATACGCTTTGGCTTCGATGTACCGATTTTATTTCTCGTTGCACCTTTTAACTGTTTTCTCAGTTTTTTCTAGTTTCATAGCTGTTTCTAAAATCTTTTAACAACGAGGAGCCAAGAAAATCGAAGAATAGCTGAAAAGTAATATAAACTTCTTATACTTTCCTCTTTTTCTTTAATGTGCGTTTGATGCTCAGGTTCTGCTACCGTCCATGATGATGGCGGTATTTTGAAATTCTTTATATTTCAGTTGATGTCCAACGTTGTTGGAGGATGTCGACGGACGCCGAGACTCATTACAAGAAAAGCTAACATTTTAAGGTCAACCAAACAAGGTTGGACTTTATAAAAAATTCACTTCTTGTACACAGCTGTAGTCCTTTTGAAATATTTCGATGATGTGTGTAACGAGCATTCAAAAAATCCCTCGAAACGATGAGACGTTTTCGATGTGACTTTGAGTCATACTACAAACTATAAGGTGAAAGCTGAAAAAACAAATTAAAAAGAACATTTTTTTTAAAACATTTTTTTCTACAGCTTTGTTTATTACAGTTTGTGCTTTAATGTGGTTTTTTTGATGAAAAGTATTCCAAGCTCGTTATTTCAGCGGAGCGCGAAGCAGCTGAACAACGGAGTCGGGAAGAAGGAGAGGAAAACCCTGATGTAAGTAGATTTATTCGAAACAATTATATAAAGATCTGTTTTTTGATGAAATGTATTTGGCATTTTATTTTGGATTTATATCAGTTGGAAAAAAAATATTTTTTCTGTCATTCTATCGTTGCTTTAAAAAAATTACTTTGAGCTGCAGGAAGATGAAGAATCCGACGAAGTTTATCGAGAAAAACCTCTTCCCGGTTCGTTTTAGCTTATTTTTTTTGAGTCAATTTTTTTTTCAGGCGTTGCTGACGAAGTGGAATCCTATCCGTGCAAATTTTGCGTTGAAAGGGTTTTCTTGACGGCACAAGGCTTGGAAAAGCACGGAAAGATGGAACACAAAAGCAAACTTGATGAGGTCTTTTTCAAAATTTTTTAGTCAAACATTTTTCATTGTTCAGCTCGCTACACACATCACGACAATCCGCAACGAGTGGAGGAAACGAGAGGTTTTTCGTTAACTTCTCATTGTTTTGACGCCTGAGTGCTTCTAGTTCGAAAGGTCTCGCGTACGGCAGAGGATCCAGATGGCTCGACTGCGACAAGAAGATCGCGCTCATCAGAACGTTCGTGAAGGACGAGGTTTTTTTGATAAGTTGTCGAATAGAATTTGTTAGCTCAAACTGATTATCAATCTCCGTTTTTTTATAAATTTTGAATTTTTTTCGTGGTTTATACAAAATGTGTTTGAAAAAAACAAGAAAAAAAGTTTTTTTCAATTTTTCACCAACATTAGAACTAATTTGAAAAAAATAAAAAAAGTATTGAAAGTTTACGACGAAAAAAATAGAAAAAAACTTCAATTTAGAATAAATAGTTTGAAAAAAACTAGATAAATTGAAAAATTTGGTTGATAATTTCAAAATATTGCGTTCTTTCTATGTACCTCAGAATGATCGTAAAAGTCTTATTCTGCATAATTATAGTTTTTTTTCTACTGAAGCCCTAATTTGATTTAAAAATGTATTTGTGTGTTGATTACGGCCCTGAAAACGAAATTCTATTTTTTCTTGAAATTTCAAGGTGGCTTTCAAGACCAATATTTTCTATACTGAAGCTTGCTTTGGCAAATTTCAAAGAAAACTTTTCATTGAAAAGATTTTTAGTGATTTTTGTTCAAAATCTGTCGTTTAGACCCTACTGATCATTTCGAATCGTGTACAATATGTCACGTTCTAATCAACATGGCTCATCCAACTGCAATGGAGTCGCATATTCGAGCTCACAAAAAGAACGACGAGCTCCGCGTTCATCTTTTGGATCGATATGGAGCCGAGGTCGGCATTTTCTTTTTTATTACGATATTCGTTTCTCAGTTTGTCGCGACTTTGACCTGCGAAGCTTGTCAACTTGTTTTCACGGAAGACCGAAAACTGCAGATGCACATTGCAACTTGTCATTCCAGGAAGAAAAGGTTCCACTCTTCAAAAAAAGTATTATCCGCAAGTTTATATTTGAGGTTCATTTGTAAGTACTGCGGTACGATCCTCCCTAGTGTCACCGAACTGAATTTGCACAAAACTGACGTCCATGGGATTTCGATCTCGAATCCTCGGATCAGAGTAATTTTTCTCCAAAAATTAGGCTCATTTATACTCTGCGTTCAGGAGTCGCTTCTGGCGTCAAGGAAACGTAAAATTGACGATTATCAGGGCGATAATTTGTACAAAAAGGAAAATGCGACGAACTACGGGAAAAGTCAACCTTGTGGAACGGTGACTGCAGGGGACGCTCCTTGTCGGTTCGTTCTATTTTTTTTTGATCCATGAAAGTTTTATGTTTTGATCATTGATCAAGGTGGAATCTCAATAATACATATATCAATCAAAAAATATGCACTTTCGACAGTTTCATCAGTTTGAAAGTTGGACATTTCAGAAGTTACTGAACTAAGAAAGAACTTCTAAGCTCTTTTCTCAAGAAATATTTTTGATTCAATGAAAAAAAGTTGAGGTCTCTGAGCCCTTTTCCAAGAGCCCTTTTCCAGTATTTTCTGCCCGGATTGTGGATTGCTTCTAAATCGGCCGGCGTTGCTCGTCCGCCACATGTTCCGCGTGCATTCCAAGCACAATTTCTCTTGCATCGCAGAATCTGGCGGACTGCCTTCTTTCAAGTTTCGTCTCCTTTTTTTGCCCTGGAAAAAAATGAATTTCTTGTAGAATTGACGTGGAACGAGCACACATCACCTGGACTTGTTGTGGCATGAAATTCGACGATAGGTTTCCTTGAATTTTTAGAATCTATTTGGATATATCTCTGATTTCAGGCGATCTTTCATTGGACACAGAAGAGAGGAACATGTTATGTCTATCGAAGGCAATCAAGTGAACTCGGCTCTAGGTTTTCTTTTTGGTTTTTTTTTATTTCACCTGGCGAAATTTAAGAAATGGAACAACTTCCGATCGAAAGTCCCGACGGCAATTTCGAAGGTCAGCTTGTCACCGGCCCTGATGGAACCATGCAGGTTTTTTTTTCTCGTGTTCCTCAAAAGTTGTCCGATTTTTCCAGGTCATTATTCCGGATGGGGTCGATCTTTCGAGTGAAATATTTGTTATGATGGATCCTGGCGAAACATTCGATCCAAAGCAGTCTAAAGTGGGTTTTTCTTTTAATATATGATTTCTTACCATTTTAAAGGTTCAATTGGTTCAAGCACCGAGAATGATTGGCCAGGAAGAGCATTTGATGCAGGAAGAAATTCATGCCATGTATCCGGAGGTCATTCATTTGGTTTTGAACGTTTTTGACAAATCCTGCTGTTTTCAGGAAGAAGGCGAAGTGATTACGTTGACCGAGGAGCAGTTCCAACAGCTCCAGATGCAAATGGGAGACGAATGGGGCAATATGGTGAGCGAGTTATTTAGATTCTTCATATCCTTAAATCATCAAAAGTTCGAAGTTTCTCTTCTTTTTTTGAATCTTTCCCAAGAAACTTCCATGAAATTTTCCCCACGAATTCTTGGCATCGGAACTTTGGGAAGTGGGTCAGTTAAAGATACATTTTTTGGTGAATTTTTTTAATTGAAAATCAGAGGTTGGGCAAACTAAAAGTAATTTCAATAGATAGCAGAGTTTTAGAAATTTTAAAGACTATTTTTTTTTTACTTTTTCTGTGAAACCCAAGCAATTAAAGGAAGTCGTGTTCGTGAACGAAGGGGGTATAATCGACGACAAGGGGATGATTCCCGACGACGGGACGATGGAAGGGCCGATGACGATGTTCAAGAAAGAGTTGGTGGACGGCGACTACGAAGAGGTCATCGAGGAAGGCGTCGTCCACATCGAGGAGCACCTCGACGAGATCGACGGCAACCCTCTTTTCGACTAAAACTCCCTTCTTCTGTACAATAGCTCTGTGAATCAATTCCTATCAATCGTAAATAATCTATCAAGTCAACTTTTTCTATTTTCGTTCTCTATATCAAGTTCAAGGTGGTTTTGTCAAATTTTGAATCCTGGATGATTTTATTGTAGAAAAATGTTTCTTTTTCTCACTTTCAATAGTTCTCCTATCAATAACTTTTGTACATTCTTTTCGATTTGTCAAATCAAAAATACCGGTATATTGCAGTGGAAACGTTCAGAAATTTCTATTAGATCAAATGAAAGTGTTTATTTTACTCTTGAGTCATCGGAATGTTCGTTGAGATCACAGGGAAATGAATGCTGGAAGATGGAGAGTGTGAGAAACGATACAGTTTTAAAGCTTTCTGAGAGGACCTCGTCATGTTTTGTCGTGAAACTAGAATTTCTGCTGATTACCCGCTTTTTGGGATTTGGTGAGGAAAGTTTGTAGGATAGTCAAGAAGGGGATGAGTGCGAGCAAATGTCAATTACGTAAGTAGTGCTCCTCAAGGGAGATTTTTTTCAAGTTGAGGGGCAAAGGCGACCTTCGGCTCAGGTTGAGCTGGAGACTGAGCGAACGCCGCTTCGTCGAAGCGAGGCTGACCTCCTCAGGCGATGAGCTGGAGCATCTCATCTGCAGAGCACGAGGTCTTTGCGTGAACTCTTTTGAACTGGGAACCTCCGAGGTGCAGCTCGCCGTCATCCCGTCGCACCGTCACGCGTAGTCTCCGTCGTCGTCGTCCTTCGACGTCGTCTTCATGGTCGCCAATCTATTTTCTTGTCGGTAGAAGTGCTTGAAGTTCGCTACCTAGAAATAGGGGATTTCCAATCGATTTGTTCAAAGTGATAGTAGAGTCTGTGTATTATAATGATTGGCTGGTTTTTCAAAAGTTTAAAGGTCGGGATTAGCTTGAAAGGCTTTTGCTCTTTAAGTGAGATAAATATTCGAATGCTCGAGGCTAACGCTGGGAAAATATCCAACGAAGATTAGTTAGAGTCTGAACACGATCAGCAAAATATTGTGCGAAACGAAGACATTTAGACGTTTTAGGAGTTTTTTAAAGCTCAAACGGTAAATAGAGTATGTGCCTGAATAGCCTCAGGTATTATAAAGTTTAAAATAAATTTTCTTGATGCTTTCTGAATTGTGTCGTGTTTTTGTATCCAAAATTTCCAAAATCCTTGGACAAATCCAAAAATGAACTGACAATGATGGGGACGGGCAGAGCGAGGGTCAGGACGCCAATTAAGGCGCACATGCCGCCGACGACTTTTCCGAAAGGACTCAGAGGCACCAAATCCCCGTAGCTGCAAGTCGACGTCTGCGTCTCTCACTTATCCGCGAACACTCACCCGACCGTCGTCATCGTCACCAGAACGAACCAGAAACTCGCCGGGATCGACGTGAACTTGGAGTTGGGCTCTCCTTGCTCAGCAAAGTACATACCTAAAAGATTGTTTCATGAAGTTAGCTTATCTATCAGCAGCACTTCAAGTGAACCTATCTCTCGGACCTCGGTAACGAAAATCGGGCGGGACATTTCTGCTCAATTCCAAGAATCACTTAACAGTGCTGACGCTACTAAAGGGGTCACTGGAAACGTTCGATTCACGTTATCAAGGTCCGAGTCTAATCAGACATCTATTAGAAAACCTTCAAGAGTGCACATTTTGTATCAAAAAACTCCATAAGCTTTTCACGGCCATAGAAACACGGGGACATCCATCTATCATCCAAAAATAAATTAAACTAGAGAAGTTGATGTTTTTTTTTGACAAATAACTGTGAAAAAAAAACCTGAAGCAAACAGGACCAAAGCGATCGCCATGAAGAAGATGAGAAGACAAAACTCTTGGATCGACGATCGAAAAGTTTTTCCCAAAATTTGAAGGCCCACAGAATGTCTGAAAACACAACTTTGAAAAAAAAAAGAACAACTTCTGAAAAAGCACCTGCTAAGCTTGAAAACCCGAAAGACTCGGACGAGACGCAGAACTCGAAGCACGGCAAACGACATGGACGAGTTGGACTTGCTTGAGGAACTGTCCGATCTGAAAACCATCGCGTTATCGATTCCGGCTCCAGAATTAATTTTGGATTTTTTTTTATTTTTGATTTTTTTTATTCTACTGCCCTTTATATGTTGATCACTTATACTTTTTCTATACTACCTAATATGGCAGTGAATAAACTATTATTATTTTCGGAAAAGTAACTAACAGGAAGAAGTTGACAAAGAAGGGCGCGATGGCGACAAAATCGATGATGTTGAGGATGGAAGTCATGAAAAGCCATTTCGATGGGCACGAGATAAATCGGAGAGTTAGTTCTGAAACGAAGAAAATAGTTCTGAAAAGGCTGATATCGAGACTGACCGAGAGTGAACCAGAGGATACAGGCGAGTTCGAGCCAGAAAAATGGACTGTTGTAGTGACTTTTCTCTTCTTCTTTCGCTGCGTCGAAAAAGGAGGAATTGTTGAGGAGAAGCGGCTTTTCGTCGCTCGAAGGAACTGTTTCCCAGCAAAACGAGATGATCGAACTGAAATATTCCGGTTGAATCAAAAGCCATTATTATTAAATTTTCAATGGTTATTCCACCGTTGACTAGTGATCAAAAAATATGCCTTTGCGAGACCCAATAAAATGAAGTAGTTCAGAAAGAACTTAAAACAATTTTTTTATTGATTTTTCAGTTTTTGTAGGAGACAAAAATATTTTCCGAATGATTTATTCAGACACATTTTTCATGTGGCTACGAAAAAAAAAAGAAAGAAAAGTTGGAAAATCGCAAAAATTTGAAAGAGCGACATTTTCCTCAATGCAAACTTTATAACCTTGGAGCCGAAAATCAAGAGATCGATTCAAGAAAAACGAAACAAACATGGCGATGACGGCGATGGAGATAAAGGCGATGATCCGAGCCGCCAAAGAACTGTCTGGATATTCCATCAACTCCCAAATTCTTCTTTGAGTCTGAAATTCTTGGCTTTTCCCGTCAGAAATCGTTCCAACGACTCACTTTATTTTCTGGCATCAACGCTTCTTTTGGTTTCTCGTAACCTTCGGCCATCCAGAATTCTTCCAGGATTTCGTCGCCCATCTTTAAAGTTTCACTATTTCAATACGTTCAAACATATTTCTGGATTAATTATGCTCAACTGAACTCACTTGGAAAAATCGCATTTCTCTCAAAAAGACGTCAATCGGCACGATTTCCGGTCTTTTGACGCGGCCGCCACTTTGGTAGATGTACAGTATCGATTCGAAACTGAAAAAAGACCGTAAAATCAAAAATCAAGAAGACGGCAACGGATGGCAGTACGGTCACACAAGAAGCGTGGAGAAAGCTTAAAAATAGGGTGATGAGCTTTATTTCAGAACTTCTCGGCCTGTGTTAAATAAGTTGGAAATATTTCTTTAATAAAGAAGAATTTAGTGGAAAGTAAATAGCTGATGGAAAAATTGTCGAACGTTACAAAAATGGCAATGAAAAAGATGAAGTCGAGAATGACGCAGACTTGCACTTGCTTTTAGCACGGAAAAATGGAGGTATTAGTCGAGTTCGCAGGAAAGTTCAAGCCACGTCATTCAACTTGCGTTTGCAAACCGATATCTTCCTTTTTGAGCAAGCAAATTTTTATTTCAAAAAGACAAAGTAGAAGCTGAAGCCAGTCTGCCTAGTTAAAGCTGGCCGCATGTGAAAAGTCTCAAAGTATAGTCTGTGTGCCACGACTTGAAATTTCATGGAACGACACTCCGCTGTTCCGCTTCGTGCGTACGCGAAGCGTCCTTCGAATCTAGGTCACGCTTTCAATTGATTGTTATTGCTGTGGAAGCATATGAAAGTAGAGTACCTTAATAAAAGAAAATAAATTAAAAGCGCGACCAAGATTCGCAAAGGCGCGCAGCGGCACAGCGGAATGTCGTTCCGTGAAATTCCAAATCGCGGAACACATGCTATATCTTTCCTTTGAATCAGTTTAGCGTCCAAATTTAGCGGCTGGCTCCGATGCTTTCTGAAGCCTTTGTGCGCAAATCTTCGGAAGTCGGACCGGCCTCATTGCAGCCGTTGGACGAAAAGTTGAAATCAATCGAGTAAACCATACCGAAGACTTCAGGTATTGGAAATTTTCTACTAAATCTAAGAAAGTAAACTTTGCCCAAAGTTACAAGAGTCAATTTGCAAACACTGTAATACACTTTGATATAACGGGTAGGGGAGAAAGCCACGTAAAAAGGTACGAATACGCCTTACAGTTGGTTGCGCTGATCGAAGCTGAAGTTCTCATCTCTAAAAGGCAAAAAACAGTGAGAATCGGAGCTCCGATAGAGATTCCAAAGTATTTGAGTACGAGAAGCAACGAGGTGCTGGAAAACCCAAAGAAGAGCTTACGTTGTCCGATGTCGGTCGAAGAAGTACTCGTTGATTTCCGAGATGAAGTATTTCTGCCGCTTCAGTTTGTCGCCAAGTAAGGAGTTTGGGTATCTGAAAATTGAGTCATTACAATGTTAAATTGTATCATGACCCGTTTATCACAAAAAAAATTAACCTGGCAAGGGTGCTTTCAAAAGTTTGAAACCGCAGTCCTGAGACGTTGATAGTCACAAGGGGATCATGATAATCTCTGAAATCGTTTCTGCTTTCTGTGATGTGGAAAGAAGGGACTTACGGCGATCCGCTGGAGGAGTTGGGCGTGCCTCGCTGCGGACTCGACTGCCTGAAGTCGTCGGACAGCAGAACTCCGGAGGCGTCGTCGCCGTCCATAACCGGAGACCTGAACCGCTTTTCATAATCATGCAATAACGGTTTTAAACAAACTTCCAAAAACCTTTTATTTTCTATCAATAATCGTATTTTTAATTATGCTCACAATTTTTCTTTACCACTACTAGTTTTTTTTCAAAAAGGCTTTTCGAGATGTTCAAGAGCGCAGAAATCGTGCATGACTTAAAATAAAAGGGAACAGCTCGATTAACTCTCAACACCCCAACAGAGCTCTCTAACAGACTAAAATAATCAGCGCAGTCAGAGTGCTCAAAAAAAGAATATTGCGTTGATCTTTCGCTGAGCTCGGAAAAAAGTCTAATAAAACGTGGCCTCAACTTTTTTGTGTCTTGCCTAGGTTTTACAGCGGCAGTTTGACCACATGTCGGAAAGTCACAACTTTTCGTTTTTCTTGTGTTTGGAACTGAGCTGTTCGGCGTTATGGGAAGGAAAAGTGAAGCAGAGAGTGAAATTCCATTGTGAACTCGAATTTGAAGATGAATGAATGAAGCTTGAAAATGGTACGCTACTAGAGTTTTTTTCGAAATGTTATGCTGAAGTACATGAATGCGCAGAGGGAGTACATGATAGAACAATGCAAATGAATATCGCCTCAAAACCTTTTTATAAGGCACCAATTCTTGTACAAATCGGAACTAAACGAAAACCGAAAATTCCTGAACACAAGAACGCTTGACTTTGCATCGAAAAATAACATCAACTGTGAAAGAAAATTTTGAGACGAGAATCTGACGAGAAGCGAAGAATAACACTAGTTTACAGCCGGATTTATTAGTTCTCAAAACTTCAATTGAAAGAAGAGAAATTTCAGTCTTCATAAATCTTTTCGCAGTTTGGATTTCCCAGATGATAAATGGCAGAAATAAGACGTCTTATTTTTTCGGATTTCCCGCAATTCAAGAAAGGAATTGGCGAACGAGCGCTAACTGGAACGATTCGAAATTTGTGAAAAAATCAAGTTTTTTAGTATTCCAGAAGCAAAGCCGGCTAGATGTTACATGGAAATAAGATAGTCAAGTGAAATACGAGATCTGGAGAAGGCAGGAAGAAAAAAAAACAATGTAAAATGGAGAGAAGCTTAGCGACTTCTGATTGTTAGACAATGTTTAAGTAAGAATTCCTAATTGGAAATTTCCGGTTTACAATTTTTTCCATAATATTTCTCTACTAGCAACACCGATGCTGATTAATCACGAAATTTCGTTCTAATCTTTCTCATTACTTAAATTAAAAACTGGATTATATTTCTTCTTTATTAATTGACATTTTTTTTTTTTTTTTTTCTTCATGTATAAATTTCACATTTGAAGAAGGTACTGCTGAAAAACAAGGAAGTGACAGAAGAGAAGATGAGCGAAAAAAAAAAATGGAATTACGTGTAAGTCTTCTTCAAAGCTCTCATCGATCAGTCTAGGCTTTTTAACTTCATGAAAGAAGTTCGCTGCGATTTTGAAGCCAAAATCATGAAATTTATGAACTTTATGGAATTTATGGTTCAAAAAAGTTTTGACAACAGAAACAATTTTTTTCCTAATGTATTTCGTTAAGTTTGTCTGTCGAATAAGAATAAAAATTGAAAGTTTTTCTGCAGTATTTCGTATTTCACCAAGGCTTACTTTCCAGAACAAAATCCATACTTCCCACAGGCTTCAAATTAACTTTTTGAGGCTCTTCACAGCTTTACCAAAAAGTTTTTATACCATCTCTGTAAAATGTATGCCTCAAACTAGCAATAAATGGATTATAGTTCATTTGGATGAATCTTTGAGCACAGTTTGAATTATTTCATCATTTAACAAGAGAAAAGAAAATCAAAAAATATAGAAGGTCAGTTTTGTGCCCAACGGAAGTTATTCAAAGATTTGATAAATCAGCAAAGGAAAAGGTGTGGGAGGGCCTGGACCTGGGCGGTTTGACGGCAGTTTAACGAATTGAACGCTGATGATAGCTGAGCAGCTGCTCTGCGGATTTGACATGGGCTCGCGGAGCCCCATTTTCATTTTTCCCGCCTTTTGTTATATGTTCTTCTTGTTGTTTTTAGGTCTTTCGTCTGGTCGATTTTTAGAGAAAAATGAGTTCAAAAACATTGAGTACTATTTTTAGAAGAGAAAAGAGTTTCTGATCCAAAAAACGAAGAAAAAAAAAAAGGCAATTTTACCTTTTGAACTTCCTGAACTTCCACATGCTGCATCACGTCGGTTCCAATCGGCAACTTTTCATTTTCTCAAACAAGAACGTTTTGAATCACATTCAACGACATTCTCAATACACGAAAAAGACACCGAAATTGAAAAGACACAAAAAAGTGAGAAAATAAGAGGCTGGGTTTATTTGAACAAATATTTTCGTTGGGCATCTATTCACGCTATAATAGCGACCGGAACACCTCTAAAAACACGTCCATATGTTTCTTACTATCTCACAAAAAAAGGAGCAAAATGAAGAATTCTAAATTCCTAATTCAATATACCTGAGCTTAGGGAACCGGTAACTAGAGAATAATAACAAAGATGGGTTAGGAAAAACGGGAGGCCAAATGAGGAAAACAAACGAAATGAGAAAAAGGCAAGCCAAAAAGAAGACGCTCGTGGCATACATTATTGATGAACAGTTTGGCCTGGAATTTGTCTCAAATCAATGGAAAATCTGCCCATTTTTCGCATGTTTCATCTCAAACAGCTGGTTCGAAAATCTTAAACTTTTAAACAATAGCTTTCCAGAAAGAAAAATCTTTTAAAGTGAAGATAATAATAAAATTCAGAGATTTTCGATTATCCCCAGTGAATATAATTGGAAGTTTTTCTTTTCGTTTTGACCTGGGATATTATGAAACCACTTACTCAGAGGTTATTGAAAAACATTCGGAAAGCGTATATGCGAAAAATCGGACACGGATGAATGAAGCTGCCAGAAAATGATAGACAAAGCTCACGTGACATTTCCATAGGAAGTCATAGGAAAGGGTTTTTTCTTTGGAATAACCTTCGAATGAGGCTGACACTAGCAGAGGAGCTTCATCTATAAAGGGAAGTGCAGGAAGATGGGAAGGGGCAGTGAACAATAGAGGCTCGGAGAAGAATTGCCGGAAGACACGGGAGGAAAATAGGGCAAAAAAGTGGGAGATTAGAAGTCACCACGGTCAATTGGTCGATTGTCTCGTGGGACGCGATGTTTTTTCTATTTTACGAGGGGACAACTCGAAGAATTCATCCTTTGCTGGTAATTGAATGACAGATTTGGCTTGTTGCCGAGCAACCCCGGTTGGAAGCCTCGAAACGCTTTGGAAGAACACCAATTCAAAGATGATTTACGGTGGCTTCCGTCTCTTTTTTTTTCAAAAAAAAAAGAAAATGATCGAGGTTTTGCAAGTGAGAAATGAATGATTTGGTACTCGGCTCATGTTTGTTTTTATCAAGTTTGCGATACTCCCAGCGGGATTTGAAATATTCGGAGATCAAGAAAAAAATAAATAAAATATTCTGTTCGGAAAAGAAAAAAATAATAAATCACGACAAGGTTTCAAATCTAAAGCTATTAGGTGACAAATTGGCGTAGGATTTGACCGAAAATTTTGATTTTTAAATTTACTCATACATTCGTTTGAGAATTTTTTTCTTTCACAACTTTCCAACATCAGAAGTTAGCTTGAACTCTCGCAAAAATATTTCCCAAAATTGTAAAAAAATTTAAATTTATTCAAGAGCTGTTAAGAGAAAAAAATTAATCCTTTTACTTATTTTTCCAACTTGTCTCAAGCTTTGAAAAAAACTTTGCGCTTTATAGATTTTTGGCAAATCGTGCACATGTTCAAAAATTCTTGATGATATCTGAACTCAACTAAAAAGGGAAATTTTCAGGTAGAAAATTTCTTCAATTTTTCTCCTTGGGACCTTATATTCTGCCGTATACAAGCTATCGAAAGTTTTGCAGGCTGACAAAATAATCAATGAAGGAAGTTCCTTCCTTGTGAGAAGCTAGACGATACACTTTCTCAACCAAAAGTCTTTTTCGACAAGATCAAAGAACTGACTGGATCTCGACGCTGCGGGACCGGACATTCGGCACGACGAGACCTTCCGAGTGCTGTCGACTGTGCTTCTGACTGTTGCAGATTCGGACGCCGGCGCCGCCATTCTGATACTTCTCCGGGTGGACGTGAAGCACTTGTTCCAGTCGCCTGAAAGTTCGTTCCCTATTGAATCAAACTTTTCAATAACTAAGGCCTATTTTTATGGTAATTTCTTCAAGCGGGGTTGTTTTTGAATCGAATTTCATCACCCAAAAAGCCATAAATCAGGTTATTTTCAAGTAAATATTTTCCCATCTAACGCATGAATTCCTATTTTGAGCTTTCGAAATTGCCGCGGGGCACATTTGATTGGTTAAGGTCGTATTAAGTCTGAAGTGTCCTACAAGGAATATGCGCCTTTTTTGTTTATCTCTTAACCAACTTTCCAGATTTCTCCGCTCAGGACAATTATCCGTTTCAGGAGTCGCTGGAAAGCTTTCAGATTGAACTTCCTTTTGAGACTCAATAAAAGAGAGAAAAGAGAACGATATAAAAAGTTGATTGGGACGTTTTTTTTTCCTTCTTGCTGAAAAGCAAACGGATGACGCATATCATCGAGTTCCGACGAGTTGTCGGCATAAAATTGAAATGTTCGGCCGACTTCATTCAATTCGTCTGGTCTGGAATCCAGACTCTGGATCATGACCGCTCAGTTGGTATTACTTTTTCTCAGATGTCATTCCCGAGACCATTCAAAGAATGACTCAAAAAACTTCAGATCCTACGGTAGCGAATCTTTTTTGTTTAACATGAACCGAAATCCTCTATCACGGCCCATAAATCGCTTCCAGAGGCGTTTATTTTGGCAAGCCATTACTTGAATGAATGGCCGCATATCGGATTACGAGCAAAAACGAAGCGAACACGAAGATTTCGCGCTCCATGGCAAAATCGGCGGTTGTAACGCGGCATGTGGCGGGTGTGTGTCACGAATTCATGCCGATATGTATAAATTTTTCACAAAGTTTTCATTTCACAGGAAGAAAAAGAGACTACCGTAAGAAGATGGCGTCTCATTGATTATGGAAGCTGCAGGTCGGGGAGCATCTACGGAGAAATCTCATGAAAAAAGAAATTCCCCAGGGCATAAATTATTCAATCCAAAAATATTTGGGAAGAAGATTTTATTACACTTACAAACCTCATCAGTATAATGGAGGTATATCCAGCCACACTAAAGCGTGATAGAAATTGAGCAGATTATTTCAATACTCTTTTGAAAATCCCAAACTGGAATTTGAATGGGCGGCTAAAAAGTCCTATTAAAAAGCATAATCGAATTTTTTTCTGATTTTCTTTGTTACGAAAATGAGAAAAGATTCTTTTTGAGTGAAAAATAGATCGATTTAATCTCGGAAGACAAAGAAATCCTTCAAAATTCAGTAATCTGCCAAATTCAAACACAAAGAAGCTCTTGGAGAGCTGAAGAACATAAAATTTTCGACGCGAATTTTCAAAAAGGATCTTCGAACTGCGGTCATCTGAGTGAACTAAAAAAAAGATACTTACGAAATAAAGATAACTTTGTGATGAAGTTAATTTTTAAACTGTCAGTTCAAAAGGCTGTTTTTGAGAAATCAGCAGCCAGTTGAGTTTATTTTTCTATAAATCACAATGACGCGACAAAAAGGCTTGACTGTAAGACATTTTGCGGTTTCTCAAAAAAAATTTTTTTCTTCCAGAAATTTGGCACTGTTGTTGTTTATAACTCATGATTAAAATGAAGGAAGTTTTGGAGGAGCAAAGTGGAAAAAAATTCATGGTCAAGTTCTCTTCAAATCAAATCGAAATCAAAAATTTTTTTAACTTTTTGAAAACATTTCAACCTAAAAATTATTCAGGAAAGCTGTGAACTGAACTCTTGAATTTTTTTGAAATTAACATCCAAAGTGTTTATCAAAAGTTCACAGTCTCCAAGCTTTTACCATCTTCATGACCAAGCCTATCAACGCTTTTGATTCAGATACACCCTACAGAAAATTTAGTAAGACTTTGAACCGACTCTTTCAATTTTCCTACTATAAAGACTGGACTTCAAGAACTTATTCGCAAGAAACTGCAGCCTAGTTGAAGACAAGTATTACTAAATAAAACGATATTTTCCAGTCAATCAGAAGGTACAAAACGAGACCTGACAAAGGCATCGAGCATCTGAGAGAGGGTTTTCGAGTCGTAGGCCTGACCGTGACCACAAGGACAGCGAGGGAGATGATCGCAGGCCGCGGCGTTTATATCCGGAGGCTTGGCTTATCGCCCCGCCCACTTCTCTCACTCCCAAGCTGCCGTAGTCAAAAATGGTCGCGCTTCAATTATCTTGATTAGAAAGTCGCGGCATCACGTCAACTATGTTTGGATGTTATTACGAGTTGCTCCAAATGACGCGTTTCGAAACATCGCAGCTTGTTCTCGGTTTTGAATTTTTCGAAATGAGCAATCAGCTTTTTCGCAGTAAAAAATCAGAAAAACTTTTTGATAAAATCTGAGCTAACAGTCAAAGTTTTCCAATCTTTGAGAGATTAAGAAAACATTTTAAAAATTTGTTTTACTTCCATGAGAATTTTTTGTTAGTCTCTTCCGTTTAGTGCTCAACGTGGAATCTGTCGAAAGATGCGAAAAGAAGTTGCAAAAAAAAATGAAAATATTTAAATACCAGTTTGGTAAGTTGAAAAACTTCCCGGTAACTCCTGATTTCTGTTCAATAGAGTATTGAGTTAAAGATTCAGAATGCCTATAAATAAATCCAAAAATGGCGAATTAGCCCGGGAAAATTCCATCTTCGAAACTCTTCCTCAAGAAATAAGTCAACAACTTTAACAAAAGGTGTTTCTTCCAATTTTGCAGAACTGTGGTCAGACTTGAGTTATTATCAACGTCACACCTGCCTCATAGAAAGTGGAAAAATCCGTGACTTCACATAAAATCTGGCGATTTGAGATTAGCCGCTGGGGCATAATATTCAAATCGATCAAGAACCAGCTATTGCCGTGTGATGGACGGATTTCCCCGAGTGAGCTCTGCTCAGTCCAATTCCTATGCAAGCAAAGAGCGATTTGCAGATAAGTTGAAGGTGAAATCGTGAATTTGAAACCGAGTCCTGCTTAATAATAAAAGCGAACACTCTTAAAAATTCCCGAAAGCAGAAAGAAAATTCCAGATATTTCGGATATAAATCCACGCAAACCTTTTGGGTAACTCTTTTTTTGCAGGAATTCCGGAAGAAAATAACGAAGTCAAAAAATGGTCAAAAAATAAAAACCATTGAGAAGGCGATTGCTGTTTTTCCTTTGCTTGGCTTTAAATTTTTGAAATTCTCGATTTTTTGCTGTTACTAGGTTTCGAGTCTAAAAAATGAAAATGATGGCAGTAAATTGAGTGTGAAAGAACTGACTTTCATTAGCTCTGGACTTCGAAAATTCCCATTCCAGATATTCGAAATGTTCCTCCTATCGTCCGTAAATCTCTCGAGCTTGTCTAATTTACCTTACCTCAGAGATTCAAAAAATGAACAGAAAGGGCCACCTGGCGAGCCTCTGAGCCCACTCGAACTCGTTGCTCGGCTTGCTGCTCATGCTCATCACGCTCACGCTCGTCTTGTTCCTCCGCATTTCCGCTCATTCACACCTTTTCCGCCTTCTCTTCGTTTTTGAGCGTGCCTCTTGAGAACAAAGCGGAAATAAGAAGAGAAAAAACGTCATAAAGTTTGACAAGAGAATAAGAAAATGAAAAATAATAAAAATTTATGAGTAAACGAAGTCCCAATTATGCTTTTCTATCAAAAACTTCCTCATGAGAGCTCTTCCGAGAAGAATGATTTTTTTGATATTTTTTTCTGTAATATAAGAATCGTATTATGCCTAACTTTCGATATGAAAAATATGATTCGAAATATGCCGTGTTTCTTTGATGAAGCTTGGAAAAAATTCAAATGAGGTTGAAAGACCGGAGGAAACAGGCAAATTATAACAGGACTTTGAATTGCATTTTGATCCTTCATCATTTTTCGCGGGTTCAAAATTTACGCTTTTTGAAGGATAAGCAAACTTTTTTTTTCGGAAATAAAACTGGAAATAAAATGAAGCTGCGAAAAAGCTGGATACTTTGAAGAAAGCATGAATCATGGTTTCGAAATACTTTTTGAGCTGAGTTTAAGAACAAAAAATTCAGAAGATTTTAGATAATCAGAATATTTTTGATGCGTGGCCCTGTACTTTATTTGCACACATTTGAGGATTGAAGCTATGAAGTCTTTGGATTTTCTTTCTATTCTCTAAATTTCTGATAAGTCTCATAAACTTGTCGCGAAAATCCACGCTAAACAGAAGATTCAAAGTACTAAGACCTACGCAACGACTTCAGAATAGATTATGCGATGCGAGAAAAAAGGATCAAACTGAGATTCCTGGGATCCGCGGGCAACGGATAGATCACGTAGACAATAAAATAAAAAAGAAAGATCGAGAACGACGCAGAAAAATGAAACGTTTGGCAGGGGCGTCGAGGCGGACCGACAGCTGTGCGGCGCCGTCCCTTCAGGTCATGCCAAAGGTTCTTCGCTGATTTGGAAGCTAATCTCTATCAATCGCGTGAAGAACAGTTAAAAGCTGTCTTTGTTGCTGCTCAATAATTCAATGAAAAAAATTGTTCGAAAAAGGATTGATGAGTCACAAGCCTCCGTTGGCTGTTTCACGTTCTAGACTCGCATTTACTCAAGTCCTTTTCATTTTCATTCCCTGACAAAGAAGGTTATTTTACTTTATGGTTGAAGATGTCGTGATAATTGGACAAAACACTCCTTGGTGTGCCAGATAGAGGTCCTGAAACTCAACCTACAGTACCCGCTCAAAAGTATATTAAGTTTTTTGTTTTTTGAGAATATCTCAGCGAGTACTTATCCGATTTATATATAACTTTCTGGGATAATGTAAAAAATACTTTGAAACATATACGGCATACAAAGACATGTCCGCAATCACTGTGACGCGTTTTAAGAATTTTTTATTGAATTCAATTTTTTTTGTTTTTTATGCTTTTATTTTTATTTATTTTTATTAAATTTTTTAAGAGTAATAATGTTGCCATATGATTTTTTTCATGTTTTCAGACATGGGAAGAATCTCTGGAAAAAAGGATTTGACTGATAACGACAAAAGAGCCATCGTTGTGGGTCGTCAAAATGGACTGACCATGATGACGTTGGCAGGAATGTTCGGCGTGACAGAGGCGTGCATTTCTCAGTTCCTAAAGCGTTGGAAAGCTCAAGATGGCTCTACTAAGAGCCAACACACTGGCAGACCACGTGTCACTGATCGTAATGACGATAGAAACATTTTGAAGACGTCTAGAACCGATCCAAGACTCACCGCCCCTGCGATCAGACGGGAAGTTTGCTTGAATTCGCCATCTCCGCCATCCTTCTCGACCGTGAAACGACGTCTGAATGCTGCTGGAATCATGGGAAGACGTTCAGTGAAGAAACCGCTGATTTCTGAAAAGAATCGAGCCGCCAGGGTAAAGTGGGCGAAGGAGCATCTCAACTGGACCCGTCAAGACTGGAACGAGATTCTGTGGTTCGACGAAAGCAAGCTCCTCCTCTTCGGGAGTGACGGAATTCAGTGGGTTCGTAGACCAATTGGGTCCAGATATCATCCAAAATACCAATTACCCACTGTGAAACATGGTGGAGGACCGTTTCGTCGAACCACAGAATCTCGTTCCAGTCTTGACGGGTCCAGTTGAGATGCTCCTTCGCTTACTTCACCCTGGCGGCTCGATTCTTTTCAGAAATCAGCGGTTTCTTCACTGGACGTCTTCCTATGATTCCAGCAGCATTCAGACGTCGTTTCACGGTCGAGAAGGATGGCGGAGATGGCGAATTCAAGCAAACTTCCCGTCTGATCGCAAGGACGGTGAGTCTTGGATCGGTTCTAGACGTCTTCAAAATGTTTCTATCGTCATTACGATCAGTGACACGTGGTCTGCCAGTGTGTTGGCTCTTAGTAGAGCCATCTTGAGCTTTCCAACGCTTTAGGAACTGAGAAATGCCCGCCTCTGTCACGCCGAACATTCCTGCCAACGTCATCATGGTCAGTCCATTTTGACGACCCACAACGATGGCTCTTTTGTCGTTATCAGTCAAATCCTTTTTTTCCAGAGATTCTTCCCATGTCTGAAAAACATGAAAAAAATCATATGGCAACATTATTACTCTTAAAAAAATTTAATAAAAAAATAAATAAAAAAATAAAAAGCATAAAAAAACAAAAATTGAATTCAATAAAAAAATTCTTAAAACGCGTCACAGTGATTGCGGACATGTCTTTATATGCCGTATATGTTTCAAAGTATTTTTTACATTATCCCTGAAAGTTATATATAAATCGGATAAGTACTCGCTGAGATATTCTCAAAAAACCAAAACTTAATATACTTTTGAGCGGTACTGTACATATCTTTCTAGTTTTAAAGGGAGATGACACTTGAAACTAGTTGAGAAATGCTGTTATGGGAATTAAAGCCCTAATTTCTTGGAAATTTGACAGTTGTGCATGCTGAGACTCTCAGGATCAACTTTTAATACATCAATTAGTGTTCTGACCAACTTTTTGCTACGTTTCGAGACAGAAGAAGACGAGTCGAACCGTTTTTTCTTTGAAAGTTGAAGCGGAATTTTCTTTTCTAATGCTTTGGCCATCTTCTATTTTAGACTCACCATTATCTGGAAATCTGAGAAAATTGGAAAAAAAATGTTTCTCTAAGTTTCAAGGCAGAATCCGTAGATGAGCCAGCAAAACATCTTATCAAAACTCTCATAAAATCTTCCCCAATGATTTTCACTTGAAAAAACATCTTCCGATCTGCTCCTCACATTTAAAAAACGACTTGGGAACCGCTTTTTTCCCTTCAGAGGGCAAAAAGCCAGGTGTTTCCGTGGTAGACGAAAAACAAGAGGCCATGAGAACACGGAAAGTCATTTTTTTTCAACGATGGAGCAATTTCTGATAAGATCAACCTGAGGACAGGGCATTAAGATTAACCCATTCGAATAGCCCAGAGCGAGTCTTTGCAGATAAAAAACTCTTAAACTAATTTTTACAGGGAAAGTATTAACGTTTTCTCGTAGTATTCGTTTCCAACAAAGAAAAAACGGATAAAACGTACTTTTCAGGCCGCGTGAAGCTGAACATTGACGCTCATCAGTTTTTCGGCTGAAAATAACAAAGAAATGAAAAAAAAAGGAAAAAAGAGTTAGGAGCAAAGAAAAAACCTGGGAAATCTGGCTGAATCAAGTTTTATGTGGCTCAAACCCCGTATCTATGGCGTTTCGCAAAAATAACAAATGCGGCATATTTGAACGGAATTTGTACGCTTCTGGGCGCTTTCTCGAATGGCTCCTTTTCGAAAAACCTCATGCTTTTTAAAGAAAAAAACCCTCTTTTGGACCTAACGTCAGAATTTCTTAGAAAAGAAAGCGTGTTTTCGGAGGTTCGTCATAAAAATTTAGATGAACTTTGAGAAGGTGAAGGTCTATGTTTTTCATTAGAAGCCGCAGAATTTTAATTAAAAGTCGGATAGTGGAAATAATTGCGGCTTCGTTAGGGAAATTAAAGCTGAGAGAAGAAGAAGGTCCAAAAATGTGAAATTTTTGGAACTCGAGTTTACATCTCTTTGAAATGAAAACCTGTGAAAGAAATCCCCTATTTTCATCAAAATAAGTTGAAAGGAAATGTTTGTTATGGGCGACATATAGCAGAAAGTTAATATTGAAGATATTGGTCTAAATCCTAAGATAAAGCCTTCCAAGCAATGATTAAATTGTGACATCTTTTGATTGTCTCTTCTCATGTCATGCAGATTTTGTAAAAACCAAACAAGAATATCAGAAAAGTGCGAAAAACTGTGGATAGAGTTTTGAAACCTCCAGTCAAAATTTTCAAGCACCAAAAAGACAAAGCATGTAGAAAAAATGAGAGAAACAAAAAAAAGTGGCGGAAAACGAGAAAAATTGACGAAAAGGGCGGCTCACCAATTTGCATAAGCTGCATCTGAAATGGAATTACCACGTTTTTGTCTCAATTTTGTTTCTTTTTTCATGAGGGGGAACGATCTGGATGACAATACAGTTGGAATTCTCACAAAATCTGTGCAAAACCATCAAAATATCTACAAATACTCCGAGAGAGGGAAAACTAAAGAGAAAAAAAAATGAATCGGCCATTTTTATAGCCCATCGCGGATACAATTTCTATCGCAGGACATAATGTGCAGGTCTCACGAAAGCATGCTCCTTATTAATTAGCTGTTCTCATCATCGTGCACCGGAGATCCTCATTTATTTGTCGTTTGGAAATATTTCAAGAAGAAATGTTCATTCAACACGCAACTTATCACACTGACGTCAGGAGAAGAAAGATAATACACGCAAAGGAACAAGCAAAAGGCGGATCATAGAGCTTTCATATATCCGTATATATGGAGGGCAGTTATTATATTCTATCTGGTTTCTTTTTAGTTTCTCTTTTTCTTCCCGGACGATTTTGGCTTGACAGAAAGATTCCCATCGGCGCGGAACAACGCCGCGCCCAGCATCCAGCCGACGATTGGGCAGATCTCAAATCCTTCTCTTTATTCGAGAGAAAACTCTGTTTTTGTGGAAATTTTCGATTCGGTGGGTTTTAAACTGTACGATTCAGAGCACACAACCACTCTGGACGACTTTTTCCCGATTGACGAAAAATCTAGATTGAGAGGGAAACTTTCCTTTAAACACCTGTTTTTTACTAAACAGCCATATTTAATTTCCAGGTTTTTGTTAAAATTTTTTTAAGAAGAGAAATTTGAATTATCTCCGCTGAGAATTCGAGGCAATTTACTTCTTAAAAAGAATTTTTGATAGACTCAACTTTCCGCGCCGCACTTGATCCTACAAAAAAATCATCAGATAATATAAACTTTTTAAAAACTGTCATACTCCCTATTATTCTGCCGATTGAAATGGAAAAATAATATCAAATACTTCTACATGATCTTCTAAACTTTCAAATAATGTCTTGAGGTTTCAAGATAATAGAGCTTATTGGAGACACTTGAGACTGAAAAAAAGCTTTTTGTCAAGGAACCCACCCAATAAAGCAGGAAGAAAGATTGATTGTCGATTCCTTGGCAGCCGAAAAGTCTCGAAGTGGCCACTATAGGGTTCAGTCCAGGGACGCCAATCACGTACAGCGCTGAAAAATAAAAATTAAGAAAGAATTTGATGTAAAAAAGTGTTTTACGGCAAAAAAGAATGATTTTGATGGAGACTATGAAATCACCACCATTTTTCCTCTATTTTTATTTTCAAAGAATGTTGTCAAACGCTCAGCATTTAAAAAAAAGATGGAAGTATTTGAAATTCATTAGTTTTTTAAAGAAGTTTGCTGATAGCAACTTTCGAAAAATTAAATCTTAATAACTTTCAATCATCTTTTTCAATCAAGTGTTCTCTTACTCTCTCTCTCTATCTATCATTTCTAACCCGATTTCTGAGCTTAAAACTTTATAAAACTAATGTTTTCTGCTTTTTCTGCTTAAATTGAAAAAATTTAAGCCAAACAGCTCCGTTTCTCCGGATGAGAATATTCAACCCCAAATCTTACCCAGAGTCAGATACAACGACACAGCGAAAGGAATCAATTTGCGGAGCTTCGGCGATGACGCAAGATATCCGCAGACGAAACGCATCGTCGCCGCTCCGATCACTTCGAAGGCGATCACGGTACCTGCTGGTTGCTGAAATCAAAAAGTAACGATTTTCAGACAGAGAATCGGCGAACATGGTAATTGAGAATGCATTGAGTGTTCCGCGCGTTCTCCAAATGAGCATTGGAGTACTGGCTGGTGTTGTTCCAGATGGTGTAGGCGACTTTCGACGCGAAGGTCGCGCCAATCAGTTGCGCCGAAATCAGCGTGAGCAGCCTTGATGAACTGGAAATTCCGAAATTGTGTTTATCCCTCTGATTTCCCGGATCCATCAGTTCAAATATAAAGCCAACCTTATTCTGTTGTACCAAAACTCTTCAATGATTGGAAGGCAATTGGTGAAAGCTCCTCGATTGAAAACCCCACCGGCGGTGAGCAAAAGACCGACCACCACGAAAAATCCATTGAGACCGTAGTGTTTCACGATGATTCCTTGAAAAAACAAGCGTGGGAATTTGAAACTATCACGAACCATTCTCATAAACGCAAGTGCACATTTGAATGGTGCCGATCAACTCGATCAAGAAATCATGGGAACTTCCCCTGCGAGTGATAAATTTATCCACTAGCTGAAAACGGTTTGATGTGAGAAAAAATTCTGTTTGACAGAAAAAATGACCAGTGTGAGTGTAAATTCAGAAATAAATGAAAACAGACACAAAAAAGCGTACCACTCGTGAAATCTCGCCGATCACAAAAACAGCAGCGTAGAAACTGATTGCGGTATAAAGCGGATACAAATGAGGTTGATCCAAAGTACCATGAAAAACGTCCATACTCTGCAAACAGTTGAATAAGAAAAGATTTCCCTCAGAAAAATTCAAAACACATAAACTTAAAGGTGATTTACAAGCTAGTTGAGGTTTATTTCAAAACGCGTTCATGAGCCTAAAACGCAAACATTTATTCGATAATGTATTATAAATGAAAACAACGAATTAAGTAAGTATTTGCAAAAATTCTTTTTTCGAAAAAAAAAAATTGAATTTGAAAATTAAAAATTTATGTGGAGAATGTTGTTTTTATCGTGAGTGTGTACACTCTAAACACTTACTTGCTACAAAATTAAAGTTTACAACATAAAGAAAAATAGAAAAAAAGAAAGCTAGACTGAAAAATTCTTGATTGTGCTGTTGCCACATAGCAAAAAGATGATCAATAAAATAGTAAATGAGACTGCACCACCCTCCAGCTATCTCACTTGAGTCGGCGGAGAACGATTGACCCAGAAAAAGAGATATGTAGTTCCTACAATGCTAAATCGGAAGTGGCCTCCCAGATAATTTTTTTCTAGATAAAAATAAATAAATTCTCACAAATAATGTTTTAACTGTAATATGAAGTAAGGCTTGAGAAGAAAGGGCGAATTTTGGACGCAACTCGGCGATTCCTTATCTTTTTATACAGGTCTCAATCAAAAGCGCATATGTGTTTGCTGAGACAACTTCTTTTATTTGTTCTTATTTTGTAGCTTTGCATGAATATAGCAAAACTTTCTGCCACGGACCGAAATTTTTGAATGCTGTCCATTTCGTTTTTAATAATGCCGATTCACGCTAAAATTAGCGACTTTAGAAAAAAAAAGGAAAATTGACCTTGAATGTACTCAAGCGTTCGCGTGAATGGAGTATAGTGCGTTCCGCGCGAGACTCTTTTCAAAGAACAGAGCTTTAAAAAAAGAGCTATCGCTCGGGCAAAGTCAAAAAATGATGCAGAAAGGAAGTAAAAAGGCGGCAAAAGAGCAGCAAAGAAAGTCCCTTTATCGAGCCTTCCATTTTTCTAGAATTTCAAAGGCTCAAGAAATGGTGAAAAAGGGAGAGGCAGCAAAAATGGTGCATAAGTGCCAAGAAAATGGCGCAAAAAGGCAGCAAAAAGGAGCCTTTTTCGCCCTAAAAGAAACATTTCTATGTAGCCTTTTTCCACCCTTTCCGACTTTGCCTATGTAGAAACGGATTTTTTTGCACCTTTTCTCTACAAAACTGCGGAAAGAGAACAAAAACAAAGGTTTTGAAGTGAAGTTTAGTCGAATTTGAGGTATTTTTGACAAAACACGCTGGGGCGGAAGGGTCTAATAAAAAAAAATTGATTTCTGATCTTCAGCTGTTCTGGAGTAAATGGCTTCCTAGTTTCGAAGCAATCTCGACCACCTGAACGCCAACTTTGTATATATTTCCTCAAAGTTCGATAACTTCTAGTTTTCCAGACGGCTGAAGCTTGTAAAGTCCAAAACACAAAACTTCACTGAAGGATTTATAGAAAAGTATGAATGTACATAATAGGACTCTCAAAAGTGCCTCAAAGAACTTGATGAGATCAGAGGTATGAAGACACGTTTCATGAATTATGATCCGTTTTTGGCGCCGAGTTCCTGTTTCCGGCGCTCCGAATAGCCTTCTCGCATGTGATGAACGATCGCGTTGACAACTCTGAACTTTGTTTTTGATTTTTTTTTTTCTAAATGAAAGAAAAGAACCTTTGCCAAGCGATGATCATCTCGTTCCTTTTCTCGTCGTCGTGCATGTAGGAAGACAGCGTTTCGTCTATCGTTTCGGCCATGCAGACCTGTGGAAAAGTTTTCTTTGAATTCTTCACTCATAATGACTTCATAGAGCTATACTACCGTTATTAAATGTTTTTTATCTTCAGTTCGAGTTCTGAAAGCTTTTTCTGTGAAGCTAACGAACGCGTTTTTGGAAGAACGATTCCAACTTTCAAGCCACAAGGTCGGACTTCCACAATCGAGAGCTTTCGATTTCAAAATCTCCTCTTACAATCTTGTCGATTTAATTTTACTGAGCTTAAAATAAAGGCTCATTTTATGATGAAAGGAGATACCATGAAGATGTCCCAGAAGTGCGAGTGAAAGCCTCGGGAGATGAAGTCGACGTGTCGAGCTCCCAGTTGCTCACATGACGTCACCACGAGCTCATCGTCCAGTTCATACGTTACAATCTGCAGATACATACAATAGTTGGTGGAAGCATCCAAAAAAACAAAATGAGGCAGAAATACTCACAAGTTTGTGGAAAAAGGACTGTATCGTTGATGAAAAGGCCACGAAAGCTTCGTTGTTTTCTGGATTCTCATCCAGCGAAATTCCAAACGCTAACTGAACATTTTCGAACCTTTTCATAGTATGCTTTTCCATGTCTTACCTTTATTGAAGTGCTTCTCTGTGCTGAGCGGAGCCAAATGACTGTGAAAAGGTCTGGCTTTTCTGCGAGCATCCTGAAATGTTTGGATTGTGTCAAAGGAATTCGATATTTTATGTCCTTAGACTAGTCAAACTCTAAAAATTTTCTTGGAAAAAGACTGTTTGAGTTAACTTCAAAACTTGGAAATGTGATAAAACAGACTATAGATTTTGTCGAACCTTCTCGTGAAAATTGAAAACTGACTTTGGAAGCTCGGCTATAACGAGTTTTTTAGTTTTGCTTGCGATGGGACCGATTTGAGCGGCGCCGAGAGCCTGACCATCTTTGTCCTTTTTCCCTCGGATTGTCGACAAAAGACCCATCATCACTGTAATTCAATCTAGCTGAACGTCCAACCGACTTCTCACGATCTTTGAAACTCGCGAAGCTGTGAATCTAGAATGTTCCAGAACCACAAAGACCAGAAGATAGATTGAGCTCCCAAAAAAAGAAAGAGAGAGAGCGAGCAATTTTTTGAGCCAGCTCTAGTGTGACGGCATTTTTGTCCATTTAACGCGATATCCAAAGGTTTTTTTCATTTTCTTATTCATCCTCCCGGACTCTCTGTTGATCGAGCCGAAAGTTTGGGAAAGAAAATGATGTTGACTCTTCGTTTTTCTCGCTTCTGATTAGGGTAATCAAAAAAAATTGGGGTATTATCTGACTCGAAAATTTGTTTTGAAAGATATGAAAAATCTCTAATATTCCTGAGAACTCGAGAAATAGCAAGGGCCTGGCCTTATTGGAATTAAGAATTAAGATTTTTCTGGCAGAAATAAAACTGAAGAGTTTTTTTCACAGAAAGAAATGGAGAAAAAATAATCAGATTATTGAAAAAAAAAATGTATTAATCCTTTAAGAATCGCAGAGACAGGATGTTAGTTAACATCGATATGAGACCGAATAATCAAAAATCAAGGCGTGTCCTTGAAGTAAGTATTCCACTGAAAATTATAGAAAGCCCTTTTTCAGAGTTTGCGAGCAGTCGTAACACTAAAGGGGCGGAGATCGCAAGAGATGGAAGAAGAAACATTTGAATAAAAAAAGAAGCCGTTCGTGTTGGCCGCCAATTTCGAACATTTGCATTTAGAGTAAGGAAATAATGACTGGCCCTGCTGATGAGCTCAGCCATACGTATTCCAAAGTGAGAAATTAGCACAGAAAGAACTTTGTACTTACATTTTCCGCAACACTGAACTCAACTTGAAAAAATTTATTTCTATCTGACTTTTTTTTTTCAAATCGAACTTTGGAAGCCAACAAAATTTGGGAAAAGATTCAAGTGGCGACACTGACGCGAAATCCGATAGCGGTCGCACTTGAATTGCTTCCTCTTCGGATGTTTGTCTTTTTTTGGATGGTACAAGTTGACGTACTACTTAATGAATCTTTCAAAAGAAAACCTCTGGCATTATTTCGAGACGCTCCTCATTCACAATTTCAAAAAAAAGAAGTAGGTACACCGTAGTAATCGCAGCGCTTGCGGCAGGAGCGACGGAAAACTCATTATATTGAGCCTCACTAAAGCTGCCCAAAAATGCCGAGGACCGGAAAGAAGCAGGCAAATATTTTGGAATAAGCAGGCTTTAATAGACAGCGGAAAAGGAGTGGAAGAATTAAGAACGTTTGACTGACGACACGCCAAAAAAAAACATCTCGAGAAACAAAGACGCCAAAACAGCGATTAAGTAAACTGGAACTCGGGAGAAAAACCATTCGGAAGAGGTCAAATTGAGCAAAAACTGAGAATGGAAGTCGTCCCTCGGTGGCGATGGGCGGCCCCATGATTTTGTTAGGATTCTCAGGCGGTTTGTATCCGTCTATTGCTCAGAAAAATATCTTGCAACTTTTTTTTTTGAATTTCAATCACACCTATTAGACTGAAAAAAAGAACTGAAAAAAAAAATAATTTTCTTGGAGAGCTTCCTTTTGCAAAAAGACCTGCTAGTGACATCAGCTCCTGTTTTTGAGAGCGCACCGTTCAATTTAACCAAAAATAAATCTCAGAAAATTCCAATAACCTAGGAAAGGCTTCAGATTGGAGATTGTACTCCACGTTGAGCTTCGAAACTTTGGCGCACTTTTTTGGGCTCTCAATTTCCTGGGAAAGAAAACGTGAAGATTCTCACGACTCAAGGCGTTTATTTTCATCTGCCCAACTAATTTCCTGACCTCAGTTTGTTGTTGTTTTTCGTGCCTTTTTTGGAGAATCGTGTCATTTCATTTTGTCAAACCACTTGATTAAATTTTTTGGTTAGAAGACGCAAATTATCCTCTGTAGTTATTCCCTGTGAGGCCTTCAGTCTAAAAATAGGCCCTTGATAAAAAAAAATTTGATTTTGAGTCGTTTTCACGTTTTTATTTATTTTTTCTGAGGAAGTCTCAATTTTGATGAGCTTATTCAGGCTACAAGTTCAGCTAAATGCAAAAAGAAAACCGATTTTTTGCCAATGGAGAGCTTTTTCTCGGAATATTTTAAGAGTTGAAGCGCTTCTCAGGAAAAGAAAAAGATACATGCGGAATAGTTTATATGTTTTGTTTTTGACAGCCGCAAAAAAAATATCGACATTGGCTTCAAATTTTCGGAAAGAAAAAGAGAAGAAAGTTGAAGAGCTGTTAAGGGTCAAAGATTTCAGCTTTTGAAAATATTTGTGATGAAGTGGAAAACTGTTAAATTGGAATTATTGGTCAAAAAAGAAAAAAATGTTCCTTTACACTTCGAGTAGGGCTCCTTGAGAAATTCATGAGAACTCAAGAGAGTTTCGCGTCTTTTAGAACAAAGAGTGAAGTTCAATATTACATCGAGAGTCAGTTTCAGTTGAAAAGGATTTGAAAAGGATTTCCCAGACTTGAAATTTCTGACCTGTCTGTGCCCTCTGTTCTCTCAGCGAAGTCTTCGGAAAAACGTGAAAATAACAAGTAAACGGAAGAGACGTCAGACAGTTTCCAGCTCCGGGGGATGAATTGTGTCTATTTCCTCTGGGCGTATATCTTGAAATCGAAATGCTTGTGAATGGAAGGAATGAAATATCTAGGTTGGTCGAAAATAGATGCCTTGGAGAGATTTGTATAAATTACAGGGTTTGAAAAACCAAATCATGAGGAACAAACATTATTCCGCTACGAAGAAGAAGGCTCAAAGAGGGAACCGCAGACCGACCGAAATCTTTTGTTAATTTGAAATCTATACAAGAGCTGCATAGCTGCATTCTTCTTTTTGAAATTTCAAAACTTTGAAACTTTCATTCAGTCTTCAGAGAAGGTTCGCCGCTGAATCATGGAATAAATGAAGAGTTCTTGTCGGTCCGCAAAGCTTTCGTTGATCAAGAACGGCGCGTAGAGCATCTCGCCTTTCTTGTGATAGTAGTAGACGATTTTCGAGCGTTCGAGTTATGAGCAAAAATAGAGAGCGCCGTCGACCACATTTTTTTAAATGAATATTTCTTTCTTCAATTTTTTTCTGATAAAAAAAATTGATAATTGCAATCATAAAAATAGAAAAGAAACGCGAGAAATACTCAAAATTCTATTTTATTTTTTGAATACAAAAAACGAATTGGCCGAAAAAACGTTCAGTTCTGAAAGTCACATGGAAAACTACCAGCGCCAAGCCGACCTCGAGCGAAGTGAAATTCTCATTTGTCTCTATTTAAAAGATCCCGGTCGCAGCTGAAATTGCTCAGAGAGTGGCGGTCGCGTTGCGGCTTGAGCACTACTGCCGACTATGAAGACGGAAATATACAATGGCGCAAGTCATTTCGTGTCGGGCGCGCCTTGGGGAAAAATCTTTTTCGTGACTTCCAACCTGCATCGAAAGGTTACAACGACAAAAAAAAATTGAAAAAGATTTTTTTGAAAACAACGAGTTGAGTGTCCGGAATGGTGGAATAACAGGAAGGAGGGGGGCGTCGGATTTCATTAGTCGTTGAGGAGCACAAGTTGCATTCAGATTGCAATTAGCCGAGACTTGCAGCACGCAACTTCTTCAGTCACTTAGTCGCGTCTATTTTGTTCTTTGCGACGTTCCGGTCTGCCCGAATCTCCGATCTTTTCCGACATCCGTGCCCATATATCTGAACTCTGAGCCACACACAAATAATTTTATTCGTGGGAAAGTTTTTTTTTGTCCGTGAGAAGAACTTTTCGTGTGAATGTGACCTACTAACAGCCGTTGAGTCACGTTAAAATTCAAGTCTGAGTAACTTGAATTAATTTTGGAAATTTGGTTCACAAGCAGCGTTGAAAAAAAATTTTCTGGTCTCTCATCCGACCATAAAAAAAAACCTTCAAAATCGCGTAAAAATTATTTCTTCTGCTCAATAATCCAGTGATACCAAGAGGACGGCCGAAACAACGGAAAAGATGAGAGAATCCAGGCTGAGATGATACGGACACACTCTCAGAGCTAACAAAAAATCTGTTGCTATACATTGCCTTTTGATGGAAGTCACTGGAAAAAGACCAAGAGGACACTCTCCAAAACGACATGAAGAACACCCGGCTACACCCAGACCATGCAACCGATTGAATAAAATGGCGCCAACGATCCAGAGAAGCGGACCCCGAAACCGAGCGGGACAAAAGCTGAAGCAGAATAAGAATAGTCCAGGGATAAAAGAAAATGAGCTCAGTAGAAAAAAAGCTAGTTGAACAAAGTTCATCAGTGAAAGTTTTCTCTAAAATTCCCAGTTAGGTCATGAATCTAAAAAAAAGGAGCAATCGGAGCAATCAGTCGGAACTTTTACCCAACAAGACGAAAAAAGCAAAACGTCCGACTTCTTTCTGTTCCTAACGTTAGGCTAACGAGCTTCCGAACATTTCCTGCGACCTCTTATTGGGTCTTGCCAGAAGTTTTCCTCGTTTGTCTCATATGAAAAAATAAAAGAAAGAATGCACTCGAAGTAGAAATGAAAGAAGTGTGTTGTACAGTGTTATACTAACTTCTTCGTCGCGTCAAATCAAACATTTGGATGCACACACCTGGAGACTTTACGGTAGACGAAAGAACCATTTCACCTGTAATTGAAGCGCCTCATTCGAACAGAACTCTTAACAACTCGTTGCTAATCAATAGATAAACCATATATGAGAGAGCTACGGGTTCTAAATCCACACGAAAGCTTCGAAAACGGCAGGGTTCAATGTGTGCAACGGAAAACGCTCATTTAGAAAGTGAATAATTTATGCTAATCTTTTGCCTCATACTGGGAATTTTCGTTTTTTTTTTCAATCTAATTTTTAATGGAGCACCTTTCAAAAACGTAAATAATTTGGAATTCTGTGCATTATTGCTGACAAAAAATAACCGGGAGAGGAAGGCGATTGGAAAAAATATGAGTTCAAGACTCGTCTGAAGCGTTCCATCTTTGGAAGAATTTCTGTCTTGCAACGAGGAAGGTCGTTAAAAAGAAACTTTGGGATACTCTGAAAAATTGATAGAAAGCTTTTTTTTGTGTACCTGAGAAAAGTCTCCATTTTTCATCATCTTTTGAAGAACAAGAAGAAGCTTTTGACTATTTCGAGACGATTCCAACTTTGAGATGAATGTGTCCTCCATTTTTTCAAGCTAATGAAACTTCAGACATTTTACCAAAAAATATAATGCAGGGTCAAAGGAAATGAGAGGATTTTATTGTTCAAAGGAAGGATTGTTAGAAAAAATGAAAGAAATGTGAAAAGGAGAAGTTGAGGACGAAAGTCCTTGTCCGAAACTTTTTTCTTCTCCATCCTAAATGCCCTAATATTTTCCTCGTCTAAAGAGCCCTTTTCCGCGTTCTCATATTCGTTTAGTGATGTCATTTAGTCCATAGAAATCTCATTCGAGTTACGAATAGTGCATTAGGTCTTTCAGAATGAAATTGAAGTGAAAAATTGAAATGAAAAGATTTCAATAATCACGCCGACTATTTTCCCAATGCTCGTTTTCGATGCGACAAAAGATCGAGAATTCAAAGATCTAATCAAAGATGTGGAATTTTTTTTTTTGGTATTTTTTTTTCCAATCGGTCAAAAAATAAGAGCTTCAAGTCTCCGGACCAAGTCCATAATCCTATAATTCTGCGAAACGGCGAAATTTACTTCTAAAGAGTGCTTGCAGCTGTTCTTCCCACAAACCTTCCTGCTAATACTTGATGTCCTCGCGTTGGAATCATCCTTTTTTTAAAGTCGTTTTTCTTTTAATCTCGAATCTAACTTGAGAGTGGATAAAAAAATCAAGGGTGCAAGGGCGTTCACGGTCTTTCATACAACAATAGTTTCATCATCAATAACCTCTGTTTCAAGTTCTGAGTGTTCTGTGAATACAAAAGTAAAGTTTGAAAGATTTATCTTCAGAATCCGGTTCGATTTGAAATTTCGTTACTCGTAAAAATGTACAAAGAGATCGAGTCTACAATCAAGGAAGATGGGTTCAAGGGTAGGAGGATCGCGAGAAGATGAGCAGCTTGGCATTGTCGTCGCCGTACCAGTGGTTGCCCTTGTCGTCGTGCTGCGCTGCTCCCCAGGGATTAGATGGAGCCGGAGCCGCAGTGGCTGGCGGAGCCGTCGCCTGCTGCTGCTGCTGTCGCTGGAGCTGCTGTTGCTGGTAGTACCACTGGTAGTACTGCTGGCGGTAGGCCTCCATCTGCTGAGGCGTCATCTGCCACTGAGCCAGCGTCGCCGAGAAAAGGCAGCACAGAAGGATGAGAAGAACTGTATTGGACATGACTGATGAACCGTCGTAGTTCGTGCCTTCTTTTATACGACGCCAAAACGAAGAGTTTCGTCACATCCGCCCACGCGTCTCCGAGGCGTTCGACAAACTGAGCGGCGACGAATCAGATGTTTCCGATTGACCCGCCGCCACTGGTCAAGAAGGAAAATCAAGGTGATTGTTGTGTCGCGGGATTCCCCTTATATATTTAGAATCCATGCAAAAATGATTGTCCAAAAATTTTTTTTTTAAGGGACTCAGAAGCATACGGCTTTTTAGTGGACTCAGAAGCATACGGCGAACCAGATTTACAACTTGGAAAAAGCGGCAGTTAGCTGAAAAACTCTTTTTTTAAAGACAAATTCTCCTTCTTTTTTTTTCGCAATTATGATAACAATTTCGACATCTACTTATGTTTTACTGTGTTAGCACATTCTTTCATACGCAAATAAGCTTTTCAGAAGAGCGTAATCAAATACCAAAATTTCAATTTAACAAGCAAAAAAAAAATATCTGCAGCCAGTGGGCGGTGCCCGCGATTCTCAACCTACCTTTTTCAGATTTTTTCTCCTCACACTTTTTCTCAAATTCTTCTCAAAAGCTCGAAAATTTTGCTCCATATCGTCTCTGTTTAGAGTTTTCGAAAACTTAATTTTTTTTTAAATTAATTTTTCAAACGCATCTTTTATCCCATTATTTTTTCCACTATACCATTTTGGATTGTTTTTTTTTTCTTCTGCACGTCCTTGAACTTCCGAACTGCAAAAGTGGTTAACTCATTTTCTGCAGAAACTTGTGTGATGATAGTGAAGATCTTTCACCGGTCAGCGATTTGAAAAACTTTGCGACGGACACTATCGTTCTCTGTTGTCTGTTACGATTTTGTACTTCTTTTCTTTGCGTTCTTCCCAGCCGCGCAAACTGGTTCCTGTAATCAAAAGAATGAAGTTATTTTTTTGAAAACATCGAATTATCAAAAAAAGCTTGAATTTTATACTCTTACAAATGGAAAAATTTAATTTTTCAGTTTTGAAAAAAAGATAGATTCAGTTCACATTATCAGGTTTGTATAACCGCAGTTTTTTTGATTATGATGATTAATTTTTAAAAACCTGCTTAAAAATTTTCTTCTATTCTCACTAGTAACATCTGTGAAATTTCAGTTTTCGGAAGCTCGAAAAAAAAAAGTTAAAAAAGTTAACGCAGAACGAATTTGTGACTGCAAAATGCACGCGAAAAACTTGCATCTCGCGCTCAAATTTTCGGAGATGCGTTCAAAAAATTAATTTCTATTTCATTTCAAATCAACTGCTTTTTAATGTCTCCTCGCTAATATTGTCTATTTCGATGACTGAGAATACTTTTAGTCAACCACAGACGTGGACACGGTCTCGGGTAATAAATTTATCACTACATGTAAATTAATAGTAGCTTTTTAGATTTTGTTCAGTGCTCTAGCCGCTAGGATAACTTTGGTTCTTTATTCGCATATTCACGATTATATTTTCAAGGTAGTAGGTGCATTCAAATTTTTTGAAATGTCAAAATTCAGGTCAATTTCACGGATATCGACTATCACGTTTTTTCTGATGCTGCTCGTCATGTTTGGAAAGGCGGAAGCCCATACGACAGGCCAACTTACAGGTATGGTCATTATAGAAAAAAGTTCCCTGAAAACACTCGAAAGCGGCAATTCTATAGGTACACTCCGGCATTAGCATGGATTCTTCTTCCTGTGGTGAATTTCCCAGACTTCGGTAGTGATATCGAAAGTTTTCAATTTTATCAAATGCTTAAGGCAAACTTCTCTTTTGTTTTTGCGATATCTTCGTAGCGTGGATTATGCTTCAAGTTCTGGACCGGCAGGAGCTTCAACATAAGAAAGAATCAACGAAAGTGTGTTCCCATTCTTTTCAATAAATTTTTCCTAGGGCGGCTCTCTCGCTTAATTATGTAGTGGTAACGTTTACCCAGTTTGCATTTTCAGAATACAACATCTGAAAATAATAAAAAAATTTGTTTACTTGACGATCAAGTAAAACTAGTGGTCCTTTTCTGGCTGGCGAATCCACTAACTGCCATAATTTCCGCGAGGTTTCTTTTTCAATAATTTTTTGTTTTTTGCAATGGTTATTTAGAGGGAATGCTGAGGCGATTGTGGCTGCAGCTGTTCTTCTCACGATTCTGCTACTTCAGACGGGATATGTGAGATAAAGGGTATTTTTTTCCTTCTAAACAACGGTTGCAGTGGAAAACAGCGGCTTTAGTACACGGAGCTCTCGCAATTCACTTGAAAATCTATCCGTTGATTTATTTACCTTCAGTTTTCTTGCAGTTGTCGTCTTACGGTAAACAGAAAGGTAGGAATATAGTTTTAATTTTGCCTTTTCTTTTGTAAATCCTAACTCTTTCAGACTTTTCGTCTAAGTTCAAAGCCTTGTTGTTTAACTGGAAAGGGCATGTCTACCTGATTGTAAGCTGATATTACCAATTTTTTCCACTACTTTTTAATTTGAAGATAACATTGTCTTCTTTCGCTGCAATCGTTCTTTTTTTCTATCAAATTTATGGAGATACGTTTCTCGAAGAATTTCTGCTTTATCATGTCAAAAGACGGGATATAAAGCACAATTTTTCGCCTTATTTCTATCCTCTATACTTGGTGGAAGGTGAGTGTTTGTTACATCCGATTAATTATGAACTCAATCAAAAAATATTTTTCTCAGGAATTGAATGTTGTTTTCAGGAAACGAGTTCTTGTCCAAATTGATCGGTTTCTGTGCTTTTCTTCCTCAAGTTTTCCACGTCATGTTCTATGCTTTTTGGTGAGGTTTCGCGTCTTCCTTTTTTTATAGGAACATTTTTTTACAATTTAATTTCAAGGTATTTCAACGATTTGCCGTTCTGCTGGTTCATGTCGACCTTCGCTTTTTGTTGCCTATAACAAAGTGAGTTTTTGTGAATTTAAAATATAAACTTGAAGAGATTTTTTTAGGTTTGCACCAGCCAGTACTTTGTTTGGTACATTGTTCTGCTGCCTCTTGTTGCCAGTAGAATAAATGTTCGTTTTTTTTTTAAATTTCTCTCTCAAATTATGATGAAACTGTAGTAAATACTTCCTTGCAGATGGAAACTTGGCGAGCAGTGAAGTTGACCTCAGCGTGGCTGGGAGCACAAGGAATTTGGCTTTTGGTGGCGTATCTCTACGAGTTCCGCGGCTGGAACACCTTCCTCCACATGTTCCTCGCCTCCTTGCTTTTCTTGTTCGTCAATGCCTTCATCCTGCGCGATCTACTTGCCAAATATAAACATGAAGATTTTAAGCTCAAAGCTGAATAAGTTATTTATTGTGATCTCTTACTTGTTTCACGGGTGCATATGCAAGTCTTAGATGTAATAAATTTTCTATTTGTTCGCTGTCGAACCCTCTTCGCTTCGTTTCCATCGTCCTTGTGTATTTTTGGAAATGTATATAAGTTTTTGACCTTGGTAACATTCAGATGGTGTTTTATCTGATCGGCTTAGGGTTAGGCGACGTTGAGGATATCACTGTCAAAGGCCTGAACATTGTCAAGTTTGGAGTAGATCAGAAATCAAGAAAATAAGAATTTTCGAGGAAATGTTCCCGCGTACATTTGGAAGCTTACACGAGTATTTTGTGTTATGGATTGGACAAATCGAAATTGGAAGAGTTTTACGGGCGGCCTGTCATTGAGGCGGACAGAACAGCCGTCGAACAGAACTCTGGTTAGTCGTTTTTTTTTGAATCAGGAAAAATAAGTTCAGAAAAGAGAAGAAATAGCATGTGACCAAGATGGTCCAGTTTAGAGCAGCCACAAATTTTTAAAAGAAATTTTCTTTTTTGTTCTGAATTAATATCGTCTGAACCTGAGAGCGTTGAAGAAACCAGCAAAATATTTGGATGAAAAAAGAAATTCTTGAATAGGCAGTAAAATAATTGAAAGAAAGTTAAAATAATACAGAAAAAATTAGTAATTGAATTCTTGGAGATCAAATGCCATCGAGAGACGGTATTCGACAAGTTTTTGTAGCTTGCCAGGGATAACCGATATGAAAAATTCTTACAGAAGAAATCCTCAAAGGAGCCGACGTGGAAGACGTCGCGCTTCTGGTCGTCGGAGATCCTTTTGGCGCCACGACACACGCCGATTTAGTCCTTCGAGCCAAGCAATCTGGAATCCAAGTGATTTCTCTCAGAGGTGGAGAAATGAGAAGGCAGCCCTTGGCTTGGCGGCCAAGCCAAGCCAAAAAGCCAAACGATAGAAATGAGCCATTAATTTACGTGGTCTTTGGCAACTAGGTCAAGTACGTGCCGATAACGCCCTGAACTAATCATTATCAATTTTGTAAATTTTTTTAATTGTTTTTTTCGCAACTTTGTGTTAACGTTTTTTTAATCTACTGTAACAGTTATTTCAGCAGGGAATTGTCACGGAAACGGGTCAAAAGGCTACCTTTTCAATCTCACTAGAGAACTATTTCGACAAAAAAATTTTGAGATGCTATGAAATTGATGCAAAAAAAAAAATTCATTTGGTTTCCAAAAAAGTCAAATGACTGAAAAATCCTATTACGCCAGGCCACCTCGTTAAGAGTGGAAGGCTTACAGTTCTCTACCTGGATTTTTTTCCGGTGGTATGAAAAATCAGCGAATTTTCGAAATGCGACTTTTTTCCGATTTGTTCAAATCGCTAAGGAACTTTCCGACGGCCACCTTTCCGACGGACCACTTCCCGACTTTTTTTCCCTTTTTATTTTTTTCGGTTCCTAAAACATTTTTTTGTCTACTTTTTTTGTGTTTTAATCATGAATCAACTACCTACTTTATATGGGGGGATTCAAAACGAAGAGTTTATTTAGCAAAAAAGTTGAAAAGGATTAGTCGGAAAGTTCTCCGTCGGAAAGCTCTCTAGCGATTTGAAAAAATCAGAAAAATCGCCGTTCGAGTTTTCGCTGATCTTTTTTTCATACCACCATTTTTTCGTGTTTTTGTGTTTTTGTAAAAAAGTTTCATACATCGCTCAAAACAAGCGCTTCTAGATGTTAGGGCGATTTCGCTTTACAAATGACCGTCGCGCCACGCTGACTTTTGAAAAAGTCATTTCTGCCTTTTGGGCGTTTATGGCTTGGCAGGCAGGGCGGCCAGAGGGCAGCCATCCTCCACCTCTGATTTCTCTCATTTTTTCTGTGTTTTATCATACGAAGTCTTAGGTTCGTGTGATACACAATGCTTCTATTATGAATGCGGTTGGATGCTGTGGTTTACAGGTGGGCTTTCGATTCTAGTGAGAAAATGGAGTTAGAGGTCGACTTCTATTGCTTTTTTGAAACTGATTAAGAAAATCTTTTTCTTCGAAATTCACCAATCTCTGCTGGACTGGGGGGTGAAAGGAAAAGCGGAAAGCGCATAGAAAGGCAGAAAAAATGTTCGATTTCGATTTTGCAGCTGTACAATTTTGGAGAAACAGTTTCGATTGTTATGTGGCTGGACGGCTGGGAACCGGACAGTTATTACGACAAGATTGCCGGCAACAAAAATAGCGGAATGCACACTCTTTGCCTTCTCGGTCAGTCTTTCGAAAAGAATCGGCCCAACTATCGTTTTTCAGACATCAAAACGAAGGAGCAGACCGTCGAAAACATGATGAGGTTTGAACTGAAATCTACAGTGTCTCATGAAATTTAATAAAAAGCTATTTGTGCCATCTTCATTTTTGAATCGGCGTGATTGAAATAACTTTGATAAAAACGCATACATATGGGGTCCTTTTTTTAAATTTCCAGTGATGTTTTGTTGGAAGTTGTCTAAATAGGTCGGAAAACATGTATGACGAGAAAGGTTATTGGATTCTTGCGCTATCTTAATTTTTGAAATTATCCCAGAGGCCGCAAGATCTACGAGCCGCCACGATACCTGACGTGTTCGGAGGCCGCGCAGCAGTTGCTCACGATCTGCGAGCGACGGAGCGAGAAAGGCGAAGCCCCAGGTTCCATTTACGCAGTTTTTATTATTGCAAAGTGTGTGTTAATTTCAGTTTTGAACGAAAATACGATGGTTGTCGGATTGGCTCGCGTCGGATGGGACGATCAAAAGGTTTTTTTTTCTTCCCCACTCCCGGTAGTTTAGCTGAAGGTTCCACGAAGGTGCATCGAAAATGGTCTTAAAGAGACGTTAGCCTTTGGTTTAAAACTTGAGTATTTGAAAGAAAATAAGTTATTTGAGAAGATATCTCCCGTTAATATTCATGTTTAATTCTTAAGTTTCCAACTTTTGTAACTTGATCCATGAGGGAAGAGTTGAATCGAAAAATACAGTTTTTTATTCTCCGTTTTTAGCGTTGTTAGCTTTTGCGAGTTTTTTTTTTGGTGTTTTATGTTCTTTTCGGATTTCGGCAGATCAGTTCAGCTGGTCCGTTTTGGCACACTGGTGGTTCAAACTGTGCATACACCGATCTCAGTTTTTTTGTGCGGTATTCGTTAATAACAAGTTTTTTTGTACGAAGAATAGACAAATTTGAAGAAGAAAAAAAATTAGAATATTCAAAGATGGAAGTTTAGTTTCATAAAAAAAGTTTCTGCGAACGCTAGCAAGTCTTATGAAACGGCCTAATTTGAGAAATTTGATTAAAAAAGCATATTTGAGAAGGCTAATAATAATAATAATAATAAGATCTCTTCTGCTTTTCCCAAAAAATTGAAATGATTAGCGGAAATTTAGAGCATCTTTGTGGTCTTGTTCAATTCGAAAAACTTTCATTTTGAAAAGAAAAAAGTTGCCTAGTATAAACTAGAGAAATAGCACAGTGAAGATTCCTTCGGGCTTGAAGCAATCCTATGCCAGGTCAGTGAAAGCCTTGGTTTCTGCTGAAAGTGCGGAAGAAAATGGCAACTTTTCGAGTTATGCAAGGGTTCTGCAGACGGTCTACTGCACTCTGAAAGAAATGGCCTCGCTGGACATGGGGTCGCCGCTGCACTCCCTGATCATTCCCGGCCAGACTCATCCGCTCGAAGTCGATTTGCTCGACACCTTCCGGTTGCCGGAGAAATCTGTCAATTGAATCCTTCCCTAGCAAAAAACATCTGCGTCACGCCTATTTTCTTACAAAAACACTAATTTTCATCCGTGTCCGGCTTCCTGTTTCTCATGAGATGTTATGGCTCCTTTCCTCGGATTTGCCAAAAAACCAGTAGTCTACCGAAAATCAGTTTAATCGGTTGTTTGGCCCAAACTAATTTTTCGGTTGGAAAGATGGACTGTTTGTTGAAGTTTCTTGTTCAAGTTGTTGAGATTTTCTTCTTGTTATACTTTTTTAAACAATAAATGTCTGAAAACCGCCTTCAAGCTCTCTGAACAAATCATTCATCTAGTTGACTTTTTTTTAGGAAAAGGGAATTTTTCTGTGTTTTGATGGTAATTTATGTCGTGTGGCTTGGGCGAAATGTAAATGAGCCGGCTAAGATTGGGGATTTTCAGTGGCTTCTTTTTTCGCCTAGCCACTTTTTTTTGGCAGAGGTCAGCTCAAGCGTATCGCATGTCGTTGGGATTACGTCTGACGTCTTCAATTTTTAGTTTTTCTTCTTTATTTCAGTCTCTGGTTTTGTTTTGAGAGCGTTTCTTTTTGCTGGAGGATATTCAGTATTTTTTGGGTTGTTTTGAATTAATAGCTTTCCGCGTTCCTCCTCATCGACACAGCTATCCTCAATTAAATATTCAGGAGGAATAAGGACCGATTTTCAGTCTTCTCGACAACATTTCCTACTCTTCCTACCCTTCCTACTTCCACTTGTCGACCCAAAAAACACTTGAAGTTCAACGAACGTTTTTCTGGATTCAGGTTGAACCCAGGCGACGCAGGAGTTCCGATTTGATTTACTTTCGACGCAGGAAGCTCTTTCAAAGGTGTGTTATTCAATCAGAAATTCGTGTGACCACGTTTTTTTCTCATTCAAAAGGGAGAGCAGTTTGAGGAGCTTTGTCTCGATTTTCCTTCACTTATTTGAAACATGTTTTTGATGACTAATTGTCGGTTTTTTTAGGATCAGGAATGTCGGAAAATAGAGTAGCTTGTTCTCGACATAATACTTAGATTTGAAAGAGAATCAAACTAAATCAAAAAGTACAAAAAATTGATATCAATGCAAAATGGAAAAAAAAAGTTGCGATGAACAGCTCAAGCCTTCAAAAATTGATGTCTTAAGCGTGGATAAGCCACAGGGAAGAGATTAGAAGAGAGTCCTTTTTTCGGAAACTCATTCTCATTTACTCTGCTCTTTCCCCTTTGGTCTCAATTCGTGTGAATTGGAACTGTTTCTACACATTTTGGCGCTCTGTGAAGATCAATCGTCCACTTCCCTCATAAAATTTGTTAGTAGGCCATTTATTCGATTCATAAAATGCGGTCATTCCATTCGAAGAATCATAAAAGCTATTTCGACGTCGAGCGAAAAAAGAAAACAAAAAAAGAACAATGGACTCCACAAAAAATTTTAGGGAAGTGCCGTCTTTTTTGAATCGGCGTCATCATGGGCCATCGAAGATTCAAATTTTATTGTTTCAATTATTCACATGTTTGATGGCTTTTTTAATGTGGTTTTTTTTGAAGAGAAACGAGGAGGTTTTCCCAAGATGCTTCATCCTGAACAGAACCGACGGCCCTTCGAGATTGCGGTCATCGGCGACGGGTCGCTGTAAGTGTTTTGAGCTTCTATTTGAAAATTCGCAAGATACAGAAGAAAAAGAACTCTCGTGAAGGTCCAAAAGTACTATTTGATGGCTTCAAGTCATTGATTGAACGTACATTATCTCAAGAACTTGTACTTCCACGCTGGAACACAGGAAGTAAAGCTGACTTGCCGAGGGAGTCGTTTGCATTTGATTTGAATTGGTTATAAGTTTTTTTTTCTCGGAAGCCGGGCTAGGAAGGGTTTAAGCAAGAGAGTATTCAAAATAAATATCGTTTTTTGTTATTTAGATTGTGCGTTTATTTTTCTGAGGCTCTCACAAGGCTGAAGCTTGGCGGCAATCAGGAAAGCTTCAAACCATAATACGGGCAAAATACGGCGATTGCTTTTTCCCACTGACAAATTAGGCGTGGAAGCCAAAAGGAGAAGTCAACAATTAGCACTTGGGGCCCATCAAGCTGAAAGTTTGGCGCCAAGCCAGAAGGCCCAACTGTTCATTGTATCCTCTCAATGTTGCCGTGGACAGATTTCCACATAACGAGTAGGTTTCTATGTTAATCTCTCTCATACAAAACATAAAAGAAGAGACTCAAAGACATAATCTTCATCTCACAATTCTTTATTCATCAAAAATAAACACTCCATCCACTTTATTCACGCCTCAGTTTTTGTCTAGAAATTTTTCTCGCTCAAAATCCTCCTTTCTCTATGCGAAAAACCTCGGTGAAATTAGCTAGAGCTTTGAAAGTCGTCAGAAAAATTGCCCAGTGCGAACTTCAAACCAGAGCAAACAGCTGTGTTTTCCTTGTGCCGAGAGAAAAGAGCACCTTGGAAAACAGATTTGGGGAGTCCTGTGCCCATCGAAGGTATGTAATGCCAATTTGCGAGTCCGGAGGCCTCCAGAGTCGAGAAAAGTCCGTTCTTCTTCGTCCCATTCAAGCCCATCCTTTGCGGTTCACCGGCTCTCCTTCCATTCTTTTTCCTCTTCTTTTGGCCTTTCCTCCCAGACTTCCTACAGGTCGAAGTTTCCTCATTGTTCCCGAAGCCTTCAGGTCGTTTGACTTGAATAGCCGTTGTTTGCGACGCAAAAAGCCGAAAAATGTAGCTCCAAGAAAAACTTGTGCGCTTCATGGGAAATTTCTGAATGAGTTTAGACAAACATAAACTTTCTAAAATCATCGTCTTAATCCATGAAACTGTGACAGGAAGCTCTAAATAATCAGTAAGGGGCTTGAATGCGCCCCCTCCTGCATTTTGCCAGAATAATCCAAAGTTTATGAAATTACTTTCGCTGTTTTAGAGTATTTTTTCGTTAAGACAACACTTCGTAGTTTTCATTAAGCTTCCTCGTGGTCACATTTCTCCTAACTGATCTATTTCCAATCAACTTTACTCCCCATAATGGGCGAAGCGACGCGTTTCGTGTTGCGATTTTGTGATTGAGACTGCGCGAAAAAAAAAAACCAACTCCTGCGCTCCTCCTCCATTATTCCTTTTTCATCCTTGTTTTTTTTCGCTTCCTTGTTTCGGAATACGTCTTATTTGCAATACCAAGACAACCGAGAATGCGGCGGAAAGTCGAATTCGCCGACGACGTCCAGGTCTTCCCCGCCACAAAGTTGGTTTTTCAGTTTGTTGCTCAGGCTATCGTGAACTCACTTGTCTTCAACTTTTGTGCCGTGAAAAAGAATGGAACTTTTGAATGACGGAACCTTTTTTCCTGCCAGATCATTGTTCGTACAAGTTACTTTCTTAATTAGCTAACCTATTTAATTTTTCTGTTATGAGAATCGAGGACGACTAGTAAAATTTTTGAAAATATCGAAAAAAAAATGTTGATGAGCTTCAGAGGCTTAAAAATCTCGCATGGAATTAAAAAAACCTGAAAAACTACTATTCACTTTCAAAAAAATTATTGAGGAGGTCAGATTGGTCAAAATTTCAGATTTTTATTATGTATTTGATAGAAAAAAATGTTCAGTTGAAGTTTTTTTGAACCTCGGTATTTTTCATTTGATCATTTGATAAAATTCATCAAGAAAAATCTGAAGTTTAGGTGTAGCGTATTACCTTCACCAATTACTGAGGCTCGCTTTTCTTTTAGCTTTTAAGCTCAAGAAAAATAATTATTCTTCTGGCGCAAAAATATCAAGTTAGTAGAAGGTTATCAAGAATTCCTAATTAACGGTTTTAATGTTTTTTCCTGAGTGATTGGCGATTTTCGAGAAAAGTGCACTTTTTCCCTTTCTGAAAAAAAGCCTCCTCGACATTGTAGCGCCGGATAAAAACAGTAATTTGAAATGCAACGATATTTAAGCTGGATGAGGCTAACTGCTGAAGAATTTTTCTTCCGCAAGCAAGAACAAAAGTTTGCTTATTTTTTTTTCTTTTGTCTTTTTCTTCTGTAATAGATATCGTGGGAGCTTCTGGGGCCACTTCCTGCAACCGTTTTCCGATTCTTCTTATCGCAAAAGCTCACCATTAAACCCTGTCTCGTGAGAATTTCTTCCAGAAAAAAAGATTATTCTCAGGTTCGCCTCTGTGAAATCGATATTCACAAAGAAAAAGTAGTTATGAACTCCCCGTCGAGTCTTTCTCGGAATAGACGTCGCTTAAAAAAGTCGTTTTCTCCAAAAAAAAACCTTTTATTGCATGTAGTTATAGGTGTCCTGCTCGGTTATCTTTATGAAAATATTTTTCGACTGAATATCAAATATCTTCAGAGTTGCACAACTTTTTGAGAAGAAGCGTGAATAAAAAAAGTTTGAGTAGAAATATTTAAATACTTTATTCGAATTATTAGAATAGTTGGAACACGTAGAATTTCTTCTAGCGCGTGATTTCTTTTTTTGAAAGTCGAATAGAGTCGGCTGAAATTAAATATCCTAGATTTAGTTCGAACAATTCCGCCGCTTCTTTTCAGCCGATCTCATTCAATTTTTGAAACTTTGCTCTAGTTTTTACTCACGCCATTTCAGAATTCCTAGGAGAAATTTATTTTTAATTGGAAATAAAAAGTTGAAAAATAAAGAAAGTTGCGTTGAAATATTTATACTAAACCACCTATAGAGATTTTTATAGAAAAATATTATCATTGGTTTCGCAGGAAGTTTTTTTCTTGGAAAATCCCTTTCTGAAATTGAAAATTTTCAAAAATCTTCATTTATGAGAAACGACTTGGAGGATATAGAAAATTCGACAAAAGATAATAACTTCTCACTGATGTATGTATAAAATCTTTCTTTACACGCTGTTTAATTTTTTTTTACTTCTGTGAATTTTTAAAAGAGTTTTGTAACTGTTGTGTGTGTGGGTGTGCGTTTTCACAAAATCCCTAGAAACTTCATAATTTTTCTATAAAAATTTCCAAAAAAATTTTTTTATTAGTGTTATTAGCGCCGAACCTATCGTGGAATTTTCATCTTTCCCACCAAATTATTCAAAGCCTCGTGTTAGACCTCAAAGCATTATTAGGTCGTAAATATTATTAGGCGTGCAATTTCTTCCAAATTTCATTTGTCAGAAAAAAAGCAAGAAAAGAGCCGTTGTTCTTGAAGTTGACAAACTTGAAATTTTTGAAAAAGGTCCCAAAAACCAAGAAGAGCTTCTCCTTGTTGAATTATTCAAAATCCAACGGCGTCGTCCTTTTTCTTTATGGTTGAAGGGCAGACTTGCCAAAGAAGAAAAAAGTTCCCGGTTGGATTCAATTAGGAAAAAAAGTGTCGAAAAAGTGACACAGTGGTGGTTCCGCCCATTTCGGATACTGACATTGAGAAGCCGAAGAAAAAAATCGGCAATTTGGGTGGCTTTTGCCCTGAAGGAAAAAAGGCGACGCCGCCCCTTTTCTGGAGAGAACCGCTCGCAGTCGGGCGCGTTTTTTCCTTCTTTTCGCTGGAAGAATCACTCTGAAACTCCCATGAGAACTGACCAGTTACGTCTCAATTAGTTCTACCTCGTCAACCTATTTTCCAAAAAAAAATTTTCGCCCTCCTCCGAAGAGAATGGACCCATTGACGAAAGTCTCGATCCTCTCGCCGCTCGCCATGCTCCAGATGCATCATCACGAGCCTAAGAAATCTTGGATTCGCAGGTTTTTTTTTTGCTTCTTGTTTTTTCTCTGTTTATTTGGAATACCCATACTCATGAATGCTTTCTGATCAGATTGTTCATCAATTTTGAACTAGTTTACTCACTTTCGCTCATTAAAAAGAATGAAAAATCAAAAAACTCATCAGCTTGATTTAACTTATATTTTTGAATAATGAGGAAAACATACATAATTTGGTCGATTCACTTCAGCTTGATAACATCCAATTTGATAGCGGTTTTGATTGGCCTCACTTTTTTTCTTTTCCCTTTGAATGGATATTCGAAATTTCCCATTTTCGCAAAACTTTTCGAGTTCTGCTTCAAACTAATAGAAAATAGTTGTAGCTCTGAACGTGAAGATAACGAGAGATTTTCTTACTTGAACCCGAAAATGTTTGCTTTCGGTTTCTTTTTCTTCTAAGTATGTTTGAACTAGCTACTAGAAGATCTGAAGTACCAAGAATACAAAATTTCACGGTTCTTCAAAAGCTGTGAAGTTCTATACAGCAAATAAAAAGCTATTTTTTTTTCAAAACTTTTGGAAGTTTCTTTGCGTCCTAACTATCTTTCGAATCATTTTTCTTCTTTTTTTACAGTTTTTTTCAACTTTTGTGATTCACGAAAATTATTGACGAATAAGGAAAAATATCGAGAAAAGGTTGAACCAACAAATTTGGTGTCTGTTTTCACAATATTTCATCATTGAGACACTTTTTTCATCAGTTTTCGCATTTCTCAAGTTTTCAGGATGCTATGAATTCTCTGCTTTTCATCTTCCATGAGAATCCATCTCCATTTTTCAAACTCCAAAAAACTTGTTTGATATGTGTTGTGGTGGCGGTTTTCAGCGCTTGTTTTTGGCTCCCACGCGTATTTTCGTTACCATGAAATGAATGGATTTCTCCCAGTGGAGGAGCATTTTATCTCCAGTGAAATAGCACCTTTTTATCCAGTTCAAACAAAGGAGGACTCCTAGAACTTCATTGTCTTCGGGGAAAATGTTTTTTTCGGTTGAAAACTCACCAAGATATGAAAACTTGAAGGAAATTGAACGATTTCACTTTGGGGATCCAATTTTTCTTCTTTTCTTTTTTGGTTAACGCCAAGAAGAAGAAGTTGACGGCGCGAAGACAAATGACAGCTCCCTCAAGAATTATGCACCTGTTTTTGGGTTTTCAAAATTTTTTTGGATGACTCGAAGCTCTTTCAAAGAAGGAACTCAATTTTTGAGGTACTTTGTTCACATATTAATCCAAAGTGAATAAAATAGTGAAACTTTTCAGTTCCTGGGAATTCAGTGACTAACCTAAGCTAATTGAGCGGACGCGCCAACTTTTTTTGGTTTTTTTTTCTTGAAGAGACGTGAGACCATAGGCCTCTGGTTTATCAAGAGCTGACAAGTCAAATGATGAAGAAAAGGAAAAGAATAAAAAACTTTACGGCTGATTTGCAATGATCTCAAGGGTTCAACTTTCCCATTCTCATAATGAAAAGTGCACGAGACAACTTTTTTCTTGTCTACGACATCCTCGTTTCTACTGAAACCATTTTAATTAGTAAATGAGGTGATTCTAATAAATGAATATCACCGCAAAAAGATTGAAATAATTAGAGATGTGGAAAAAGCTAAGGTTGGGAACGAGGTTTTCTAGGAAACAAAACTGCGACTGTCACGATCTCAAAAAACCTTTTAGTAGCACCTCGATTTCTCGTTAGATCTAAAATAGCACCGTAAACAGTTCTTATGCTACCTAATCAAGATTTCCTATGCAACTTCTAACTTCTCAGCGAAAATATTTGAATAAATAAAAGCTAAAGTCTATCAGTTTCTTTTTTCTTATCATTTTTCCTATTTCACTTTCAATGCTTTTGACCCCAGGAAAAGGTTCAAAAGATAAAAGGGCTGAACGGTTTAATAGGCTTTCTTGTTATTTTTTTTTTTCGATTCATTATTCTATATGATTTTCTGAAGTTTCTTCTGAGTTATCAGCGTTTCCCGCCGCAAATCTTCGACATTGGCGACGCCTTTGTCCACACATACTGACTTATTCATCTCGTTCACTTGTTTGTCGACGTTCCATTGGACGGAAGGATATCCAATCGAAGGAAACGTAGCCTCGGGCAGCTTCTCGAAGATTCCTTTGCAGGATGCGAACCTCTGTTTCCGATAATATTAAATGTGGCTTCAGGAAGAACTTCCTTGAACGCCTTTTGAACCGAAGGACAGCTGGCGCGGCGAAAACTAAATTAACACTTTCAGTTCCTTTTTTCTACAAAACGCAATCTGATTATTTCAAAATTGTGTCAGCACGTGAGGGGGATGAAAAAGATTTTGTGCTGAAAAAAGAAAGAAATCTGTAGAACGTGATATATTCGGAATGAGGGGTTAAAACGTTTTTAGTGTCAAACAATTTTTCATTTTTTTTTTCAAACTGGTTAATCTTGGTAGAAACGATTGTTACTGCGGGGTGAATTATTCACAAAAATTCAGAAAATGACTTGAAATAAATCTATACTCTGACTTGAAACGACCTGGCTTGTTTGTGCTCTTCTTTACGAATCATTATTTATTTTTATATTGAGACAAAAAATGAACCGACCCTAAATCCACATGGAAAATTTTTCTCTACGATCAAAATTCATAATTTTCCCGATTACATTCTAGTATTTCAAATCTTTCTGAGAGGGAAAAAAGCTGAAAAGCAAATTCATTGAGAACAAAATTCTTATTGTGGAACATCTGGCGCTTCTCAGTTTTTCTTTGCCTCGCAGCTTTTTCGCTAAAACTTTGCTGTCCCTTTTGTGATCCGATTTTCTTTCTGGAGCCAAAGGAAGTCGCCAAGTCAAACCCGTTTCCACCAATTAGTTCCCGAAAGCTCGAGAAAAATCTCGTGTTAGTCATCCTAATCACAGAGTTACGTTGCCTTTTTTTAAAAGTTGCATTCTTAGAAAAGAGGTGAAACTTGTTCATGAAGAGGTTCGGAAAAAAAGGCGCAATTGATGTTCGAGCTTTACTTCTTAGGGCTCTCGTGTATCTGTCAACTTTTTTTATTATTTTTTTTCTTTGTAGTTTTCGAAAGTTTGTCCACTTCTTTTTATTGAAAAGATTGTTTTGACAAAATATGTTTTACTCATTTATTCCATTCCATGGCCCAATTATATTGAACCAGCTATTCATTATTTCGCTAACACTTTTTCTACAAAGTGAGAAACTGAAATTTGTGTAGTGTTAAAAAAAACGACAAACTCAGTTGCGAGCAGAGAAAAAAAAAGACAAAAAAAAGACAAAAGCTGCCAAATCGAGGAGTAGGATGAAAGATCGCGTCTAATACAATTCTCACGCTGCATAACATGCGAAAACCGGCCACAAAATGCACTGAAAAAGGCGTGGTTCTCGAGATTTCTGCCTCTTTCAGTTATTTGGCTCTAAAATTGTTCTGAAAAGGCTGAGGATGTACCGCCGACCGGCTCACAATTACCGGTAATCGTTTTATTTATTTTCTTGTGTGGACTTTTCAATTTATTGAGCGTTTAAAGCTGTCAGGAGCTTTTCTTTTTTCGGGAAATAATTATGACTAGCACTCAAAATGGCTCGACTCGTTCTGAATTTCATTCCAGCTCTTTATTTCTTGTGACAGATTTTTTCTGCCAACATCATCCATTAGTTGGAGAAAATGTGACCTGAGAACCTCGACAATCAGATTATATTATTATCGTGCTCAAAGTGATGAACTTCTCTGTGGTAAAATCTTGAGTTGCCAAGGAGATTTAATGAAATTAAATCATTTTTTCTTCTGAGAACTCACATTCTTATGGAAACTTCCCAGTAACCTGTGCTTATTTTTTTAGATCCTGGAATTTTTATTCTTTTGCACCTGTTCCTCCTAAATTCGCCAGTTTTCTTTCTGGCCATAATTATCTTCCGTGGTTTTGAAATACTCTCGATGAAAACAGTGATTTAATTATTTTTCAGCCCTCAGACCTAATTATTTTGAAAAATTCAGTCTTCATATTCTCATTTTCTTGTCTCCAAAATACTTCCCGGATCCATGTTTGAAATAATGTCTCATCGAAGAAACTCGTGCTGAAAAACCCCTTGGGGCGCCATTTGGATCCTTTTTGCTCCGACGACACCTTCTATGGGATTTCCTGTCCTTTTTTCTCTTTGCAGGAACAAATAGGTGCCACCAAAGGCACATCTTCGTCTCTCTTTCAGTCGGGCTACTTTTGGCTGTTTCCAAAAATAAACTCTTCTTTCCAGACTCGCTCCCTCACTCGAAAAGTTCGTGAATAAGTGGTCTCTAACCCTAGAAACACGCCATTTAAGGAAGTTGACTCCGCTTTTTTGTTTTCGGTCAGACCTAAAATTTAACTTTTTTGAAATTTTATGCCTTCATTCAATGCAATTTCGATTTCGTTCCAATTTAATCTAATCTCCGCCTTGCTCGAGTTTTTACAGCAAGAATTCGATTGATTTGACATCTTAGTCGAATTTCCAGAAGCTTGTAATTTGCGCACTTTTCATAACTAGTTTCTTCAAGCTGGTGTCAAAAGCGGAACTATGCTTTCAATGTGATGAAAAAATTGATTTTCGGTAGTAATTTTGTTCAGAATAAACTTTTTTCGAGTTCTACTTGAAATTTCTGTGAATTCCAGCCACTTTTTGACCTCTTGGGAACAGATAACTGCGAGTTTCGATAATCGCAAACGATCAACATGTGTTTTACTTCTTTTCCGTTTACAGTCAATAAGATTTTATCTTTGAAAGTCGTCATTCTTTATCAGTTTTGCTCAAATTAGGAGGAGAACGTTCTCAGCGACGTCATTGTTATTTAGAGAGGATTAGCAAGCAGATGAGTAAAAAAGATTGTTATTCCAATACGAGTCATGTGGAAATCCCTGATTCGAAAATAAAGTTGGCACACAATGAAAAACTCAAAAATAAAATAAATTTTGACAAAAATTGAAAATTTTCCTGTTTGTATTTTTTGCTACTTTTGACAAAAAATAAAAAACTCATTTTTCAATAGTTTTTATCCGCAAACTCAAAGAATTTTTTTTTTCTTCTTACTCCTTCTGGTTTTTTATCTTGCATACATGACTTACTGCTTTTTTTTTATAATTTTCCAGTTCCTCGTTCAAATTCATTGTGAGAAGAAGAATAGATCACTTTCACACGGTTTGGAAAAAAAAAACAAAAGATCAAGTGATTCACGTTTGGGAGCAAGTCTCGAGGGGCGGGCCTTCTTGGCATTGCTAATGTTTCGCGACAAAACCATGGCGATAATTCAGCTTTCAGTTTCTAAATTTTTTGGGTTCTAATCTATGTTTATCTTGCTTAACTAGTTGCTGGAAGATGCTTCATTTTTGAAAAAATGCGAATGTTTTGACATTTTTGGACTAAAAGTTCAAAAATTGAGCAAGTTCTCATATTTCATTCACTTTTCATTTACTATCAGATAAATGATATTAATTCCAAGACCTTTTCAGACCAGAAGTTGGAAGGTCTAAAATATTTTCTAGGATTCGTCTCCAAAATTTTTTTAAAAAATGAATTGAAGCAATTTCTCAAAGCCTTGGGGGTTTTCTTGAATTTTTTTTACAAATCGAAGGTTAGATTTTTTACATTTGTTTTAATTAGTTCTACCGAAAAAAAGCTAACTCGTTGGCCCTGGCTATCATTTTGTACAGTTTGATATTCCATTGGACTGTTTTTTCATGCTATCAGAGCTAGGCTGCAAAAATGTGAACAATGAAAATTAGACTTTTCATTTGAAGGATGTCTCAGTTCACAATCTGAAAATCTTCTGAATATTAATTAATTGCATTTTTCTTACAGTGTGATGAGCGACGTGAAGCGGTCGCTGCTGGACATTGGCGGCAAGGCGGCCGACGACGTCGACGAGGAGATCGACGAGTTGCCGGAAAGCAACGAGACTTTCTCCGAGTTTTGCACCAGTCAGTCTTTTATGCTCTTCAAAAAAAAAAAAGCAGTTTGGCATGAGGATAAAGTTAGAAGATTTTAGACAATTCGCCCAGAAACTTTGTAAAAGTCTAGATGCACATACTAATAGTCGCATTTTTAAAATATTTGTCTTACTCTATTGATTGAAAATTCATGTATGTTTGCGATTTATTTTTCGGGAGAAGTCTGGGCGGGCCCGGGCTAGGAATGAAATTTTTGAATTTAATCGAATATTTTTTCATTGTAATTCAAGAATTCCTCCGAAAAACGCTTTTTACTTGTTGAATCGTAGTTTTTGTTGATTTTTGAATGAAAAAATAACCGATAACGTGATTTTTGTCGTAGAAAAGTCTGATATTTGATTTTGAGAAAATTTGCGCTTTTGCTCGAGGCCCCCTAAGAAAGGGCCGGGTCGGACTTGAGAATGGATGGGCCCAGATCTGGCCTTCGCGCAAACCTGCCTCTGGTAGACGCCTTGTTATGATGAATGTGTTTGAAGGACAAGCGCAGAATGTGGTGCACTTCCTGGTGGAGGACTGGTGCATGTCGGCCTTGCTCGGAATCATCACCGCCGTCCTTTCCGTCGGAATGGACGTCGCCATCGAAGTCCTGCAGCACGGTAAGTCTCCAAAAAAGGAGGGAATGAAACAAATTTTGGTTCCAGCACACGTTGTGATGTACGACAAGATGCGGGAAATCTCGGCCTACCTCGCTTTTTCGCAGTGGATCGCCCACATCACCATTCTCACGGCCCTGTCCGCCGTTTTCTGCCAAATCATTTCCAAACAGGCCGTCGGTGCGTTGAGGATACACTTTTCAGAATTTCCCAAGTTTTCTTTCTACTAGATGAAGCTCAGAGATCCAACTTGTCAACGAAAAGACGAAAAATAAGTTATAGAAAAATAGAAATTTCGAAAATTTCTCTAGTTTCAGGCAACAAAAGATAAAGTCATGAAGAATTTTAGAAAGCCAAGAAACGAAAAAATTACCATTCGAAGTAATTGAGAAGTTCATTTCAGTTCTTCAAAATAAGTCTGATATCTTCAGGTTCCGGGATCCCAGAAGTGAAGGTCATAATGCACGGCTTCAAAATGGACAACTATCTGACCCTCCGAACTTTGGTCGCCAAAATGTTCGGACTGACGCTTGCGATGGGCGGCGGACTACCTATTGGAAAAGAAGTGAGAGGACCTTGATTCATACTAGTTGAAAGCTTCTAAAGACCAAAGGATCATTCTTTTGCTGAAGTCAAAAATTTGGAGGGAGACTTTATTTTTGCAATATTTCACGACTTTTTTCTTTCAAAAAAAGGCGCTTTTTTGCAGGGACCATTTGTGCACATGGGCGCGATTGTCGCCACGTTGCTGTCCAAATTGACGGCCACTTGCCAATATTCGGCTTTCTTTTCCAATGAAGGTGCGTCTTCTGATTATGAGATATCTGAAAAATTTCATTAGGAATCCTTTCTTTTAGTAAGATTTAATTTTTAAAAGTCTTTCTGACAATTGAAAGATTTAAAAGTGAAATAACGTGCTTTGAGAAACTTATAATGATCATCAAGCATTTTTCATCCTTTCACATTTTCAACGAAAAGAAATAAGTAAATAAATAAAACGAGTCGGAACAGTATGACGCGTCTGGGCTCTCTTTTCTCTAAACTCTTCAAGAATGAAGGCATGAAAATAGCAGGTAAAAATGAGAGAAAAGTGAGAAGCAGATAAGTCGTGGAGGACGGATTAAACTAGCAGCATACAAGATTTTGGGAATGAATAATTCAAGATTTTTGAGCTATTCAAAAAAGTCGAATTGCTGTATTTAACAGTGGTGCCCTCTTTTCGTTTCATTGCAATTTACAGGAAGAGAAATGGAAATGCTGTCGAGCGGATGTGCCGTTGGTATCGCCTGTACATTCTCAGCGCCGATCGGAGGTTGATTTGAAGAAAAATTTTCATTTTTCTTGAGGATACCCTAACTGGGACAGGAATATTTCTCAAACGGCCCAAAGTGATGGGAATTTGTTTTAAAAAGCTTATTTGCACATCGGATCGCTTTATTCGTTTTTTTCCTCAATTTGAAGATTTTTTTAATCTGTTAATTCCATTTTTTTTTTGTTCAAAATTCAATCCATTCCTTTGCAGCCGTACTTTATGCGATCGAATCGACCTCGAAATATTTCGCGGTGAAGAATTATTGGCGCGGATTTCTCGCTGCTACCTGCTCGGCCATTATTTTCCGATTCGCGAATTTTTTCGTCACAGCGGCTCAATCTGGTGATTATTACATGTTCATGATCTCTGGTATAATCTCAACAAGTTGAAAGTTTAATTCAATCAATAGTTATCAGTGTTTTTTTAATAAAATGAATTTTCAGGCACAATCACAGCATTCTACCAGACGCGATTCCCGACGGATCCATTTCTCATCGAAGAACTTCCAGTTTTTCTTCTTCTTGGGTTCGGATTCTGTCCGAATCTGCATCAAGTATATTCTCTGATTATTTCAGACTCCTCAGTGGATTCATGGGAGCTCTTTTCATTTTCATGCACCGCAAAATATCCCATTTTCGATCCAAAAACAAAATCTTCAAACTGATTTTCCGCAACAAGTAAGTTCTTTCAATGACTGTCCTAACTAATCGATATTTTTTTCAGTTTTCTCAGTTTCACTGTTTTCATGGCCATCGTAGTCGGCCTGTTGACGTATCCCGAGGGAATGGGCCGCTATTTTGCCGGAAGGGTTTGTTTTTTTTTTTTTCGAATATGCTTGACCAACTCAAATTCGATTTTGGACACTACAAGGAGAATTCTTTCGCTATTTTTGGAATCCCCTTCGTAGATTCCAGGCACGTGGAGTAGAGATAAAGATAGCGGGACCTCCAAGAATTGCAAAAACTTCCTTTCAAAAAGTCCTTTGAGACGGAATCTGACTGATTGGGTTGACGCTTGAGAAAAGTTCCGGTCGGGGTAACAAAGCGGAAAAATCTCTTCAAAAAAACCGTTGGTGACGAAGAGCAAGAGAAATTAAAAGAGAATTTGATCACAGTTAAGTGAATATTCGTTTAATTTAGCTGACTTTCCGTGAGACGATGGCCGATTTCTTCAACAACTGCACTTGGATCACTAACGATTCCAGAAGGTTTCAAATTTCCCTATTGAGTTCGAAAACTGTCGCTAATAAACCAAATACTAACGCCGCGATAACGTCTTCTCGTATCAGCCCGTAAATTGTCATTGACCCGGAGAAGTTCCGAGGTGTAAAAGACCTTTACTCGAACATTTTCATTGGTTCATATGCGCAAAAACTGAAAATTGAGAAAAAAAAATCAATTTGCATCGAAAAAATGTTAAGGTGCCCCGAATCGACACTGCAGCATTGGACAGGCGGTCCGGACGGCGGCGTTTCCATTTTCCTCAGTTTGATCCTCTACTATTTCGTATATGTCAGTCTAGTTCTTGTGAATCTTTCCATGAATGCCGTCTTCAGTTCTTCCTCGTGGCGATTTGCATTTCGATTAACGTTCCGGCCGGAGTTTTCGTTCCATCTTTCATCATTGGCGCGTGTGGCGGACGTCTAGGTCAGACATTTTTTTCCGAATATTATCGCTCTACATTTGTTTTGGCACAAAGATTTAGCGAATTCAGAAAATATTTTTGTTTTCTCTATAAATGATGCCATTTGTAGTCGGCGAACTGATGCTCGTCCTGTTTCCGGAAGGAATGCGCGGTCCTGGAGGTCCCCCAATCCATCCTGGGCTCTACGCCGTCGTAGGTTGGTCCGCAGCCGTTGTCCCTTCCGAAGTTCTGATCTTGAGGAGCCGCCGCCTACACAGCGGCCGTCACTCATACTTTATCCGTCGCTGTGATTATCTGCGAGTTGACCGGCCAGTTGGCGCCAATTCTTCCTGTTTTGGTGGGTTTTTGGGTACAGAACAGACTTACTAGTTAGTTAGAAAGGAGAATCTAGTGGAATTGGAAACCGAAAAAGTTCATTTAGTTGAAAGGGACGAAGATCACTTATAACACAGAAGGATTTAGTTGAGAAGACATTTCTTTCCATATTTTTGGGCATGTTTTTACGGTATAGAAATAAAAGTAGAACTTCTTTTTCGAAATAGTCAACTTTCGAAAATCCACTTTGAAGATCGCCATGTTGATGGGCAACGCCGTGTGCAAATTCCTGCAGCCTTCCATTTATGAAAGCATCATTCGGATCAAAAAATACCCATATTTGCCTGATCTTCCTCCTTCTCGAGTCAGGCGAGTCTCTCATTATTTTTCTTTTCATAAGTGCGCCTTTTAGTGTTCACACAGTGAAAGTCGAACAAATCATGATTACTGACGTCGTCTATATCACGAAAGACATGACCTACAGGTTTGTAGTTTCGTTGGAGATGGAAGTTGAGATTGGAGATTACAGAGAGATGAAGGAAATCTTGCAATTGGCGCCACACCTTCGTAGTTTTCCGATTGTGACTGACCATGGTTTTTTCAATGAAGTTTTCGAGAAAACATAGATAGTTGTAGAAAACAAAATTCTGCTCGGGTCGGTGGCCAAAAGGTACCTGACGATGTTGCTCCGACGCCACGTCCTCGTGTCTCAACAGGACAGCCGCGCAAGTGCTCGCATGACTCCCACCGAGATCTTCAACACGATCCGCCGGACCAGCATGAGGTTACCATCTCCTTTTCTTCTGCCTCTAACAAATCGGAGAAGGTATTCTAGACTGTCGAAACGGTCGCCGTCCAGAAGATCAACGACGTCGCAGCCCCGAGAAGCGTCGGAAAGCGCCAGAAGCGACGTCGACGTCGAGCTCCTTTCCGAACGGACCATCTCCGGAAACACTTATCTCTCCATCTCTCCACTCCACGCACCCAACAACGTCCCTCTCCAAGCCGTTTTCACGCGGCCTTCAGGACTGGACTCTGATTCCGTGGTGAGGCTAAGAATACTCCTACGGAGCGGAAGAAGAAGGAAACAGAATAATAATTTTGAAAACACAGAAAAAGGATTTTTCAAAGTTTGAACTTCGAATTTTCAGGCGCTTTTGTCGTTTCGAAGGCAAAAATGGCCTGGAAACTTTGAAATAATTTAGTTTCTCAGGGAGAGAAGAACACGGAGGTGTTGCTCGATCGGAACATCGACCTGGACGAGGTCGCCATCGACGCGGCGCCTTTTCAACTCGTCCTCGGCTCCTCCCTCTACAAGGTCCACACCTTGTTCTCTCTTCTTGGCCTTTCCCACGCCTACGTCACTGACTGCGGGAAACTTGTTGGCGTCGTCGGCTTGAAGGAGGTTTTGCAAGTTGTGAAAATCTCCAACATCTTCTTGGATTACAGTTGCGTGACGCTTTGGCCAATATCTACGTCCGAGGTGTCGTCGCACCGCCGAAACCTGACCGGAAACTCACTTCTGGAACCATGCTTTTCCCGGTTTGGCTATTCTATCCCATTTTTTTATACTTTCCAACTTTTTCAGAGAAAAGACTCAAGAACCGACGAAACTTCAAACGGCGCTTCAATTGTCGCACCTGACCTTCCCAAATTCGGAAACTCTTTAACTGTCCCTCTCTAACCTTTCTTCAACATTACTAACCATTGTTCAAACCATCATGTATAGCCAATTTTCTAAAAAGTTTTTAACTTTCATAATTAATTAATCTCTGAGCGGGTTCACAAAGTAATCTGGTTTTACAGCTTTACTAATCTCTTTTAACGTTGAAGTTTGTTTCAAGATTGTATAAAAAGTGAATTTTAGTGATAAGGGATCTCAAAATTTCTAGTCAAACCGAGGAAAACTCCTAGTTACGGTAAACATACAGGTTCAGTTTCTGATAGAAGCCCTCAATATATTGCCATGTAGACATCAAATTGCAGGTTTTGTTGTTTTCAAAGTGTTTTTTTTGTAGAAATGAAGATTTTATCGTTCAATTTTTGAGTTTTTGACTTTCATGCATAATAATTTAATAAAAACGTGTTGGAACGAACGTGACGCTTTTCATTTGAGCATAATGGCGCTTCTCACGAGGTTCTCTCACATTTTGTCTAACGAAGACCTTTTCGATTAAGAATTCTCTTTGCTGCTTGCGTCGGCGTCGCCGCTTATGCAGTAGGCCTTTGGTACTTTTCAAGAAAGGACAAGCAAAAACACAAACAAATTAGTCGGGTTCTCAGGTTGACTTCAAAGATGTTGGATGAATTCAGAACTGAAGATTGAAAACGTGGAGAAAGGCATAGAAACCCCTGAAAAGACCGCGAAAATAGAAGAAAGGGTGAATGAAGAAATCAAGCCGCTGAATGAAGGCGAAACCAACAAAAAGGAAGAAAAAGTAAGTTATAACGAAGACTTTTTATTGCTTGATGAGAAAGTGAATTCATCAATTTTATAGAATTTTCCCGAAAGTGCGAGCCTCATATGGTTTCAGTGTTAGTTAAAAATTGAAAGAATTTCTTCTCAAAACGAGAAAAGAAAACTCAAAAATGTCTTCGCTAGATAAAATTATTTTTGGAGGTATTTCTTTGAAAAAAATCTTTTTAAAAATCTTTTTTTAAAACATTTTTTTGCAAGCTTTGAAAAAGTCGCAGTTTTTTTCGCACCTGGGACGACTCGAAACGTCGTGATTGGGACCATCTATCCTAGCTAAAAACGCAACTATCCTTTCACAGTCTAATCATTCCATTTGACAAGAATTCGTAATCTGAACGAACTTACATCGATTTCTCATACCCTTATATCTTGTAGGTTCCAAACCGGCCTCCCCAGGAAACCCTTCCGAGTTTGACGTCAGATCCTCCGACGTCGTCGACGTCTTCAAGTTTCGACGGCGCCAGCACAATCATCAGTGCGAGCACGGCGACGGAGACTTCGTCGAGGAGCGCCTTAATGGCGCCAGATCCGTTCAAAATCGGCTTTCGCCATGAGCCCGTCTCATTTTTCTCATTCTTTCTTAAATCTAGAGCTTTTATTTTTAGAAAAAAGAAGCGACTCCGGAAGTGTTGAGCCTCTCATCGCCGGCAAACAATATTCCGGTTTGATTTTTTCCACAGTTTTTCTTAAATATTTTTTGTTTCAGGACAACAGATCCCCAGTAGCGTTACCTAGCATTCAAGACGTGCTCCGGGACGGATTTTCTCAAAAAAATCCAAGAGCAAGTCGCTCTTCTTCTTGTGAAACGGCAAAGTCGGTTAGCCTCGCAACTGCCATGGTTTTCTGTGTAAAGTTGTTTTTTTAATACTCTTTTTTCAGGAGTTTAGATCAAAAATCACTAGCAGCAGCAGCTCCGAAAGGTTCTTTTTGTTGTTTCTATTGTAAGAATGGTCCTTGAAAATTGAAATTCGAATGAATATCTACGTAACAATCAACAGCCTGCAGAACGTCTCAGTTCTGATAGCTTGCTCAGCTTTCGAAGCAGTGGCCTATAAATATGAGGTTCTTCAAGTTGAGATTTTTGTTTTTGGCTGGAAAAGAGGATGTAAAGGGATTTCAGCCGGTGTTCAAATGAAATAATCGAATTTCGACTTTGCAGCACAATCAGCCCAGAAGGAAAGTCGCTGTACGCCGTCTGCTACTGCCGGTGAGGCCGGAAAAGAATGGAAATTTGAGTTTCTTCGCAGGGAAAAGGAAAGAAGCGTGCCTCTGAGAGACGAAAACTGCTTGTTCGACCCGAATCTGAAGCATACATTGTACCCTACTGATGTGAATTTTGAAGGTGCACCTTTTGAAGAATGATCTGTTTAAGATTCTGCCGCTGTCTTACTCACGACCGGCGTGCGTCAACCTACTCGATCCCACTCCCGAGGACAACGAGGAGCTCTCGGCTGCCGTTTTCGAACGACCCGAGGCCTTAGACCACGTCGACGTTGGTTTCAGAACTGTTATACAGTGTTCAACAAGTTTTCGTGTTTCTTATCCCCGTTGACCTTCCGTTTTGCAACCAAAACATCGCTATTGAATCACAGACGGACGACTGCACATTTCCCTCATAAGTGCCTTTTCAGGACTTTGTTTCGCCTTTCGAGCAAATTCTCAGCGGCATCACGTATGCTCACGCTCACGCAGCGCTCATCAACAATCTTCTCGAAAACTACGCTTTTCTCGACTGTTCGCAATAAACATGGATTTTTTCAAACCTGGCCTGCTTTTGTTTCTCAAGCTAGCGGAAAAAGGGAGGGTCAATCGTTCAAGAAAAATTGAACACATCGATAAACGAAAACTTTTAAATCAGAAAGTTGAAATGTTCATTCCTTCGTATGAGTTTTTTCAGGTTGATTGATTTTGGTATGGGAAAACTGTCATAACAATGCAATTTATGGGCATTTCATTTCTGTTGACAAGTGCAGTTGCCGACACAATTGCGTCTGCAGGATTTATGATAATACTGGTAGGCCAAGCCGCAGCTCTGAAAACTCGAAAATAGTCGGGTGTTCCTCCTTTTCAGAGCAAAACTTCGATAAGAAACGCTACTAATCGATATTTGAACGTAGTCTTGGATTCTAGGAAAAAAAGTCTCACCAGACAGGTTGACTCGCAGTACCACTGTCCGAAAAAACAAGCGAGGCTGGCGATAACGGCCGACGACATCGCCAAGATTGAGAAAAACCGGAGAAAAACGGCACAAAACGACATTTTGCGCCGCTTCAATCTTACAGAAGGGTCATGAGAACAAGAAAAAAAAGAAGCGACTGCGATAAAAATTTATGATTCGATTCGATTCGAATTATTTCAACGTTCCTAATGCACCAGAATTCAAATTATTAAGAACGCCAATCCCACGGTTTGTCTCAAGATTCCCAGCAAAAAAAAACGCTTTTTTTCTGTTCTGCCAGCTGCTCATTCAAAATCGAATGAAAAACGAGAAAACGCTTCATTTTGAACAGGAAAGATCAGCAGGAGAGGTGCTTGGAAGACTCGGCCTTGTACTTTTCGACCTCCTTCTTCTTCTTACTGTCGTACTCTTTCTTGTCCTTTTCTGGGTCCGCCGGCGTCAGTTTGAAGTCTTCAGCACCACTATCCAGAGTTTCGCTACCGGCTGCCTGTGAAAATCGTGTTGTTTTTTCAAACAGGTGTGGTTCAACCTTTGAAGCTGCTTCCATTTCTTTGTTCATTTGCATCGCCTTCTGGTACATGTTCTCATAATGCTGAAGAAGTAGTCCTCGAGATAAAATAAATAATGAAAATAGAGAAGACCGAATCGCGGGCGTTGGTGAACGCAGTTCTCTCTTTCGACTGCTCGTGGTTCTCGGTTCCTTCGGCGATGGTGACACACGGAGTCGGTGGATCCGGCTGAAAAGAAGCGATTTCAAGAATAAGCTGAACGAACGATGAAGAGGTGTCCGTGAGTGCGAGCGCGAGGCTGGTACGTCTCCAGGACGTTGGCGACGTCGAAACAGGCTCGACGAGTCCTTGTCATGCTCATGAAGTGCACGTTGAACCACTGACAATTTATCCTCGGGAAAGTGAACCAGGAAACACCTACCTCGTACATAAAAACGGCAATGAGGAGACTAAGTACTGATCCAACGGTATGCAAGGAAGTTCCGACGAGAAGAGCGGCGATTTGAAGCAACGACGCAACCGTCAGAATCACCAGAAGACACGTCTCGAAAGGGCCTCTGCAACGGCGTCTTCGGGGTCTTGCAGGACTTGAACGAACCCGCCGACTGGACCTCTCTCTAGGTGACGCTTAGAAGTCATCGCCGAGCGAACAGGGGTTGCTTGTGTTTCTTGATCCTCTGAACAGGAAATGCACCAGAGCAGTAGGACTCAAAAGTTTTGGAAAATAAAGAACCTTCCGTTCTTTGATTCCTGACGCTTTCCCCACTAACCTGAAGAATCGGCCATTTCTTTAAAACTATTTGCAAGAAATAATCTCAAATTCCGTTGACACGTTAGCGAATGTCACGTTTTTAATACAGCATGATTCTATTCGGATTTCCGACTCTTCTTTTCATTTCTAGTTTGTTGTCCTTGCAAAGATCGAAAAAGAATTTTATAACGAACTCCAAAAGGAAAAAAAACACCATCAAGAGACCGGTAATTGCACGGGGTAATGTACACTATTTTGATACGGGAAACTGAAACCGAATAAAAAAATAAAAATGAAAAAAATATCTGTTGACTAAGAAATAAAAAAATTAAGAAATATGGGAATGGCCGACAAATTTAACAATGCGAATCATCACATTGTTTTGAAATGGGCCTCAAATGCAAGGATTCAAAGCTCAATGATTGTTGGGAGAACTTATAAAAAATCTAAACATTGAAATCAGCTGTTGGAAAGGCGAAAGCCGGGATCGATCGGCTCACTTTTTCTTGAGCCTCGGACTTGCTCGTGGGCTGACTCGAGGCGACTTTGAAGGCGATTTGCGGCCTTTTTCCTTGGGGGACTCTGAAAAAAGCTCATGAGATTATATATTAGTCCAAATCCGAGATGCTAAGCTGTGTTCGGAGCCAGGTTTGCGTATAAAGGAACAGATGAAGCTGACGTCGGGGAAAAAAAGTCTGACGTTACTTGAGAATATTCGATGGGTGCTTATTCAGGCTTTCAAGCCTCAGACTTTTTTTTTCATTTCGAAAGTTATAATTTGAATTTTCGAAAAACAAATATCAACATTTCGAATTATTATTCGGAAAACTTGGAGAAAACAGTTTTTCTTTGTTTTCAAAATATTATTTTTGTTTAATAATAATAGAGTTATTGTACAGAGTCTTTCTCAAAAAAGGAAAAGGTGAAAAGTTTAAAATCTTAAAAAAAGGGGAAAAAGAGAAAGTTCAAAAAAATAATTTAGCCTCAACTCAGATAGCTCAAATCGACTTTTCAAATTATTTCTAAACTTCGAATCAGTAGTTTTCCCCTTCGATTTGACGCAAAATTCAATTTTTCACTCCAGTATTTTCAGAGATGTGCTAACGATTCATTTCCAATTTTGAAAGTTGTCCTCGTCTACTTGAAACCTTTGTTAGCTTGTTCTGATAAAGACAAATCCAAGCGAAAGTCGTTTCAGATCGGTCGCGTGTTCACGTATCGGCTTTCAATTGATCATGAGTTGAGAGTTGATAAAATCATCATCAAACTAATTGTTCAGCTATAGACCGATCGATTGAAGATATTTTTGAGTTAAAAAATGAATTAAAAACCTACTTGGCCGGACGAAGTTGCTGAGAGAGATGGAGATGAGGCCCTTACAGTCGGCCTGGACGGCCCCGTCGGCCGGATGCTGAGGCCGAGGCGTGTCGACGACCACTTGAGGCGGCACCAGGTTCGAGCTCATCTCCAATATCGCTTCTGAAACTTGGTTGCCCTTCGAAAAGTCCTCGAAAAAGCCGCTGGCGATGCGCAGAAAGAGAATTCGAACAAACTGGAATATAATGTTATGAAAATTCATGAAATTATTGAGAAGAATACTCGAAAACAGAACAAAGGCCACCTCTCCGTGAGTTATCGAGAGGAAATCGAAAAAGGAGGCGTGGCCGAAAGAAGTCGTGGGCGGGGATTTGTGCCGGGAAAAAAGACCCATCATAATCCTGGGTGACATTTCGGCTTATTGTACAGAATGAATGAGTAGACATGATGACTCTTCCTGAGAATCAGTCCTTCTACAATCACCGTCTGTCCGATTTTCGAGAGGAGTTTCGGACTTTATACAGCCAGAACCTCACCTTTTCACGCTTCGTCGAATAATTTCTGTCGAAGATTGCCTCATGTCTCATTATAACGTGCCTAATAAATCAACTCACCGTAAAGTGCACGAGAACTTTGGATAATTAGAAGGAAGACTAAACAAAATATTCTGATACAACTGTTGAAAAAAATTATCAGACTCATCGTTTTCTCATGAACTACCTTTTCAGGGAATCGTAGACTACAGCGTCGGGAAAACAAAATATAATAAAAAGAATATAGAAAACAAATGAAAAAAAAAAAGTGAAAAGCTAAAAAGTTTGGTAGAAGAAAGGAGGCTAACCTTGGAATAACAAAAATAAAACAATGAGAAAGTATTTATATATTGAAAAGCCTTGGAAAACTTTCTTTTATCGGCGGTCACAGCGAACTGTTATTAATTTATATTTCTCGAACTTGTTTTCTATTTTTTTTTCCATTTGAGAGCGGCAGACTTTAGAATATTCTAGCAAATTGCTTTTTGGGGAGTCGACAAAGACCATCTGTCTTTCTGAATATTTTATGTTCGTCCAAAACGATTAGCCTTTTTTATGTGAAGAAAAAAACTTTTTCAATGTTTCGAAATAGTCGTCATGAGCTTTCGTGTTCGGGAATCCGTTAGAAAGTGCCGGAAATTATTCATCAACACTTTGATTCGAGGAAATGAACGAAAATGGATGGCCGAAGGGCCGTAAAAACGGAGCAAAAGCTGAAAAGAAGAAGTTTTGGAAAATTTAGGATCAGGAAAAAAAAGCCTGGATAATGTGAAGATCAATTTGACCAACAAGCGTTTCATCGGAAGTTCGATCTAATCCGCCGCGGATTATAGGGCACTTTGGATATTGACGATGAATTCGCACACATTAGGCTTATCCTTTCCTGACACATGGCCTAATCTTCTAAAAAACCACTTTACAATTTTCCATGGCATTTCGAATAATACAAGCATCCACATCATCCAAAAGATGTGCAAGGCCAATTTCCCGCATCAAATTTCCTCTAAAAGAAGCGATATTATATTAAAAGGAAGGATTTTTCAAAGAAACTTCAGAGATCGGGCCTTTAATATTTCGAACATTGGAAAAAAAATTGAGCACCTGTAAGATATATACAATATCAGGGTGTCTTTTATTCTAAAGACTGAGGAATTCGAAATTTTACTTAGGCTCAAAGCCTCAATTTTTATTCTCTCTTTCTTTTAAAAAACTTCATCCAAAGCCAGAAGAACACGGTGATGAAGGTTTAAAAAATCTGGAACGTTTGATATTTACTGGCGGATCGGAATGCCAAGCTCTGATTGAATGGAAAGACACAAAAGAGCCGACATCGCCCCGGGCAACCGCTTGCTCAATTGTTCCTCGAAAAATGGAGCACCTGTGCTCGAGCTCGAGTTCACTGTCTGCTTCAGAGCAACCATAGAAAATATTCATACTAAATTTCATTTAACAACATTTCCGAACTATTCATCAAAAAAAGTTTCGATCAATCCGGGAAAATTCCATTGAAAAAAAGCCCTCTGTTTAAATGTGAAATTTTGAATATTTCACTCAAAATCAGATCGCTGTGTTTTGAAATCACTATCAATAAACCTCTCAAATCACCCACAAACTCACCAAAAAGCGATGATTGTCTGAAAATATAAAACTTTTTTCCAGAAAATTTCTTTGGATTCATGCTTCACCTAAAGAAACAATACATGCTTGAAATAAAGGGAGAATAATTGATGCAAAAAAGATGGTGAATTAAAGATTTATTTTGGAGATCGAGAAAACACAAGCGGCAGGAAACACCTCAGGAACCAAAGCTCAGAAAAAGGTTTCCTCTAATCGCGAGTCAAACAAACGGAGAAATGAATCAAACCAATGTGATCTACTTTTTCTAGGATTGAAACTTCCGAGTTTTCGAGTCAGTACTTGATTAAATTCCAGTCAAGGTCTTCTTTCCAGTTGTTTTTCATCAATATATTTAAATTCGGCAGGTTTTTGTGAGTCTAGGCTGTGTATGAAAAATGATTACTCACTGGGAAATTTTTCTCAGTTTCCTTTTTGGAAAAAAAGAGCGACTGACTAAACATTTGACTTTATTTTCACTCTCTGTTGGACATTTTGGAAGATTCGTCATCATCGCTCGAGGACGATTCCTGCTCGAGTGCAGCACTTTCTGGAGTCGCCAAAATCGGTGTCGCCTCTTCGGTTTTGACCGGCGGCATTTTTATCGAGTTATCGTTCGCCTGAGTACGGATTTCGGGAAGATATCCGGAATCGTGGTACCGTCGTGACTTTGGAAGGTTTGCGGAGGAGGAACTGGGCGAGCTCGTACAACTCGTCATGGATAGTGGCGACGTAAATCTGAGAACAGAAAACTTGAAACAAAAATGAACTAGGCTTACCTCCGTTTCCCACAAAACTTGCAGGATCTTGTGGAGGTCAGTATCATCCAACGCGATTCCCTGCGTTAGCTGAGGGGAAAATCTACAAAAAAGTTGAGAAACTGAACGTTTCAGATTTTCCTTGCCGGTAGTACGGCACATTCAGTGAGTGGCACCACTCGCGGGCGTACTTCACCGGTTGGCCGTTCGAGGCCGTGCACTAAATCTTTCCATGAACCAGAAGACGAAAACGTGGAAAGGAACCTCCTTGACCAGCATGTTGAACATGTTCTTCGTGTTTGCTATGGCTCGGTAGAAGGACTTGGCCATGTGGAAGGGATTTTTCTGAAAGAACTTCTTTTTTGTGCCAAAATTCAAAGCGTAAGGTTTCATGTAACATGATGAAAATTTCTAACAGGGGATTTTTTGCTGGCATCTCCTATTGGCTCCTTTTTTGAGAATTGAGATATTTTCATTATTTTTATAAAAATCGATCGCGTCGAAATTCCTGAATTTTTGAGTTTTTTTTCAATTGGCACTCAATTTTGGCGCCTCTGAGAGCTTGGCCAAAGATCATGGAAAATTTAAAAAAATTCCAAGATCCATAGTTGTTCTCAACGGTTACGTGGATCCATAACCTCATTTTCCTCATCTCTAACTTTCTTCAGAAGCAGAACTCACTCCATAGTTCAAATTGACGTCGATTCCGTCGATTTTCTCGATAGGGAAGATTCCGGTACCCAGTGAGACGACGCAACCCATTCGTGTGTTGCCGCGGCTCTTTTTCTCCTTTTCAGTTTCCTGAAATAAATATTCTTTCTAGATCTTCCTTCAGAATTGAGGATACGGCGTAGTCCTTCTCCAGCTTGTTGGTGAGCATGAAGTCGGACATAAGGGCCAAGGTCGGATTGTTGGCGATGAGTCCGCCGTCGGAAAGGCCGTTGAACGACTCGAAAAAGTAGGGAGCGGCACTGGAACAAACGATATTTATTGCGTATCTTTTCAGAAAAAAAAATTACATGACTTTGTATCAAAAGGAAGAAAGGTTTTTGTACATTTTTTTTACATTTCAGAGCTGTTATGGATTGTTAATTCATGATAAATGAAACGAAATTGAGAGATGGTAAGACATTTTGAAAAAGTCTATTATTCGTGTGGTTTTCATGTTGTTTTCAGACTCACGTCGTGCACCGAAGAGCTTTCCAGAGCTCGACTTTGTTCGGATTGAAAAAATTATGTTCTTCCATGGCCTGAAAGCAACTCGAAACTGTATACTCGGACCATTTCGAAAACCTTCTCTGGAATATTTGGCGCGAAAGATCGGAAAAGTAATAGTTTCGGTGGCACAGTACGCGAATCAGCAACCGTCACCATCACCCTTAAAATTATCTATTTATTGATTGAATTTCTTATGATACACCTATGTGAAGTGATTTTTGACATGGGCGAGTCTTCCCAAGATGTCATATGCCGAGCGATGTACTGAATACCGCTCGAATTGTGTTTGGGCCACTTGGCCTGAAAAATCGGTGATTGTTGGGGCGATTAGAAGAAGCTTGCCGTATTTTTGCAGAAAACTCGGTCTTTCATTTCAATGATGAATTTTCGACAATCTTCTATAGATCTATCTGGAAACAAGGCGTGTGGAAGACACTGATTGAAGGAGAGCTCAAACTGTTGGTGGTAAGAAGCAACGCGATAACGCCGCCGCAACTCGTGCCTGCGATCTCGTCGACCTTGTCCATCAGACAGCCGCCCATCTCGTCGTTCAGATGCAGCAGCAACTGCAAAGAAGGTCGTCGTCGTTGAGTCCTTCGGAAGAGCGACCTGGATGGTGATGCTGGCGCGGATTCCGCCGCCGTCGAGAGCCAGAAGCACTCGATCCTCTTCGTGCCACGTCTTCTCTTTGGCGACCATCGTGTTGTGTCGAGAATTGGCGTCTTGCAACCGTTCTGGCACGTTCACCAGGTGCATCAGATCGTGTTGTATTCTGATGGAATCGAAAATTATTACGAGATTATCAATGAAACATTACCAGTAAAAATGGCTTTCGGAGCAAAAAAAAAAAGATAAAACCCACTTCGGGTCGGGACAAACTTCAATCGGCGTGAGGCCAGACTTGTTTTTCATCATCCAAACTTTTCTTGGCGCACAGAGCACCACGATCATCCGACACATGACCTGTTGGCAGTTCTGAACAGCTTTTTCCTCTTTCTCTTTTGATGGGGTTCTCTCAAACCATGGCGGCGACGTGCAGGGCATTGTTGCCAGCGTCGTCGAGGGTGAACAAGTCGACATGGTTCAGAAAAATCTGAACGAAATCCATAACTGCACACTAGAAAAGACTAAGAAAAAGACTTTGAACATGAGTTCGATGAGCCCGAACCGAGCTGCGTGCATCAGAGCCTCGCCGTGGTTGCACACATTCTGAAGTACGTTCTTGGATCGAGAAAGGGGCGGAGAGTTCTCACGGAGAGGTCGAATTCTTTCTCCGGCGGCTTCTTGTTCCGATCCCGGGACCTGGAGCGGGAGTTGCGACCCTTGAACATTCTAACGTGTTCGATCAGAAATAAGCCTCAACCACGTGTTTCCCTTTACTTTATCAAACTTTTTTTCAACGTTTTATTTTTCACTAGAAGTTAATTTCTCAGCTTTTTTTAAACTTTCTCTTTTATTTTACTGTCCCAATTCAACTTTCTTCATGTTGAAGTTTTTACCAACTTTTAACCTTAAGCTTGAAAAAGTCTTACTCAGAAAAAAATATTATCCACTTAAAAAAATTAAATTTAAAAAAAAAAGACAAAAATTTCCCATATTCTACAGGTCCTTGAAAGTTTTTTTCATTCATTTTTCGGTGGAATTTTTATTTCATTTAAATTTTTTTCGAAATATGAAAAAAATTGCTTCAGCTTCTATGAAACTTTGTTTCACCAAAAAAATAGTGAAATTTAATTTTTGAAGGATTAATAGAACTAGCACGAAAAAAATGTTTCCCAAAATAAATTAACACAAAAAAAGGCTTTAATATACCTTTTAATAATAATAAATTGCTCATACTTTTGACTTTCCGGATCACGTTATCGCCCGAAAAATTTTCAGATATTTAAATGTGAATCCTAAATTTATTGGAAAGTTATGAAATTTCAAAAGGAAAAAAAAGTTTCCAAATCCAATATCAAGGTTCTCAAATTATTGTAAGCTTTCTAATGTTCATAGAGAAACTATATCAGGTTTTTTCTTCGCTGTTTCTTCGGCGGAACGTCTTCGCGCCGATGGCAACATCTGCCAACGTGTTCCAGCCGCGTTTTGAGATCACTTTTCCAGAAACAGTCGGAAGGAGAAGTCGTAACTGGTTGCTTTTCGTCGGCATATCAAATAATCGCACGTTCTGGCGTCGTGCCAACTGGTTCCGCCCCGCCTACGTGAATCCAACACAGATAACACTGAAATACACACGGCAAAGATTTTGGAAGAAATGTTGCTGAGGCTGACGCTGTTGCTCCTGACGTCTCCGTGGCTCAGCGACACTTTCGTCGCCTACGACCGTCGGAATCGGGTCGACGAGCTCGTGACGCCTCCTCCAGATGACGTCACCAGACACGCTAGCTTCTACAGGCCCTCCGTCAAGGTCGCGTTCGTCAACTCCGAGGCTCGTCACAGGATGTAGGTGACATTACTCATGCATCGAAGCAGAGCAAAAATTGAAAATTAAATATAAAAAAAGCTTTCCCGTTTAAATTTTCAATTTTTACGTTTTTTGTTTGGTGAACTCAAAAAGTCAGAAAAAATTGTAGGGCGACCCGACTTGCAGGAGGCAAAGTTCGGATAGTCCAAACGCCTTCCAAAGTCGTTCCGGTTCTAGTTGAAGATGAAAAAATCCAGGTAAATTTCAATTAAATTCTTTGAAACTTAGTTCTAAAAATAGATTCGGTTTGGCGGCGGCCCGAAAATGCATCTACCGTATCCCCGCGTCGCCGTCTATCAGGTTGGATTCAAATCGAGAAACATCAGCTATCAAAAAAAAAAGAAAAACAATAATCTATCTGTTTTATGATTACGACTCGATTGAAATGCCGCCAACAGAAGCGACGTCATCGACCAAAGCGATGACGTCAGAGCCTTCGGGACCTCTCCGATGGCACACCGAAGCCACAGAAGCGCCCAACTTCTCTGCTCAACCTGCTCTGTACCTTCCTTCGAGGTCTATCTTCTCTTATTTAACATTAGATTTTTGCGAAGCTGAACTAGGATATAGTAGAAGAATCATTTTCCAGGTTCCATCGCAACGACGCCAACGTAGTCGTTGTCTTCAAACGCAAAGAGAAAAGGCTCAACTGACGAGAACTGGGACAGAATGGCCATTCGGAAGACATGCAATGCAAAAGCAATTTGTAAATAATCAACTTTATCGGATGTTTGAAACGTAAAATCATTTGCTTTTAAAGACATTTGAAACTTTTTCAATCGCGTGCGTAGGACACATATATTAAATATTAAGTAAGAACGATAAAAATTTTGACCCAATGATGGTGAATACAAGTTGGAAGAACACTCTTGATGGGAATAAAGCCTTTGAAAGTTGAAATGAGCGTTGAAATTCTAATTTTTGAAGAAAAAAGCAAAAATTCGAATCAATAAAAAAGAACACCGAGATATGTGCAGTAGAAGAATGTCAGAAAAAAGAAAAATTAGAAAAAAAAGATTATATTTCGAAAAAACGGATGAGCAAAAGATAGGCACGTGGTTCTATATACAATTAACGATTTTGCACCTTTCCTGCTTAGTTTTGTATTGGCTAACATTCAAGGCGAGAAAGCTATTCCATGCATTAAAAATTTAAAAAGCGGTAACTCAAAACTCAACAAAGTAAATCATTGAAGAAAATACCCAATAACAGTTTCTTTACTATTGAAACAGGAGTGAAATATATTTTTCTTCAAAAAATGATGGTTTTCCCGTTCCAATAAGAGAAACTTTAACGAATAAATGGTAAGAAAAATGACTTGAAAAAACTAAAATCGTTCGTCGGTGGGTGGTCGCAGAAGCTGTCGCAGAGCGGACTCAATGAGTTGGCGATGGGCGATGCGAGTGACGCCGAGTCTCGTGAAGGCCGTCCGGTCGCAGCGAGCCAAAGATTCGCCGTCGACGCTCCGCGAACGGAACGACCCACAGTACTCGCCCATTCCCAGTGACGTCAGCCACGACGCGACGTCTCCCACGGTCCACTCGTCTACCTTCTTCCTTTCAAACGCACGATCGCAATCTGTAAAGTCATTGAGTGAGGACTCAAGCCATCACTGAAGATTGTGTAGCATATTCTGGGAAAAAACTAAATCCGCTTAATTACCATTTTACACTTGGAAAAGCTAGAAAAAACACGTAAAAAATTTTTTTTTCTCAAACAGCGAGGTTTTCGAACAAATAAAGTGAAATAAGTCCCTCTCTTAGTGGACAAAAACGATGTGGTTGAAAAAATTTGCTCTTTAAAACAATCAATTAATTTTATTAATCTTGTTATAATTTTTCATGAAGTATTTCATGCCTACGACAAAACTTCATTAGTTCAAGTCGTCACAGAAGTCACACCAAAGTCCCCAAACAGCCCTTTTGAATCACTCAAACAGTCACGCAGACACAGAAACCGCGCGGGAAGCTCTCACTTCGCACTTCGCCGTCACTGTCGCCGGTTCCTGAATCCGGATCGTCGTCGTCGTAGTCGACGGGCGGCACGTGCGTCGGCGGAGACGTCGTCAGCGGCTGGCGGCCTTCAGAACCGCCGGACAGCGTCGAAAGAGAGGAAGATGACGTTGAGACCTGGAAAAACGTCACACGATAGAGAGAAGCTCGAAGGAAATTCCCTACCAAAAAAGTACAAGTTTATGAGAGAAACCAAAAAAATGCATAGAAAAGAACAGAAGAAAAAATTCAGAACTTTGAGGAAGGAGGAATATTATTGAATGGCAAATATCAGAAAATGCCAAAAAATGTCAAAAAAGATTTCTAATCCTTCAAGTTGTTGGAAAGTTTACTATGAATAAGATTTTTTGAACCCCCGAAGTTTAACTCTCAAAACAAGCAACAAAAAACTGAACCATGCCTTAAAAACAAGAAGAACAGAAATGAACCAAAAATATAAAATCATCGTTTCTATGGAAAAATCTTTTCAAATTAACTTCAACCTCCAATCAAACTTTTTTTCATAATGCGATTAGATGGTGATTTTCTGTGCCATACGGTGCAAGTGATGAAAATTTGCCGGTGAGTGTGATTTTTGGCAATTTGGTTATTATTTTTCAAAAAGTTAATTTTTTTGTTTTTTTATGAATTCTATCTGAATGGAATCGCCCCGTAGTCGTGAAACTCAAAAAAAGAAAATATTAAGTTCAATTAAATATTAAATGCTAAAATGAACCCTGAAAAGTAGGACTCAAAAATTAGAATTAAAACCATGTTTTCCGTTTGAAAACCGACTCGAGAATTCGGTTTAAATGATTGGCTCTGACTAAATTTCCGTACTTCACTTATTGCTCACAGAGAAACAACAATGAAGAAAATTTAAAATATGATTTGCCATATTTTGAACTTGTAACTTGCAATAATTCTATGGTCCAAGGTTGGACAAAAATGTGCAGCTAATCCTAAAACTGAAACCACAATGTTTATCCTGATGCGAAAGCCTGTGCACAGAAATCGCAAATCCACCTACATTATCAGCGGTTTTTCGACCGTAGGAATCTTCGATGTGCTGCGAAATGAGAGTGACTCTCTGGACGTTAGGAGAATGATCCAAAGAAAAATGCGGCCGGTCCTTTTCTTCAGATTCTGACGGCTCCAGCGACGTTCGAGATGACGTGTACCTGGATGGAGACATGGAAAAGTGGGCGTGGCGTGACGAACCCGCTGTCTTTTTTGTTGGCGATCCCATTGGACTGAAGACCTTTGGCGTCCTTACCGGCCACATTCTCTCTGACGGATTCTCGCAGCGAAAGTCCCTCGAACCGACTGCAAAATGGATAAAGTTCAGTTGATCGAAACGCGTAGGGATCACTTTTGGACACTCCGATCTTTCTTCTCTTCGTCCTCCTCGTCATCGTGGGCAACTTTGCTCCGCCGCTTCGCCAAGGCGTTCCGCAAGTCTGCTTGGAAATCGGCGCTACTGTTCGACGGAAGATTTCGAGTCTCCCTAGGATCTCTGCGTTTTCTTTCTTTTTCTAACTTCTTTTGGTAAGCATTCTTCTTAATTCAAATGAAACAGATCGAGCGTTCGAAAAACCCTTGTTTTTATGTATCTATTATGTACTCCTTCCTTAATTCTCACTCATTCTGACCTATTTTTCTTTCTTTTTGAGCTTCCAAATAACTTTTTTTAGTTGAATTTCCACAGAACTTCGATTCGTTTATACAAACTTCTCTGGAGCTAATTCAGTGACTTCCACCCGCAAAGAGATTAATTATCGGATTTTTCCTTTGTACTCACCTCCTTTCAGACTCTTCGTTGACTTCTGCCTTTTTGAGTTGTACCGACCGCAGAGCGTCTGCTGATATACCCTTTCCGAGGTTCGCTGGAGCGCTCGGCGCCTTCAAGAAATCCGGTGGAGGTGGAGGCGGCGGTGGCGGAATTCCTGCTGAGGAACCTTAACTCCTTTTTTTGTGTTATAAAAGCAAGGTTCGAAATGGCTAACCAGACGGAGGAAGAGGAGGCGGCGGGGGCGGAGGAGGAGGTGGAGGTGGAACTTGCGACGTCGACGGAGGCGAGTGGTTGACCGCTACAATGGTCGCCTGCGACGAAGAAGTGGACTGCGTTCCCATCAACCTCAAGCTTTCTTTTTTCTTAAAACTTTCAAACTGGCGAACCTCGATCCGGCCGAAGCGTACACCGTCTGCTGCTGCGGTGGTGGAGGCGGCGGTGGAGGCGGAGTCTTGGGACGCGACGCCGGCCGGAATGGTCGCGAATACTCTCCGCGACTTGCGTCTCTCGAGGTGTCGCGTGAGAAGTCGTCGCCGTCGGGTAACGGCGTCGGCGCATCGTTTTCGTCGAAAGAGTCGAACGAGTCCATTCGCGCGAGGTTCGGCGAGCTGCGACTGACGCAGTTGTACTCGAGATGCTGCGACGCCGGCGTCTGCTGCACCTGAAACGTGCTCATCTGAAAAGCGACTGTTTAGTATGGTTAGAAGGACTCCTGTGTTAGTGACACAAAGCGGGTCAAACTAGGGGGACATCAACATTTAGCGCTTCTCTAATTTTTCTTTGTTTTTTTTTGAATTAGTTCAAGGAGCCTGGAGTTTCGATGTTTCAATTGACCTTTTATTCAGCCTCACCAGAACAATTCTTGATCAGCTACCTCTTTCACTAGAAAGAAAGGAAATCTTACGCTAGGAATATAAAGAAAATATAGAGAGTAAATTGTGATGAACGAATTTGCTCTGAATAGATTCATTAAAATTTGAGAAGATCGTTTTCCAATTCATGGAAATCTGAAAAAAGAAGCTACCGGCTGAGTTTGCCTCGGAGAATCATGAAAAAACCTCATAGATATACCTTTCAAGTCTAAAAATCAACAATACCTTTCTTGAGACGAATTAAATTTTCAACAGGAATAAATGGTTTTTTTGTAAAGTGCTGCCCTAATTTTGACCCACTCTGTATCTGGTTTTTTTTCAGGTCAAACCTGGTAGTCGTAGGGAGATCTCGGAAGGCCCCCAGGAGACGGAGCGCATCTTTGGCCTTTCCTCCTCTTCATGTCCGACACGGAGTTGTACTTCTTGGAAGTGTGACTACTCAGAGATTCCTAAGAGAGCATGATGATCAGGAGGAAGCAGAGTTTTGTGCACACCTGGTCGTAGGACACCTGAGGATGGGCGATCTGAACGGGAGCCTGGTAGCCGACATCGATGGTGGTAGAGGCGCTCCTCTGCCGAACCATCAGACTCTCGAGTTCCGCTGCCGAAATCCGCCGTCCACCTCCAGCCCGATGCTTCACTGAGGCATGTCGCGTCTCCGCGTAGGCATTTCGCAAATCTCCAGGCGCATAATAATCCCCGTTTTGCTCTGAACATTCGAATAGAAAAACTTTCAGAAAAAATAATAAAACAGTATACAGTACTGACAGTGTTTCTGTGAAGATTTTGCCGACTTGACATGAACAAGCTTATTTAAATCAAAACAAGAATTCCCTAGCATATCTTTTACAAGTTTGTGAGAATAAATTCAAAAAGTTTTCAATTGATGTGGAAATTAATTGAGTAAGTGTGCGCCATTAGCATCAATTAATGTGCAGAATTGTTGCAGTGATGTTATGGCGCATTAATTATTGAGCATTGATAAGCTTTTCAAGTAGATTTTTTTTTCGAAGGTCTACTCATTTATATACTTGATCCAATAACTTAATGCCGTGAATTAGTTTACAGCAATTTCAAGCCTTAAAAAATAGGTGGATGACTGATACAGTTCACTTTGAACATTTAAACTAACTCACGGTATGAAACTGCGGACCTGGATTACAAATAGCTCAAAAAAGGTTCGACACACCAAACAAAACGAACAAAGTGTACAAAAAGCTAACGAAAAACAAAAAAAAAAGACGGACGATGTTGAACCGAAGCTTGGAAAAACTTCGACCACATTTCATTCATCAAAATCCCCGAAAAACTGAGAGTATTCGAAACAACAGAGTGCAGCAATACCGTTGGGGAATCTGTAGAGACTGCGGGTTCCTGTCATCGTGAAAGTTTTCATCGTCGAGGAGTACGGTACTCCAGAGGCGCGGCTTACTGTAGAACGCGTTCCGACTGAAATTGCCGCCATGCAAGCAAAACTTTTACGTTGTGTTATATTTGGGTTTTGTTAGGAAAAAAGTAGGGTAGGTTAGTTTACACCGAGAGCCGATGAATAATTAAAATGAAAGAAAATGAAGGACAGTCGGAAAAGTGAAAAAGCACTCCAAAATCGTACGAAAATTTCATTATTCAAATTTTCATTTTTTTCCTTTTTTTCAGGACAATCTCATGATGCTACTCATTTTTTTTAACGAGTTATAAATTTGACGAGTTTAAGCTGTTACTTTTTTGTTATACAATGAAGCTTCTAGTGCATCAAAGAAAGCAGAGTTAGTGACATATATTTATAATATTTTGAACCTGAATGAGGTCTCCTCTGGACGGATCCTCCTGGAATGTTCATCAGACTTTCCGCTCCTTCCACTGTTATAACCTGAACAAAAACCATTTCTTGATGAGGAATACATCCGTCTTCTTTTTATAAATCATCAATATCATTTTTAGCGTTGTGATATCTAAATTTCGGAAGTCCGACCTTCAAGGTGATTGTGTCGCCGGCCTGTTGGATCAGCTCGACCACTTGGTCGTGACTCGCACATCTCACGTCGATTCCGTCGATCTCCAGCAGGTAATCTCCTGAAACAAGCTCTATAACTTTGACCAATCGGAAAGTGATTGAAATTAATTTTCAAACAAGGAACCGTACTTATCTCACAGCATTTACTATCAGTAAGATGATCTTTGCAATAATCAGAGTTTTTTTTTTCTCGCACAAAGACATAAATTCCGTCAAACCCTGAGAATCACCGATAAAAAAACGCAAAAAGACCACAACAATCTTGACGGCAAACCTCACAAAAGGGTAAACTCAAAGTTCAACAGTAATTTGAGAAAAACTGTGTTTCTATCAAATTTTTATTTGATACCAGGTCGAAGGCCGGCTCGGACAGCCATTCCTGACATGTCGACGCCTTCGAAGAACTGCAGAGCCGGTACAAGGGGCGTCGGCTCGAAGTCAATGGGCATCGCCATGTCTGAAAACTTTCTATTTGAAACTATTGATTATCTACGAAAAAACAGACGTTTGGCGCCACGAAGGATGAATCCGAAGCCTTTCGGGCCGCGCGGAATGACCAGGATTCGTGGCATGTTAGCCTCGTGGCCAGCCTGAAAAGGATGAAGTTATTGAGGAGAGTCTCATTTTTTTTTTCACCGCAAGCATTCTGACATGGTCGGGGGCAAACCGTCGTATCGTGCCGTATTCGGAAGGCGTGACGGTCGACCGCGAAGCTCGCGACGGCGTCGGCGATGGTGCGATCTGAACGAAGAACGTCAAATGCTGAGCAGGAGAGACTTTTTTGAAACTGTTTTCTTGGAAAATTCCCCAGCTGTCGGCAAATTTATAAACTGCTGAGGAAGGTTCGTTGAAAATGCAATACTTCTACATCTACATCAAGGAGTTTCTCGATTTTCATTCAAATTTCTTGAAGCTGGAGTTGCTACGAGGGAAAAATTTACTCAAAGACCGAGAAATTTCTCGGAGAAAGTAATTCATTCAAAATTTCTGGACATTAGAAAAAAGGTCCTTGATAGCGGATGAAGTTTCAGATAGAACAGAAAAAACCTCCCTTTCAAAAACTGATTTCTATCAAGTTTTTTTGGCTGACATCGCCTTAAAGTGCAATACTTTTCATGCCATTTTATCATTTCAGAATCACGGTTTGCTCAGATTGTTTTTTCAACAGAAAAAAAAAGCTGAGCTGAGCTAAAAAAAAAATCCAACGAAAGGAACATCACAAGATAGCCGCTAATAACGTTTCAACATGTTTTGTACCGAGGGCGGCCTTCGGTTGTTCTGTGGCGTGCGGTAGATGTCCTGGCTGCAGATGGACGACTGTGACATGGAGCGACGACGCGAAATTGTCGAAGAAAGTCGCCGTCTCGTGGAATATTGCGGCGTTCCACGGTAAGGCACTGGAAACATGGCCTAATGCGTCTACCCCATCTGAGGGACAAACCGGATGCGGTCGGGTTGTGCGACTGGATGACGTCAGCTACGGCTGGGTTGCTGACGATGTGCGCGACGTGCAGCGCCGTCTGACCCTGCTTGTTCACCACCAGGTGGTTGGCTCCTCGGAAAAGCAGAACTCGCGCGCATTCAGCTCTGAATACTTCGCATTGAAAAATCGAATTAGCAAAAATTATTTAGCCATTTTTATAATCTCTCTTTCAATTTCCTAATTTCTTTGTCTCAAAAATACAGCGAATCTCAACTAATACAAAAATTTACTGATTTCTAAACTCCCGCCCCACCATATTTAAACCCAAGCGTGTCAAAAAGTTATTTTTGAAACTACCGACAGAGAAAAAGACCGGAAGACCGAAAGATCTTGCTACAAACTTTCCCGACTATATATGACCAACTATTTTCTTAATTTCAAATTAGTTGTGGACGTCTATGTAGATTTTAATTGACGCGGTAAAAATTGTAAATATCGTAAAAAATGCCTAAATCTCTTTTCATCCCACGGATCAGGAAATAATAGCTAGTAAAAGAGTTTCAAGGAGTTCAAAATTTTTCCATAGCCCTTATGTTGAAATATTGAAGATGCTTTTTCAAGGTTTATAACATAAGCGACGATAAATGAAATCTAGTCTATAATAATTTTTGAAGATTTTCCTGAGCATTTCTAAACTTCAAAGATTTTTCACGAGATCTCAGATGTTCAAGCCTCATTTTTCGGACTTTTCTCTTCTGAGCCCCTGCTCACCGATTGTTGACGGCGCAGACGTGCAGCGGACTGTTGCCGTTGACATTTTCGGCGTCGATCGCCGCTCCGTAGTACAGAAGGTGTTCGACGTGCTTGACGAGACCGTTCTTGCAGGCCTGAAACTGGCAAACTTGCTTCTTCAAACGGAAAACAGGAGCGACCTGATGGATTTCATGGTTTCCGTGCATGTCCGTCACGCCGATGTCGGAAGCCTCTCGAAGCAACATCTCCGTCACCTGGAAAATCACGACTTCCTTTAATTTTTTATGTGATCAAGTCGGATTTCTTTTATTTATCGAGATAAGAAAGTAGTTTTCTTATTCATCATTCTAAGAAATCTTTCAATCTGGAGCAAGAGTGATAAAATATGATAACTTCAGCTGGTTCCATTTTCCGTGAAATATAACTTTTTGGTGAGGATATTTGATAAAATCTAAGTCATCCTCAGTGTAAACTTTTGAAAGGATAATCGCGTTGATAATTCTGACATCAGAATATAAAGATTGATTTCCAATGTTCATGATTGTGCTTCTCTGGATGACTTTCGCCCAGCACCGACCTGATCATTGGAATCGGAGGTGAGCATGTTGTAGTACAGAGGAGTGAGTCCGATGGGATCTCGGTAGTTTGGCGAGGCGCCCAATTCGATCAGAGTCTTGACGTTCTCGAAGGAGGACAGAAACGAGGCCTTGTGCATGGCCGTCTGTCCTTCCGAGTTTCTGAAGTCGATGTGCGCTCCACCGCCAATCAGAGCCACCAGAACGCCGCGATTCGATGGAATCCCCGCGGCCAATGTCAGCGGCGTCTCTCCCTGGAGCTCATTTCTAGCTTCATACGAATTCTAGTTTACCTGTGAGTCGTGGAAATTCGCATCGATCCCTTGAGAGCACATTTTCTCGACCTTTTCCCCGTTTTTCTGCTGCACGTAGTCCATGAACTTTTTCAAGTTGGCCTATAAAAATATGAATTTCTTATTTTGAAGCGGCAGTTTTTTAGTCAGTGGAAAATAAATTATTCGAATCGAAAAAACTTATTTTTTGAGATGACAACTGACCTTCGTATGCATGCTCTTGAGCTGCTTTTCATCCAAGTTCAGCATTTTGTAGACTCGCTTCTTGTATTTGAGCTGAAAATCAAAATTACGTTTTTAAAGGCAGATGAAATAATACTTTTTCAAAATTTCTGATCTAACCCTAGCGATTTTTCATCTTCAAGGTGACATTTAATTTTGTTTCCGGAGACCCGTCTCTTCCGACGTTTTTTTGCCTCTCGGCGGAGGGATTATTCGCATTTAACGAGGGGATTGCGTTGAAACACAAGACTTTCGCCCAGCCACCGCCGGCCGTCCAAAAAGACAAAAGGTGTTTGTTTTTGCCGCGGTCATTCATCGCAGGAAAGCGCTCCAAAATGAGCGGCCAGTTAAAAGATTGGTCTTTCGAACGAGAGCCTCAATCATCCAGCTCTTGCAGGAAAATCCCGACTTTTTTAGCCGATGGGAATTTTAAGGCCTACAGGAAGATTTCTTGGAACGAAAATATGATGTATCTTCGCAATAAATTGAATCCCAGAAAAATTAATAGATAAGTTCTAAGGTCAATGCATTAAAGTTCTCTTTTATCAAGCAAAAAAAGATATCAACATGAACTTACAACTCAAGTTTGAAGAGAAAAAAGAGTGCCATCCACTAATTTTTTAGAAATTTTTTTAGAAACAGAATTGTATAAGATTATAAATAAGCGAGAACTTTTTATTCGAATGAATCACTCGAAAACAACAAAGTATGAATAATACTTTTCTGAAATGACAAATATTCACCTCGAGGTAGGGAACACAGTCGTGGAAAGGATAATCTCTGACGGTTCGATCCTCGAGCAAGAATTTCCCGGCGCGGCCATCACATGGCGGCAGGAAAAGCCCGTAGTTGAAGGCCTGTGCCAGCGCCTGAAATGAAAAAGCTTGAAGTTTAGAAAAAAGGCTCTCTGTTGAAATCTTTAACTATGATTAAGTTTTCCTAAACGATTAAAAAACGAAGAGAATTTTATGAGAAAAAAAAGTTTTGATTCGAAAAAAACAAAAAATGACTATATTTTCTCTATAATGCAAATTTTCTGGAAAAAAAGCTTCTTCATTGAGAACTCAAAAACTTTTTTCTAGTTTCCCTGGGAATTATTTTTTTTCTCCAACTTTAGGAGTTCCTGTCCGATTTAAAGTAGACTACACACAGAGAAAAAGTCAAAAAAAGATTGCATTATTTTTCTTGAAAAACGATTTTTTTAAAGGCCATATCTTTTTACAACAAGGTAAAAAACATTTCTGAATAAATTGAAATTCAAAGAAAGGTTGATTATAATCTATTAAATTTCCATCTATTCTTGCAGGAATCTCTATAAAACAGTATCAGCTCTAACTATTTTTCTTTCTCCTTTGATGATTGTCCAATTCAAACAGTTCAGCGACGATCTTGGTCAAACCAAAAAGCTCTTTCTTTTTGAGTCGAACAGCTCTGATAATCAGTCTGATACAACTTTAAATACCAGAGAAAAAGAAGCCAAACCTGTGGCAAAGTCGCCAACAACTTCCGCTTCACATCCCACACAAAGTCATTCTGCATAACACCGAGGAACTTCTGAAAGCTTTTCATTGAATCCGAAGCTTTATGTTTCGATATTAACGTAACGCTTATATCAAAAAACAGAAAACACACCCTAATTTGCAGTTCAGGAACAAAAATTTGCAAATTGACTTGCTCATCCTCGGGTTCCATTCTTCTGTTCACTTCATAGGGGCTGCCTGAAACAAAAAACGAATAGATTTTTACTTCGAAACTTAAAATAAGTATCAAAGAGGTAAATTCGATAAAAAAAGACCACAAAACATAATACATTTTTAAACGGTCGATTGATAAAAAATAGTGAATTAAAACGCTGTGAAAATAAAGAGGGGGAAAATGAAATGGACTCGATTCAAGTGGGTCGTTTGTCTTCATCAAACTGTTTTTCACATAAAATCTCCGAAAGATTGAGAGGCGTATCAGAGAAGAATTAGATGGAATTGGAAGAAATCCTTGCATGAAACGCCGATTTCGACTAAAATCGGGATGAGCTGCAGCACATTCCGATTCCTCCACTGAACTGGGATGAGTGATACAAAAAATAATCCAAAACGTAGGAAGAAATCCTTTATCGATCGAGGCAAAAAAAAAGAAGAAATCTATGAAAATTTTTTTAAAGTGAATACAAAGTTGAAGTGACCCCAAAAAAATTAATGAGTGTTCAAATCTATGTAAAAATTGAAAAGAAAACTTCGCTGCCTTTTTCAAAAAACTTTCAAAAATTTTTTTCTTTCAGAACTGTTTTTAGTTCATTCAATGAAGCGGAAAGGACTTTGTAATTAGGAAGGAACGGCGCTCCTCTTTACAGCCGAACTCATCTTGGTGTCAGTAAAACTCAAACTTTAACGATCTTTCTTCTTTGCTGCCATGTATGGACCGAAGGAACTCCTTGAAGATTACTCTGAAGTATTCAAAGCCAAGTTTCGGGCTTCATCAATTAAGTTGATTGAGTATAAGTATGGAGTAGCGAGGTTTTCCGAAATCGACGAGTTTTTTCAGTCACTTTTTCAGTTTAGTTCGAAAAAAAACAATTCAAATTTTATTGAGGGTATGCACTTTACTAACCTCCACTGGACCAAGCATTCAAAACGAGCGAGAAACCGGAAAGCCTCGGAGAAGAATTGACCGACGAAAAATTTTAAAGGGCGGAGTCGTTTTTAATATGAACAACTATAACCAGAAGCAGCAAAATCAAAATGAAAAAACACTTTTGAATACGTTCGATCAAACAAATACTTCAACTTTATACGATTTTTTCGAACTTTTGGAACCAGGTAAGCTGTCCAAAAAATTAAGAAAAAAGGTTTCTAGAAATAGCAGAATATAGATTTGATCCCAGTTTTAAAATTGGTGTTAGAACGTGGAGAATGATTTCATTAAGCTCTTTTTCATGTGAAGAACTTCCCAGTATAAACTGAAATCAATTGCTCAAAAGTTTCCAGAGAGAGTATTTTCTTTTTCCAGGCGCACTTCTCCCTCAGTATCTTATCCTGTTTCTGTTAGCCACCTTTAATTGTAGGTAAGCAGCCCTCCAAAAACTCTACAAAAAATGTGTCTTATCACGATAGACTAGCGTTGGTTGGATTATATGACGTCTACTTTCATGCACAAAAAGAAAAAAACAAAAGTAATAAAAAAGATAATCGGATAGTAGAGTGCAAAACGGAGGAAATCAATAAAAGGAATTGAGGATTGCGGAGTCGGTGCTCGGTGGACAGGAGCCGCGGCGGCCGGAGGGGACAAACAATTTGGGCCTCCTCGCCTCTGAAACTCGCCGGATGGTCAGAGCCGACCGTCCGTCCGGCAAACACGAAACGCTCACCGCCGCTCACGGCTCCATCCACAACTCGCCAGGTTCCAGGCAATGCGTGTCCTTGTTTGTACGTCTTTTTGCCGCCTTTTTTGGAGCTCTTCCGCCAACAATCTTTTCATCGCATCCCACATCATGTGATGACGTGAGATGACAACCAAACACTCCAAAAGCCCAAAGTTAGGTTTTTCTTTGGGGAAAGCATCGAACACTTTCGGTTTCGAAATTGCATGAAAGTGTGGCGACTTTATGCATAGGTAAGCGCAGAATCGAGAAATAGATGTTGAGTTGACCAGCAGAAACACCAAAAACAACAATCTTCCGCCAAAGCTTATTACTTTACGAATCCAACATTTTATCAAACTAGGTCCTCGATAATAAAAAATGGCTTCTGATACTCTAGAAAGGAATAGAAAAAGTTGGCGGACGCCGATAGGATTCTATCCTTTTAAGCTTCGCAAAAAAACTGTGGTAATTTACTGAGAAAAAATGAGGTGAAAAAATTAGATCGTCAAAATTAGCAAAAATTTTACTGACACACCAAGGACGGTATTAGCTGAATCAAATTAGAATTCATCTCGGAGGGAAGAAAGTTGAAATCATTCACACCTTTCTCAAACTCATTTTTGAAATTTCAAGTCGGGATTGACCATGGAGCATTAAAAAATAAGAAAAATCTCCGCCAACTACGGCTACATTTGCCTGAATCTTATAGAAGCTGTTCACTGGGTATATTTTTGGAAAAAAAAAGTGTTGCGAAGGCTCAATTACTCATTATAGCAACTTGACAAGCAGGGCAGTCAAAAATGGCTAATGACATGCTCTGAGAGAGTTTCACAAATCCTATCGAAGAAAATTTCCCGACAACGCGAAAATTCTGTCAGCTGTGCGGTAATAACACCTTCCTAAAAGTTAAAAGCAATTTGATATTTTAATTATTTTCAATAGCTCTTTCGATCTAATTTTTTTTCCATTAGTAACTTTTTTGATCAAATTACAAAAAAAAACGGCAGAAAAATAGAAAAAGCCAATCGATTTATACGCGAAGAGAAAGTCAATTTCGCCGAGGGGATCGTGTGAAAATGAGGAGAATACGATTGACGCTGGTCAAGAACACTTCCACGCAATTCTCCTAACGGCCCTCGTGAAACTATCGAAAATCAAGAAAAGAAGGATCTTGGCGACAGATTTTTGAGCTGGCTGCCGTATCCTATGCTTTGATACAAAGCTTTGAGGCAACGCCGAGGGTAAAAATGAACCAGTTTGGCAATAGAAAGATCGAAGTTGGAATGAAGCGGCGGTGGCATATGTACGACAAGATGAAGAAGACGTCGAATGAGGTTGGCAACGTCTTCCGACTAGATTTTCTGGTGGTTTTTTGGGCATCGCGCACACATTCGACGGTTTTTAGGCCACAGAATAACGGAAGGCAGGTGTGAAAGCTAATACGTTTCTGCGTGACAGCCGAGAATAAAAGACTCATAGTTCTCCAACAATATTCTTTTCGAAATAATATTTTGAAGAAGTAAAAGGCGGAAGAAATACGAGGTTCCACTGACAAAAACAAGCCCGTAAAAAGATGGAAAGCCAACATGACGAAGGGAAAACGAACACACAGTCAGATTTGGCAGTTGCAAATCCAGCACGTCTGACTGACTGCATAAGAGGCAGCCCGCAACCTCAAGTAGACGACAATTGGCTGAGATTTTGCAGTGAAATTCGGCCTCCGGCGCCGGTTTTTCACGCCGCCAGCCAACCTCAAAAACCCGCAAAAGCTCAGTGGAAAAATATACCGCGCATGGTTTCGAAGAGGAAAAGTCAGAAGGGGTTTTTGAATGGTTTTGACGGGTGCTGGCGAGGAAATCTAATCCGAGTCGTTGCTTCGCGGCATTGAAGGAAATGAAGCGCCTGCGGACTGGGAAAAGTTGGCTTGCGTTAAAGAGATTGAAACAAAACAAAGCGACTGAACAACTTTTGGCAAGTCAGAATATCTCTCTTTCGAGCTGAAGTCATTCCCAAAACTATATCGACCGAGAAAAAAAAATGAATAGAATGCCATGGTTACAGCGACAATAATAAATTTGAAATGCATCAAGAGATTTTTTTTTCACCAAGCTAAGAAAATAGTGGAACATTCCCAGAGGCTAATTCATTTTCCTAATTTTCAAGAGCAATAAAGTGATGGGAAAAAAACTTTCTCAAACCGTTGTGAACGGAAGTAAGAAAAAAAAAGACTCATAATGAGAGCTAATTTTAGCAAAAGTAGTCGACGTTTGAGGAAAAAAAAACAATCAAAACAAAGCTGACTGTCAGTTTAGGCAAATTGAAGTGCTTCGAGCGTCAGAAAAGAATTTCCAAAAGAACTTTTTGCGAAAAAAAAAAAAACGATTCTGTTGGCAAGGTAAACGAAACGCAAAAATATGAAGAATCAAAATAAACATGCAGAAAGCTCAGCGATTGAGGCTTTGGGCAAACATTAAAAAGGAAATTTTCCGCGAAACGTCTTTTTTGACTTTTTCACGCCATTCAGGTATCATACGTAACACTATGGAGTGTTCAACAATAAATTTAAGAGTATGAAAATAGATTCCCAGAAAGGAAGCATACACGGCTGTGAGAAATTCAAAAAAAAGTATCTTGATTATTAAATTTGAGAAAAAAAAGTCGGAAACATAAACTTGACTTTTTTCATCCTGAAGCTTTTTGGAATCCATAAAAAGGGTAAAGGTGAAGAGAACACTGCGTGTCGCGTAAAAGAGTGCGCAGTCGGGCGGACCGCAAACAAAGTATCAATTAAGAAGGTGAGGGGCGTCCCATCCGAAAGAGACGATTCTAGAGGCCGGCCTGGAAGCGTCCGGCCGGTCGTCTCAAGCTTCGCCGACTTCTTGCGGAAGAGTTATGGATCCTAGCTGATCCGACAAAGCTTCCAGGTGGAACTGTGCTATAAAAACTACTGTGGAAGTTACAAATAGGTGTCCAATGGGAACCAGTTATAAGCAACGTCTCAGAAGTGGCTTGTGGATTTTAATTGACTTCACTTCTTAAAAAATTGGAATAAGAGCAAAAAAAGGTTAGGGGTTTCTAATAAATTAAAAGTAGGATCTAAATAGCCCATTTTTCAAAACTTGAAAAAGTCAGACCTGGCTGCGATTCTTTCTCCTCACCAGCAAGATCCTGAAAAATGAAAACAGTACGTAGGCAAAAGAAACTCGCTGAAATGAAAGAGGGCACAGACAAACGAGACTGTTTCGAGGCGTATGAGACACAGCAGAAAATGAGAAAAGGTTAAAAACTCAAAAACTGCATGAAAAAACTTTTGTAATTTCTTCGGTTAAAAGCAGTCCTGAGAGTATAAGAACAGGTAGAGGCGAAGAGAACACCATGTGATGTGTAAAAAATAATTTTAAATAATATTTTAAATAAAAAAGTCATCAAGAAAATGAAAACGAGCAGGAAAAAAAAATTGAGATTTCATTTTGTAAATAATAAGTGACCTAGTAAATCTTGAAGACAGGATTTGGGATTAGAAATCGAAACCGGCTGGCACCGGAATTCTTGGCGAGCTTCCAAGCCATCTCAAACATGTCATTACGAATCGGTCAGTCGCCGGCCGCCAGGGACCTTGTTCAAACATCTCATTCCGTCCGTTCTTGCTCCGATTAATATTGCAGCTTCGCATTGTGCTTGAGAAATCATCAGGGTCGTCGAAAGTTCCTTTCTGGGTAGTTTTTCTTGATAGAAATAATCAGGAAATCGTTGAATGGGCTTGTAATTGCCGTTCCCGTCACATTTCGCGCTTAATTCAATCGGTGTTGCGGAGAGAGGTCAGCTGATAATTAAGCTTAATCCTTTGTCCGTGGAGCAAGATTGAAGTAAAGCGAGGTCGAAATTCGGAATCAGGGATCGATCATCTCGATAAATTTGCGAATATTTTGAAAAGTTGGGAAGACAAAAAAAAGGTGAGAGGACAATCGAAGTTTTGACGAAAGGATTGGTTCGCTCTTTTCGAATATTCTGCTTGGTTGATAGTTCATTGATAGTTATTTTATCATGAAACTTTTTGCTACAATTTTTCACTCTGGGAAAAATGTTTCACAAAAAGCTCTGGTGAAACATTTTAGAGTTACTAAATTAAAGCATGAAGAAAATATAGAGGATGAAGTCGCGGAAGTTGGAATCTGTACAAATGAATAGGCAACACTGTATTTATGTTGACAGGCCTTGAATTTTATCAAATTTTGTGTTATAAGGTCGGCAAGGTTGAAAAGGAAAAATACAAGTCCATAATTCAAAAAAGCAAAATCTGAGTTAAAAAGTTCATAGACAAAAACGATGAATCAAAGGATAGGAGGGAATTGCGCAATGAATATGATATATGGAGATTTGTCGGAAAACGAGAAGGCTTTGCAGGTGGCTGCGACTCATCCGCGGGACGGACATAAACACGAGAAGCTGGAATGGCGGGCAAAAATGATGGAGATGATAGCGCTGATGAGAAGGAAAGGATGGGAGAAGCGAGAAGTCGTCGACCGTCGCAATCTTCGTCTCGAATCTTCGGGTGTTTTTGATGGCGCGCCGCTATTTCCGATGGCTATCGCCTCGAGTTTTCCGCAGTTTTTCTTCTCTTTGCACCCCAATTTTAGACCAAGGGTGGAGATGGTTAGTATTTTCCTAGAGTCTCTCCGTTGAAACTCTTTCTCAAAACTCAACTCTTCTCTCTGTTGAAATTTTGAAGTGTAGAGGTCGTGAGAAGTGTTTCAAGCGACCTCGAACCAAATAAAAATCGTTCAATTTTTTGAAGAATGACCTAAAGAAAAGAAGTGTCGAAGTTGTTTTTGCAGTCAAAACTGATAATGACGTTTTTTTTTTTCACGTATGGCAATAGAAAAGCCATTAGTGAGAAAACAATGAGAAAAGAAGAAAGCAAAAGGCCATAAGAAGGGAAGAAGTCGGCCGGTAATGGGTCTGTTAACGATCAAGTCTTCCGGGACTTGTTCTTTCTTCGACGAGAAGAGAAAATTATTGTCAAACTGTCAAGTGTCAGTTTCGAGGAAACAAGTTAATTACGAGAAAAAGATGTAGACGAGAGTTTATCGAGTAATCTTTCATAAACTCAAAAAATAGGAAAAAATAGAGAAAATAAATGATTTGAAAGGCGCGAAACGTGACGTAACGGAGGGACAAGGCTGGTTCCAGGCGGAGCACAGGCGCTAATACAAAAGGCCAACACGTGGCGAGCCGCCTTTCCTAAAGAAAGGACTTCTTGTGTTGGTTTCCGCTTCCAACGCTGTCCAACTTCGAAGATTTCTGCTCAGTAAAAAAGTTTGCATTTTTTTCAAGATGACAAATTAATTTACATAAAAGTTTGTGGGGCTGAAGCAAAATTTTTTCATAACACAGACAAAAATGGATATTTCAAAATTTTCCAGTTTTGCGACTCAGTTTATAAGAATATTGCAACGTTATGTTTGCCGCCAGTTTTGCAGTCTAGGCCTGACGTTACATTTGAAAATGTTTAGTTCATTCTAAAAATTCGAATTTCGCAAATTTAATCAAATGTGTTCTAATATCATAATCATGGTCTCCTTTGAAATATTGTCATTTTGTTGGGGTTTTTCAATTAGTTTTTTTGAAGGAAAAAAATTAATAGTATTGAAAAAAATCAAGCTAATAATTTTGAAGCCAGTCCTAAAAAAATATAAGCAAACTTTTTAAAATATCAAAAAAATACAGAAGTCTTCGTATCATAATATTTATAATAGATTTGTTTTAATCCTTAAAGGTTTCTTAAGACCTAAGATCTGAAAAGTTTTTCGAGTGACACATTCATTTTGATATAACTGTACGGATTTTTTCGTTCGGACTAAAGCGCTCCTGTTGAAATAAACGTTTTTTTAACTACAAAGTGAGATCGTTCCCTAAATAGTTCATCAGCTTCTTGCTAAGTTAGGAGCAGCTTGAGAACAGAATAGATAGCTTGAAAAGTTGAAGAAGCAGAGGAAGATCGAATCGAACAGAACCAGTTCCTAACTGTACCTCAGACGACGAAGCAAGGACAGGAAATGAATAAGCGATGAGGGTGCGAGGAGGAGATAAGAAGACGAATAGACGTCCTGAGTCAGCCTGACGACCTGTGATTCACAAGCAAATCAACGACGTGCCAACGGAAAAGCCTAGAAGGTGATAGTGAAAAACATGTAGGTGGGAAAACGAAGGAAGTCACCTACAGCTGAATTCGCAACAACAGTATCCCAAATTCGAGAAGAAGAAGAAAACACTATGAGATTTTTTTCTTTACGAAATCAAAAAGTCCTTTTCAATATAGCGAATAATTGAGAAAACTGTTCGAAATCCTCAGTTAGATCCCATTTATCTCGACTCAACAAAAATGGTTGAAACTTAATTTAATCTAATTGACAAAATCTGAAAGAGCTTAACAAACTACATAATGAGTGGAAAGCGGTACCTTCAGAGGAACTTAAGGTATTTAAAAAGAAACGTTTAATTTGACCTAAACTAAAATGAAAGTTTGAAAGAGAAAGTCGGAACGAAGAATGAGTTACGGCGATTAGGAGAGAACGTCGCTGGAAAGGTTATCAGCGAGAAGCCCAAACAAACAAACAAAAAGGTTCGCTGTGACCAGCTGGGGGTCGCCGGAGATCGATAGGCGTGTACAATTGGAATGAACGATCGCGGCTGCATAGCGCCACCCAACCGCAGATCTCAAGGTCTTCTTTTGGGCTGCGGAATGAGGGAAGGACGACCAACCACAAAACGAGGATTCTCTCGCTCCACCGACGTCGGCCTTTGCTAGAGCTCGAGCCGTCCTTTTCGTTCTACTTTCAGAACATAGAAATTACATTGTTGAAGAAGACTTGAGAACAAATATAATCAAATGGATGTTGCTCATTCTATTTGAAAAGAAAGAATACTTTTTTGTCGAAATTTGACGAATCCTATGAGTTAGAGCATACAACTCCTTTGCCAGTTTTTCATTTAAAAAAAAAAAATCGGACGTGCCTGTACACTTTTTTTTCACATTAATATGAAAAGGGGAAGAGCCTGAAAACTGCAAAGAAATCAGATTGTTTCAAAAATTGGAAAAAAAAGGTATAATCAAAAACTCGGAATGTTGAACACCTAAACCGTTTAGATTCCAAACGCGGACAGCCTAATACAAAAATAGTGATAAATTTTGTTGAATAAGCTGAATAACTGTGAACGACTCTTCGTATTATTCAAAAAAGGCTGATTTTACAGAATTAGAGATTTTTCAAATAAAAAAAAATGGTTATGAGAGGAATTTAATCGAGAACTTGAGGTCAATCTCTCAAAAACGTGTAGCTGATTCTTTTTGAGGAAGAATTAACAAAGGTTTTTACACTATTATCGAATGAGTGCAAAAAAGTTACGAATCTTTTTAGTATTCCTTTTTCCCTAACATATATGAATGAAAGCAGTTCAACTTTGAGACGGCAGAAGCCTTATATTTTTCTCAACATGTGGCCAGTAAAGGTAGGAATAGTGTTGCCTGTGTACGATGGCATTTGCCCAGGTGTTGGACAAAGACGACCTTGAGGCGTTTTCGAGGGCACGGCACATTATTCCGGATTAGAAGGAGATGAGAGGCGCCAAGAGTCGGAAAAAGGAGAGAAGCTGACTGTTCTCGAGAGCCATATACGGCCGTTGACCTGTGAGGACAATCGATGGTCCGCACGTACCTCAGTCTTGTTTGCCCTCCGCTCTTCAGCTTCCAACTCACCTCGCACCAACTTGTCGCTGACCTTTTCGTCGAGGTGAAGGTAATCGGCATCATTAATGCTGTTTTGAGTCCTCCGAGGCTTCCTAGAAATCGAGAAAAATTGAATGAAAAAAATTTTCTGAAGGCTTTCATTTTTTTTATTATTACCAAAATGAAGTTTCTTAATTTTTCAAAAAAATTCTTAAATTATGAAAAAAAAACACACAAATTAGGGTAAGCTAAAAATTTTTTTATAAAAAAATGAACGAAGAAGCTGAGAAGATTTTTTTGATAAAAAAATCTCAATCGCTTCTCTTAACTTGAAAAACGTAGAAGTTCTACGTCTCTCAACTGGAAAGCAATACTAGTCACAGATCTGCCCAAAAATTTGAAAAAACAATCTTTGAGGTGAAACTTTATACAAGCTTCCAAACCAGTTATTCTTCATTTTTTTTTTATCGATATAAAAGTTTGAAAAAATATTTTTCTAAACTCGGTTTTATTTCATTTCAATCTTTTTCAGCATGCTACAGGTTCCATTAATGTATTGACAGATCAACTTCAAAGAAGAAACTGGCAAAAATTAAAAAGAAGATAATAATTTTTTTCTTTTTGATTGATTTTTGTTTAGCTACAAAGTGTATTCAAAAAAATATCCGTAAGTATTTCTCTTCTTGAAAAGATATAGTTTGAAGTCCCGAAAAACCCGTCAAGAATCATGTCCATTCAAATTTTGATATACCAAGGGTTTTATTTGAGTTTACTGAAAAAAAAAACAAACCCATTTATTAAACTTTTCTTATCATTCTTGTTTTCGTAACAAAAAAAGCTTCCTTGCAGATACTTAGAAGCGGCCACTCAACTCGAATACTATCATATAATAATTACTGAACTCTAAAGAAGTTTTTGTAGCGAATTCCTTCTTCATTGTAAGGTAGAAAGAGAAGAAAACCTAGAACCCTGCGATTAAAATCTGGAAAAGAGAGAGTGATCGGAAATCGAGATTAGCGTGTAGCGAAGAAAGGACACGTAATTGCTTGTAATTTTGACAGACTAGAAAAAAACGTTTAAAGGAAACCTCAACAACACAGTAACGCCACGGAAGAGAAAGACGAAATTTTCCGCCTTGCATTTGAAAAATTGGTGGATATTTTGTCTTTGCTCTGAAAAATAACGTGAATTATTACGAAACTTTGCGGTAGCGCTTGTGCGAGGGCCGGCCCTCGGCCCGCCTTCTAAAATCGACACGGCCTGCTTTTTTTTTCAAGTCGAACCCCGCCTTCTAAAATCGACACGGCCGAACTTTTTTTTTTCAAGTCGAATATCAAGCCTTAAGACAATAGATTTTTTGCTTATTTCTTTACGTTAAGTTCAGAAGAAACTAAGATTTAACAAATGACAATATTTTTTTCGGCAAAATATTTTTTTATTGAAATTTAAAATGTTTTTCGAAGGTCTGGTCCAAACCCGGGCAGGCTTTTTCTCAAAAATGAATCCCGAAGCCCGGGTCGCCCGGCCTGTCGCACAAGTCTTGTTGAGGTTGATATTTTCCGGAAAATTGGCTAAAACACTCCTTGATGTATCAGATAATGCTCCTGAAATTCTCAACCTGGACAACTTCCTAGTTTTCGAATAAGGTCACCTTTAAAAGGAAGAAAAAATGAGCTGTTTTGAGGCTTTGTATATATTGCCCATAAAACTAAAAGGTTTTGCATTATGAAACTTTCAGAATCTTCCTACCTTACAACAAGGAGTTCCCTGGCTAAATTTCAAAGATTTCAAATCGCAAAATAAAATGGCCTTCCTTATGAGTAGCTACTAGCAGCGGTTCGAGATTTAGCAAAATTTTTCTATAAATTGTGAAGAAAGAAAGTAGATTTAAATCAAATGTTCTTGAATGAACTTTTTTTAACTCAGCTACTCAGGCACTGACGGCGCGTGTTTGTTGCCAAAAGTGCGCATGCGCGCCGCCTGCTGCGCGCACGCGCGGGGTGTCTCTTTTGTTTTTTAGCTTTTTAACTAATTGAAAAGTTATATATTTAATATTTTTTTCATGTCTGTTCATCTCTTAACATTGCTCTGCACCAGTTTATAACAATTAGATTGCACAAAAATGTGAAATATCAAAGTTTCACTTGGCAACTTTTTTTCATAAATTTGTTCGAAAGTGCTCGGAACAACTTTAAAACGTGAGCAGGGGCACTGGGTAATATCACAAAAATATAAAAAATATATTTCAAAACCTTATTTCAGTGGAAAAGGCGAAAAAAGAATCAGTACCCCCGCGCGTGCGCGCACCAGTGCCTGAGTAATGCTAAGATTTTACTCAAGGGCCAGCACCAAATTCTCAATGGAGCTAACTTCTCTCCACGATTTTTTCTTTTATCCATTTATTGGCTCGGAAATTCACGGACCTTGTTAACGAAAACCGGACGTGCTCTGGACGTTTCGGGAAAGTTCTAGGAATTACTCAAGGATGCTTACGTTACTAAAGTGATCACTAGAAAGGCCCCGACACGTCCGATTCGCGTCCGTTTCGCGTTAACAATATCCGAGCGGCTCTTAAAATTTCAAGCGCTTTATCATTACCCAAAATTACAAATCCGTATACGGACTAGGTCCCAGCGAGATAACAATATGCCGCGGGGAAGCATCGAGCAATATCGCTCTTTCACTTAACGACTCTTTCGGAATTATTCAATAAATTTTTCAAAATTTCTGAAAGAAAGTTCCTCTGAAGTTACACATTCTAGATTACTAATAGAGCGTTATTATGAAATATCAAAATCTTGAACTGTTTCGAGAAAAATGAATGGCTTCTTTTGAGAAATTTGAATGGAAAACCTAAAAATTGGATTTCTTTTGTGGTTCCAAAAAAGGAATCCTTTGTCGAGTCGTCATGGACACGCGTCCTGGTCGCTTCCGACTTTCTTCTTTTTTTTGTGGGCTACGCGGTTTTTCTAATTTTTATTCTCGTTAAAGTAATATTTTTCAATAAAGCGGTCTGAAGCCTTTCTATTCTAACAGCAAGTCATTTTCGTGCGATTTGCATTTTTCCCCACTTTTCTGTACATAATTAGGTGTATTGAAGCAGTAAGATTACAACAAAAACCCAGGTGGTGAGTCTTCTATCTTTTTCAAATTTTCTCTCCGTTGCCATAGAAATTGGTATTTGAGCCAAAAATTTTTCAAAAATTTCAGTATCTGAAGTCAACCGTATTTTTGTTCTATGTAGCACACATTGTATCTGTATCATAATTTGATATTTATCATAAAAATTAAATGAAAGTCTCGACGTAAAAAATTACATGAAATCGGGTTTGAAAAGCTCAATCTTTTCGAAAAAAAACCATATTGTCTTTTTTCTTTTTCAACAGCTGGCTTAATTTTTAATTATTGAATATCAATAGAATTTAGACGATTTTTTTTCGCGAATCGCGAGTTTCTAGGACAAATCCGTCATCCGTTATACTTAAGATCAATAATGCATCATAATATTTTTTTTGTCATGAGTTATGATTTTTCCCATTCCTCTTTCCTTCAAAATTCGCCTCTCAACCAAATCAGAACTTTTCTCCCACATTTTATGTCATAGCTCGTAAATAACAGCTTGAGAAAGGTAGACCAATCCAAAACATATGTGCCGACTTTTTTTTTGGTTATTTTTCCTTGCTTCGAGTAATCTCGGTGACGGAGAGAAAGCGTGTGGGCGTCTTCTGAAGCGTTTATTTTCTTGCCGTCGCATGCAGACGTGCCCCGAGGCCGAAATCCCTGAGTTCGTGCCAGAAAAGGAGAGATGCTTTATGTGTTTTCGTCCACTTGTTGTTGGTTGGTCATTTCCTTTTCTGAACAACGCGTCGTTATTCATTTTTGAAGTTCTGCGAGAAGCCAAATATTGGCATTTTCAATAGAAGCCGATTTCCTTCTAACTATTTTTCTCGATCGTGTGAAAAAGCATATAGTTGGGAAAACATTTGACTAGCCTACTGTCTCAGATTTAATGATTTTTTTCAAACTTGAAAGTAACTATCAAAAGCTCTCAAGGTGAACCAAATGTGAAGTCAACCGGCTTAGCTAATAGCTCATTTTCTATGGTCAACGACATTTCAGAAAGTGACGTTTCTGATTTGTGACTACTGAGTTTCACGCTGCTGGTCTCGTTAATTCTGTTTTTTTCGCCGTTCCGACGGCTCCGAGAGCACCAATCGACGGATGTTATTTGTGAGAAAAGAAGGTCCTCTGCGGAAGAACGCTGAAATGGGATGCAGCTATTGCCCTTTTTTGGGAAATGAGCTCAAGGCTCATTTCGTCCGAAGGAAGTACGCTCCAATTGATTCCCCTTCCTTCTTCAAGGTCCTGGTTTCACCGTGCCTTCTCTTTAGTTCTGCTCTTCTTCTTCTAGTTCGTAACCCAGAAGTTTTTATTCTCATTCTACAAATTTGACAAGAGTCTTGACCGCGTTCATAAAAGCATAAATAACTTTGAAACTTCATATCTTAAAAAAAGTTTTTGCCCAGGTACTTGTCCTAAAGGATCTTAGATGTTGGAAAAGAATGTGAGCAAAGTTAACTCCAAATACCCTCTGAAATTAAACCTATTTTCGAGATCAATCTAAAGCGACAAAACCCCCGAAATCGAAAAGGTCAGAAGCGCGACGAAGATACATCTTGTTCGAGGAATGAAATTCTCCCGGGAAACACGATACTTTCTATTTTTGTTCAATCTATAGCGAAATGTGAACCCTCTCAAATGGCCTGAAGATACAATTTTGACGGGAATCATTTTATTTTCAAAATTCGCGGCTTTAGCAACATTTTTCTGCTGTGACGTGTTCTTATAATTATCTCTTATTCCACTTTTTTAAAAAGGGTTATAGTAATTTAAAAAAACGCGACTCTGATACGTATTAAAAATAGGAGCTAACTTGAATTATTTTTTTAAATTTAAGATAACTTTGTTTAATACTCAAATCTTCGAAAAACATTTTTCTTCTTTTTTTAAAATCAGATTTCGGCCCGAGTGTTGAAGCTGAAGTTCCTCCAGAGATGATCACAAATATTTCAAATCAATATTTTTTGTCGTTTTCATGTACACGTCCTTTTCCACTTTTTCAACAGAATAAATTAAACCAAACGCGACATTGGAAAGGTAAAAGTAAAACAGAGCGTTGAGCAGAGAACGGAAGGAAAAGTTTTTTTTTTTCTGGTGGCCCGCGTGTGTGCATATATGCTCGAGGTTGAATTGGTCCTGCTCAAACATTTCGAGCCAATTTTCGAAAAGTTCGCCCAATGGCCTGTTTTCTCCTTTTTCACTTATTCCTTGTGTGGAAGTATTGATATTTAAAAACCTAGAGATTACCTTTAATTTTCCAAAAAACAATTTTTTCGAAATCTGTTATGGCGTCGTTTACAATCTTTTTTAATTTTTAAAAATGAAAAATGAAGATTCCGTTTTGAAAACCAAGCTGGATTTTCAAAAGAAAATGAAAATCACCGCTAATATTTGACTGGCAAAACTTTTATTTATTTGCAGAAACCGTCATATTTTCCCTCCTTTTGTATCCTTTCAGCTCAGTTTATCCTTCGAAACGTACTTTGCTCTCTTTGATCAAGTTTCACCAGCATTCTCATAGCAGAGCTCACTCTCTCTTTCCTTTATGAGCTTAGATACGTCAACCATGAGAATACGAAGAATATTCCATAAATAAATCGGTTCAAGACCTAGTCTTGAAAGTAGAATTGTTTGTGAAACTGCTCGACTGAACGTCATTTTTTCGCGGTACACACTTAATCGGCTCATTTTCTAATCTCCGCGGCCTTTTCCTCTTCCAATTTCTATTCTTCGACTAAAACGGCGTTCCTCTTGGTTCTTGATTCATATCATCTGCTTGTCTGGGAATTCGTTAGAAGATATATCAAATTGCTGGGCAGAAGTATTTTTGAACTATTTCACCGCAAAAAGTAATCCATCCACGTCAAAAATCGGTTGAATAAAGTTCTTTTGAACAGACAACCAGGTGACCAATAAACCTGATGGCATGGGATTTTTGAATTTACAGCCGAAGTCTGCCTTTTTTATTGCCCACTAGATCTTCTGCTCATATTTTTGAATTCAGCTGGACCCTTTTCTTTGAGTTTCGATTAAAAGATAAAAGTTAAGGAAACTCTCACGATCAATACTTAGCGAAAAAAGTCCGCCTTTGGGGCTTCGTCTCAACGATTAATAACTTCTTGGGATCCTCTCAGAGAGCGTGAAATCATTTGAATTTCCGTCCGGCTTCCCGATTTCCCCTCTCTTCAGAATTTTTTGGTTCTCTTCACACTTCATTTTTTTTTCTTCGGCTATTTTTAGACTTTCTACAATTAATAAATCCTTGGGTCACTGACTTTTTACAGTATGTAAATCTGTTCAATAAGGACGCTATGTTTCTCTTTTTTCAATAAGTATGTCATACTTCCATTAATACGGACTTTATTCAGTGTCAATCGTGTCTTAAGACATCAAAAATTAGTTTCTAGTTCAATATTAGTTTAGACTCTTTTTTGTTGCACTTTGTCCCCCGCTCATATTTCACGCACCTTTATTTTCGGCTCTTCATTTTTAGATAAGTCAAATCCTTGATTAAATTCATTTTTTTGAAAAGCTGTTTTCAGCAGAAAGCTTGAAAATAAGATAACTCCAAAGTGTACGAAAAGGTTAGATAATCAAAAATCTTTTCTGCTTGCGAAAATATAATAAGTGTATTAGCTTGTTTTTCCATCAGTATGTTAAGTTAATCTTCAAATTTCCCCACTCTTTAAAATCCTTCGTTGTGTTGATTTTTTCTTTTTATATCTGTTGTTCAGGAACTTCCCAGATAATCGAAGATCTCTCTTTTAAAATTGACAAGGTTTCAAATTTTCAATTTTTTCAAAACCGTGCTCATCACTCACTTTAAAGAAAAAAAAAACAGAGGAATCGCAAGTCAGAATGCCTCCTCGCTTTTTATAATAAGAAGAAGAAGACAAATTCACGTGGTTAAAATACTTTAGTGGAGCCGAGTTCGAATTTTGCGTCTTTATATTCGGGAATGCTTATGACTCGAATTGACTGAGTTAATATCTGATATGGAACAAATAATAATAAATATGTAGAAATGTTCCTTTTAGGGTGACAAATATTCCTTTTTTCTGCCTTTTCGCGGCGACATTTCATCGGCTCTTATGCACCATTTTTGCTGTCTTTCTCTTTTTCCATCATTTCTTGAACCTTGTCAAAAATGGAAAGCTCGATTAGGGACTCTTTTCGCTGCCTTTTTGGGTTTTTTTTTTGAGCCTCTCACTTTTGGCGGCCATTATCATTCCAACTTTGCCTGAGCACATATCTTGATCACCGCTCGGTTGATGACCCAAGTTTTTTTTCAGCTAGGTGCTAACCGCTCGGCAGCTACGTTGCTCGGGTTTGCTTATGAATATACCAGGACAGTTCAGATGGAAAAAAAAACTTCTCGGGGATTTCCCCTTCGAAAAGACCTCTTCTTCAAATTTTTATTGACGTGATTCTTGCGAATAAAAGCGTTCTCGAACTGCCGCAGTGCCGTTGTAATATGAATAATTGAATTTGCAGGGAGCCTTGGTATTTGGATTGTACGAAAGCTGAGAAGAAAACGAGTGGGCGACATGCGATGTTGGGCGTGCGACGTTCAAGCTTAGTTCGGCAGATGGCGTTTCGGCAGGACTCCAACGACGTTCGTTTCTCCTTCCTTCTCAAATAATCCGCATTTTCTGCCTCATGTCTTCTAAACAAGCCTCTAGGTCGATGACAATTCAAGTAAGCAGATTTTGCTAAAATCTTCGAGCCTGGAAAAAATCCAAACTTTTTTGTATCAGGAATGAAACCGGTGAAGTCGCTTGTAAGGGTTGCTCTAAAACCGGTTCTTCACTTTATTTATTTCTTCACTTTGTGAATCAATGAATGAATCAAACCTTGAACTTTCTTCGGGGGTTTTTTGAAAAGTTTACGTAATTGGAAAAAAACTTTCAAAAATCCGCTGAAACGCCAAAAATATTGAAAAGGGTGTGTCGAATTTTTTTTGCGTTTCGACCGATTTCCTCAACTTTTGGTACGAAATTGTAAAGAAAGATAAATTTATAGATTTTCCATCGTTAAAAGTAAATTCGAGCTCAAAGTCATTCCGCGAAATTCGAAATAACAAATAACCATCAGAGAGTGAATTTTTAATTGTCTCTTCAATTTCTGAGCTTTTTTATTTGCTTCCAAGATTCAAAAAACCAATAATAATCTCATAAGGAAGACCTCGGGATCGGAAATTTCCTGAACGTAGACCAGAACATTCACTTCTGTACCAAATGAAGGTCCTGGAAGTCTCAACCTGCACATTGTTTATGAGAAAGGCACTTCACAGTCAAAGACAACTCAAAATTTTCAATAATTGGCGATTTTTGAGCTTCGAGTCCCTTTTTCTCGAAAATAAAAAGTTTTGTATGCTGAGGCTCTCAGATTGTTTTTTTTTTTTGATACTTCAAGATGTTCTCCGTCCTCCAGAAAAGGACCTTTCTTGTTTTGTTGTCTTTTCAGTTCAATATTTTCAAACGGAAAAACTTCGCGTTTTTTTTTTGCTTCCGGGTCTTTGAAAATTTTTTTCTCGCTCGGTTTCCTCATAAGCAAAGAACTAAGCTGTCACTGAATGATTCATTTTTTGAACTCAGTTTCATTAGGGGTTTAGCTAATAAGAGGAATATTTTGAATATTTTTCAGAATTTATCCTATTTCAGACCGAAATTTCGGTTCGACATGGCCACTTGGCACCTCCTAACTCGGTTCCTGACAGTCCACGACCTCAGAAAGATTCTGTCGACTCCAATTTGAACGGTTTTTTTTTTCAAAGATTTCACACCGATTGTCTCGCAATTTTTGCTTATGAATAACTTGAACCTCATTAAAAATCTTTTTATTCACGTTGTTGTGAATGATCCTTTCTTGAAACTATGTTTTCGAATCTGAAAAGTGTGATCTACAAATTCTTCATTTTTCAGTTGACTCTTTGGCTACGAATGGAAACAACGTCACAGTTAAAGTACCAGCAACGCGAAAAGGTATTCGAACCACTTCCTAGTCGTTTTAATTCTTCCAACTGAAAAATGATTTTCTAATGGTTTCTCTTTCAGAAAAGAGTGTCGTCAGCCTGGAATCGATAGTCTTGGAAGAAAAACGGAAATGACCTCGACTGTCCTTGTAAAAAGTCCTGCAAAACGTGTAAATACGCGTCCACCTTGTAAGAATTCTTCTGTTTTGGGAAACGAAATGATAAAATAAATATTTTATTGCAATGATCGATCCAAAGTTGTCGGAATGTTGGCAGAGCCACGGGTCAAACAAGAAAAAAAAAAAAAAGGTGCACAGAGTCAAAAGAAAAGCGGCGAGATACACAGAAAACAAAGTTCAAAGTCTACAGTCCTGTCACTAAAGGAAAAATTTTTTTCTTTCCTTTTTAAATTTCGAAATTGAAATAAGGTTATTTCTGATTCAAAAAAAGAGGTTAGAACTAAAAAAAGCGCAACGGCTCTTCATTTATATCAAGTCGTACACAGATATTGCACAAGAATCATTAGGATTTAAAAAAAAAACAATTTTATATGATATGTAGCTTTATAAAATGAAACTTGTAAAGTTTGGGATATGTAAAGGACTTAAAAGGAGTTTTTGTCGTTAAGAACTCCGCTTTGTATCGGGAATCGAATATATAAATAACAAAAATTTGATAACAAAAAGTCATGGCGAATGAGAATAAAGGTTTTTGAAGAGCATCACGGCGAAGGTGATGACCACACACAGACTGACCACCACGTGAAGAAGAACGATGAGAACACGGAGTTTGGTCTGCTGAAAAATTGTTTAATCAGCTTTATTTAGAATTCTTGATAATTTCACCAAACTCGAAACAAATTGGAAGTTTTCTCGAACTTCTGCTCCCATGTTTCTTACTACACTAAGCATTATTTTTGCTCCGAGGTCTTTCATTAGAGACCACAGAGCCACGCCCCTTTTTGCGATGGTGAGATGCACTGAGTTTTTGGTCATTTTTTTTCTTTGTTGTTTTCGTGGACCTTCATTCTCCCATTATTTTTACTGGTGAAAATAAAACCAATTTCAAAGAAGCGGAATGGGTCACGCAAACCTTGGGCTCTGGGATGGGAGCATCTCGAATTGGAGTGTTCAGATTGGCCAAAGCCATTCCTGTCGGTCCTACGGTGAACCGATGAGGCTGGATGCCGCTTTCGGCCTTTTCTCCACTTCTCGGTGACGTCAGGATCTCGAGCAGAAGCATACAGCCGACAAAAAACAAGATGTAACCGAGGACGATCCAGTTGGGAAGATGGCCGAAAACTCGGTTGAGGCCTGTCTTTCCGATCGGCAGCGACAGTACAATCGTTGCCGCTAAAAGGATAATTTGTTTCGAATAGCTTCGGAGAGATGGAATAGTAACTTTTTCTAAATTCTAACATTTTTTCAAACTTCTGCAACCTGCTGAGCTTGATAAAACTTTAGTTTGACAGGACGGAAGGAAAAAAGTTTAATCAATTTGTGAACGCATTTTTTCAAGTTCTTAGTGGAAGTCAAGAACTTTTTTCATTTCAAGATGAGAAACGCATTCAAGAGCAGATTCTGATTGAAATCAAGTACTTCACAAAAAGTTATGACTTACTGGCCAGACACCAGGCGAACATGCCGAACAGCCAGTGGCCCCAGCTGAACCAGATTCGGTTCTCAGAAGAGGGGGCTGGTCTGAGAGCAGCGCCGATAGGCTGGAAACGTCGAATATTCTCCGGCTCCCAAACAATATTTTGAAAATACCTGCATGACTGCTAGAACGGTTGCTGTGAAGCCAGTGATAGCGTGCATCTTTTTCGCGAAATCCTACAGTTTATATTTGAAGCTTGTTTTTCAAGAAAAACCGGATGGCTTACATCCGAAGTGCAGAGGTAGGAGCACTGATACCAAATCCAACCGGCCTGATAAAAAATGAAGAAAATGCAAATGACTTGGATTACAACTGATGCTACCATCATGTCACGATGGAACTGAAATGAAAATTTGGCCTTTGCCATTTCTTTTTATTAACCTGAAACCATACAGCAGTACCTAGAAGCTTAGTGCGAGGGAACAGGGGCTTGAAGTAGCGAGCAATAAGGATTGCGGTAGAGGCGAGGACCCACCAAGCGAACATCATCAGAATTCCTGAAGACGTCGAATGCAGAAGACATCAAGATCGCAGAACTACCGTGCCAAACAGCGATGCGATATCGCCAATAACGCTCGACGTGGTAGGTCTGTCTCATCCGAGTAACGTGGTAGAGATCGTGATCGGAGCAGTTTCGACAAATTCGAACCTGAAAGTTGAACAAAAAGTGGTTTTAAAACAGTTGTGAAAAATATCGAACCATTTCATCGCTCATCCATGGAAATTGTGAGCCGTCATTCGTCGAATGAATATCCTTCTCGAGTGCTTAAAAATAATTTTAAAGACTGCGAAAAAAAATTAATAAGAGTTATTAAGTATAAAAAATGGACATACTGAAAGGATCGGCATTTCCGCGAGCAAACAAAAGATAGTGAGGCTGGTTTTTCAATATCGTGAATCTAAAAAAATAAATTTTTTTTCTAAGAAAGAAAAAAGAACAGTACCATGAACTGCTGCGTTTTTGCAACGAGGTGCTTGTTGTCCAAAAGGATCTTGCCGCTGCAAGTCAAAACTCCGTCGACAAAAGACGTCGATCCGTCTGTGACCATAACCGAGGACGCCTTCAGACTGGAAAAATTAAAACTTGAAAAGTTTTCACCTTAACCTGGGGAAGGACGTGGTTGAAGGACTCGTCGTTGAACGACAGCTGCACCTGACCCGTTCCGGTTTGCGTCACGACGCATTCAAACACAGTGTCGTCATCCTACACATGCGAAGATTTTTCCCAAACAATGCTTCTACTGACCATTCTCTGGTTGTAGCTGAAGCCGACGGCGGCGTAGAATGGCCGCGTTTGGTCGAGGTCGCTGGTTTGGGCTTCTATCTGGAACTTGGGTCTTGGTACACTCATGCATGGATTTGTTGGACAAACCTCAATGAGGACTCCTTCGGGCAGTATCTGCCATTCGACTCCCGACATACAGACGCCTTGATTGTTCTCTGCACAGGCCGGCGGCTGATGCCAGCAAGACCTCGTGACGTTGCATTCCGAGAAGCTCAACGTCCAGACTGCCTAAGTATCCATCTTAGTCTTTATTTATGCAAGTGAATATATTTTAGCCATGACACTAAAAAACCACAGTTTTCTTGTTTCGTGTTCAAAGTAGTTTGAAAAACACGGAGATCGAAAATTTTTGATGTTGATACGAAAACAAATTCCAAAATTTTCGATAACAACGGTTCCGAAAGCCTCGTTTCTGCAGGCTACTCGCGAAAAAATCGAGAGTGAACTTTCCGACGAAACTTTTTCCGCTTATTTTCTATTGTTGATATCTCGACAAAAAAATTATAGCAATAAAAAGAAGATTTCATGAAGAAGTTCAAGAACTAAGCAGAAAATGTTCAATTTAATCAAAAAAATCACCTTTAATATGCAACAAGAGATTAGTAGAAACCGCAAGAAGGCCATAAATTCTGTAGAAAAATCGCTCTGATGAGAATTGGTTGCCGATTTGCAGTTAATTTGTCGGTTTCTCTTCTTTGAAGATATGAACTAAAAGAAATTATTTGAAAAAAGGGGAATAGCTCTTCAAAAAATCGCAAAAAAACAGAGAAAGGAAACAGAAACGCAAAATGTGGAGGTGTGTTTTCCGATTATTCGCTTTTTTTGAAACCCACCGGATAGCAATTTCCTACACAGACACAGACATATGAAAATAATATACATGAATGAGGTAGAGGAAATGGGAAAGCGCCTGGATTTCCAATTGTCTGAAAGGGAAATGAGAAATTCAGAAAGGCGGAAATGTTGAGATTATAGCTTTTCTTTTTTCAGTGAGAAGAATTGATGTGAATGTGAACATTGCACACATATGAATGGGATTCCAAGAATCGATTTTAAACCAGACATACATTTCCACGCAATTGGAGGTGGATTAAAAAGTTAATGTTTTGTTAAAAATAATTATTATCAAAAATTTTTGCACGACCAAAAATCTGTAAAATTTTGAAACTTTAAAACTTTTCCTTTCACAAAATATTTTCTTGGAAACTGATATTTTTTCTGAAGAAAAAACTGAGAAATATAGAAAACATTTTGGCTATTGTGGGGATTTATTCTTCGTGTGCGTGAAAGTGTAGTAATTATTGAACGGTGCGGAAAGACTGGTTTGTTTTAAATCTGCAGGGTTCTAGGCATATTTTAACATATTTTTCGCAGTTAGACTCGCCATGATGCCTCTTCAGCGCGTTGCGAAACTTTCGAATTGAAAAATGGCGAGACTTTTTTATTCAAATATTCACTTTTCACTGTAATAATTTAAGACAAAAATTTTTAATAGACTGATTAATAATACTTTCAAGTTTAAAAACAAAAAAGAACGTAATTTAAAAAAAAAAAATTCAATAAACTTTTAAGGTGTCCTTAGGAACTTTAAAAAAAAGTAGAACAGTCCCCAACGAGAAGAGCTAGATCCTGAAAGCCACCGTATCTCCAACTCGAAAAAATCGAGGAAAACAAGATATTATGTCGACGAGATCGTAAAAAGATAAGGAAGTGTGCAGATCCACGATAACCACGTGAAAAAAAAAAACGAACACCGAGGTCTGGGTCATTCATCGATTCTGGCAAAAACTCGTTTCCCGGATGTTCAAGAAAGAAGCGAAAGCAAATCTTATCAGTGAGATTTCGTGTCAACGTGATTTTCGATCTCAAAGTCAACTATACCTACTGTCAGAGTTTAAGAATAACATGATTTTGTACTAGACGAAGAAGATATCCAAACTTAGAAAACTACATAGAAGTGGATTTTTTTTGGGTATATGAAACTGTTCAAAAAGATTCAGATTTGGAAAGTTTGGGATTTTTACTCCCTCCATTTTTTATTATTTTTTTCCATGAGCCCAATTTGAATCTGCTCTCCTTTCCAACCGCGCTCAAAAATCAACTTTATAATAAAAAGTTTTTGGTTGTCTTTTTTTCTGGCTTCGGTATCTTTTTATTGCGCGTGTCACATTAGTTTGCGTACGATGTGGGCGCGAATCTATAAAATTCAAATTTTTTTACCTGGAACCGTTGGAAACTTTTTTTCTTTTTTTATATATATATTCTTTGTTTTGCTTATACTTTTTCTCGATGAAAAATTTTTTTGTTTTCAGCTAAAAAAATTAAATGAGGTTTTTTTCACCCTGATAAGATTTTTACGCGTCACTAGATTCAGAATATTAGTTCATTTTTTCTGTCTGGAGATCTTTCCAGATTGAATTATGAAAAAGAAATGCTCATTAAAATATCGAAAAAAAAATATATATATATCATAACGAAGTTTTGCACAGATGAATTTCTCGAAGAGCTAACTTTGTTTTCCTCATTTCCACATTTTTAACGTGTTTTACGTGTTCTCCTTCCATTATATGCGAAGTTCGAAGCTCATTTTTCTTTTCTTCTGACGATTTCTACTTTTAAAATGCGTTTGAAGACTTTCAAAGGTATATTTTCTAATTGGATTGGCGACAACGGCATGCTAGATACCACTGCGGTGCAGTCTCCGCCTCGAAGGCAACGAACGCTTCAAAAGCTTGTCGTGTTTGGAGATGACGCCAATAACTACAAGGACATTTTTGCATCATTGCAGGTTTTTTTTGCTTTTGGGATTGTGTTAATGAAGATTTTTGAGCAAAGAAACGTGGCAACAACTTTTCTGAAAAGTTTCGATGATTTCAAGGGCGAATTGGACGACGTCACGTTCTTCTGCGGCAATTTCAATACGCCGCTGTTCAACATCATAAATAAACAACAGGTTCACACGATATTATTTTTATTTTTTTATGATTTCTTTTCAGGTTAACAATTTGGAAGCCCCGAGTCAACTAGTCGTTGTGGGTCCCGCGGTACTTCGGCACCGATTGGCCAAGAAAATGGTTGCGATTTTTGAAGTATATATTCAGGTAAAACTTTGGGTTTTGCAGGAACTAATGACTCTTCGACCTTGCCGACCTTTGTACTGTGAAATCATGAGAAACGTGACAATGGTTATATCGCCCGAGGTTTTTTCACACATTTTTCAGAAAAGAATGAAAATTTGATTTTGAGGTTCTGAATAAGCGTGAGATTGTTGACCTGGTTCATTACATGGGAGGAAGTGTGCGGAAAGAGGTTTGGATTTTTATTTAATTCGAGATAGAAAATAGCAAGTTTTGCAGCCAGTTTCCAAAACGAATGTTTTGATTGCAGCTCGGGCTTGTGGACGTTTATACGGGGTATCTTTTGTTGATTATTCAAAATTGTCGCCAATATGGTTTTTTGAATCAATTCGAATTTGAGGCGATGTCTTTACTGGGACAGCCGATTCTGCGTTCGGATTGGGTCAACCACTGCTGGAGTCAGAGGGACAACGCCGATTTCGACGTCTTCAACGAGGAATTGGCGAGTTTTGTTGAAAAAAAAATTATAAAATCGGTAAAGATATTATTTTAACTTCATTTTTTTTTCAGTTGAAGCAATTTCGAATAGCCGTTTTCGAAGGTCTGCATATATTTTTCCACGGATTCAGACAAAAAGAAGTTGATGATATGGCCAAGCATCTTCAAGACAACAGTTCGTTTCGGAATTTTCCTTATGAGCTTTTTAGGTCTTTTCTAAAGTATGCATTATTGATTTAGTATAAATTGGAGCAAAATATTGTGATCTATTTTTTTCGAACTACTTTTTAAGTAGAAGTTTTTTTAAACGAGATTTTTGAGACAATCGAAAGAAAGAAAGTTTTTCATGAATAGTTGATAATTTAAGAAGGAAAAATGGTGAAGCAGACGAACGAGGCGACGCACGTCGTCTACAACAGCGACGCGATGGAACTCGAGCCGTTGCCGGCTTCTGGACACCTGCTTCACGTCACTCAGGAGGTAACCAGAAGACGTCGACGTTTTCTGAATCCCTTTTTCAGTGGTTTTGGGTCAGTCTCCACATGGGCAAGTGCGCACGCGAGGACAGTTATGCTCTGCCGACGAGAAATCTCAAGAAAAAGGTTTGTTCTTCAGATGTGGTGTCCTGGAGAGATCCCGAAGCAAAAGAGCCTAAAAAAAGGGTCTTCGGGCTTTCATTTGGGATAAGAGAAGGTAGAGAATAAACGAAGGAAGATAATTGATCTTTCAGAAAAATTTGAAAAAGAAATTTTTCGTGCTCTGTTCATCACTAATTTTTTTCGATTTAATTTTCTGGCGTTGATTCAGAATAATAAAACTTCAGAACGAATGAAATTTAGAAAAAAACAGTTCAGAGAAAACTATCATCTGCACGAATTTTTCGAAATTCGTATCTTAAATTCAGTTTGTACAGATATTGCCAATGAGCGATCTTCTAAAGCTTGAAAAAAAGGTTTTTGGAATTTGGATTAAAATCTAAATTCCTCGCGTCTTTATTGGAATGGCATTTCTTCAAAATGTCTTTCGACTCCGAGAACAGAAAGTTTGGAATTATCTTCAAAATTTCATGAAATGGGTTGAGATCGTATGCGGCTCCTCCATGAACAGTCCCGCGGGAAAGTTGGCCTTGTCCAAATCGGCTTCTTCTGTCCGGGAGTACGGCGACGACGTCGTTTCCTCCTTGAATGGTTTTCTTTTTTTTTTCGAATAAAAATAAAACAACTTGTCGTGTTCTCTAGCCACTCCCGACTACATTTACTCGAATGATGAAATGGAGAAGATGGGAAGATCGCCCAGACCAACTTCTAAACGACTTCAGGTTTCTTTTTAATCGGAATTAACGTGTCTTTTCTCATTATTTCTTTTTATTTTGGCATGTTCAATAGGCGGAAAGCAGTTTTTTCTCCATTTTATTTTCACATTCTCATCATTTTCTACTTCAGGTTTGTATGGAGATGGCGGAAACGGAGAACAATTACCTCAACGCCCTGAAACTTTTACTGAAAGTTGGTTTTCACTAGAATTTCATTGGAACTTGCGATTTTACCAGTTCAAAGCTGCTCTCGAGCATGAGGTTTCGCAGAACGAGTTCATGAAGAAAACGGACATTGCGCTGATGTTTGGAAAACTCGAACCTATCGTCGAGGTCTGTCTGGACTCAAAAGAAAATTTTTTTCCAACTCATCCTAAACCCAAATGGCGCAGAACAAGTCTGCGCCTAATAAAGGCTCTTAAGATCCGAGAAATTGGCTCTTAACAACTTTTGAAACTCAAAAAATGGTGTCAAATTTTTCATTCCCACAAGGGGAGAATAATTCTTCATGGTTTTCAAAAGCTATTCTGAAAAAAATTGTGTAAATTCAACTATTCTATCATTACGGTAATTGGAAACATTCATTCGAGGTAAAAAAAAAGAGAGTCTCTGAAAAAAGTTTCTGTTTCCTTTGTTCGCTCTCATATCAACTCATAAAAAGCTTTCCCTTAGTTTTTCCTTCTATTCAAGAAGATTGTCATCCGGTAGTTGATCCCAAAAGAGGAAAATAAGATCCCAAACTCCTGTTGATCTCGATGATGTTTGAGGTGCACGGAAGGATATCGGAGAAGTTGAACGCGATGGTGGCCGAAGCGACGTCGGCCGCGGCGTCTGGCCATTCGAAGAAGTCCGACGAGAAAAACCTGGACCCGGCAGCGGTCGGGCCATTCCTCAGATGCGGCCCAACTCTTCTTCTTTCCAGGTTTGGGTCGAGGCGAAAGAGGAGATGATCCGCGTCTACCCTCCCTACCTCAACCTCTACGACAACGCCAAGAAGCTCTTCGACACGATCGACCGCGAAAACGCCAAGTTCCACGCGTTTTGCAAGGTCCACCGGAACTTGACCTACCTCGAAACTTTTCCATTTCCAGGCAAAAGAGAGCAACCCGGACTTCAAGAGACAAAAAGTAGTCGATATTCTTGTGCGGCCAGTTCAGCGACTTCCTTCTGTTATCCTTCTTTTGAGAGGTTTTCATTCCCATCCGATAAAAATAAACATTTTTTTGTGCAGAAGTCGGGAAGAAATCCGAGTCGTCGAGGATGAAATTGAGCTCTGATGAAGCGGTTAAGGTGATCGACGAAGTTTTGAAGTGAGAGAATCTTTATTTCGTCTTTTTTGATGGCTACGATTTTTTCAGGATCGCTAATAAAACTCGAGAACGGAACGATCATCTTATCAGCCACATGAACAAGTTCACCGACATTGAGAATGTTCCTGTGAGTCGATTCCAAAAGAAAATGCAATTTTTTATGCAAACATTTTAATTTTTTTTTTATGCAAAAATTTTGATTTTTACGCAGATTATCGAGGGAACGTTCTAGATAGCAACCAACAAAATTCCCCCAATCGTAAAAATCATTTTTGGTTATTAACATGAAGTACTTTTGCGAGAAAAACCTTTCTCTCCTTTTTCAGTCAATAAAAAATTCTTCAGATTCATCTGATGGCCGCCAACCGGATGTTCATCCGCGACATCAACATCGTTCCTGTCGCCAGCACGGCTCCGAAACTCCTGAAAGACTGCAAAATGAAGCTTTTCCTGTTTCACGACGTCCTTTTGGTCTTTTGACCTCACTTTCTTCGAATTTCGATCCGTTTTTCAGGTGACAAAGATCAGGCAGGACAAAGGAACGATGCAGCGACTGGCCCGACACGCCTCCTTCGCCAGTCTACATGCCAGAGCCCGAAGACCGTGAGTAGTGACGTCATATGAGTTTCTGAAATTGCATTTTCGAGTTGGAGGAGGCTTTACATTGATATGTTCACTACATAGATTTTAGCATAATTACTCCGAATAGATTCGAGGTTGCGTCTATTGAAATCAACTTGCTGACCTCAATGAAGCCGCAGAAACTGACCATTTTTGCAAGAAAACTGAATATTGTCTTTTTTCATGGGAATTTTATGATTTATCGACCTCTGCGTCTTCAAAAAAGCACGCTTGTAATAACATATCCGATTCATCAAAAAATTCGAGAGTGGATATTTCAGGGTCTTTGTCTAGTACATCAAGAAGTATTTCGGTTAGTTTTCAGAAAACACAATCAGTAAAAGAGTTTGACCTTATTAGTTCACCTGTCTTGATAATAGGGTTTATTTATTTTTCAAACTGTGCCCTCTTGCTGCTTTTTCCTGAAGTTTTGACGAGCATTTTTTCAGTTACAAATACGTGGACCAACTTCCGTTGGCGTCGTTACGCAGCGCCTGCCGAATAAGGCCTCCGTTAGATTTCTGCCAAGATCCGGCCCTCGGCGGTAAAAGAGACCCGCTCCTCCCATCTTTCTGATTCTGTCCGTTCCAGAGCCCGTGTTGTGGCTGATCACCCACCGGGACAACTTGGACCATCAGTGGGTCATCGAGTCGAAAGACGACGAGAGCATGCGCGAGTTCATGGACGACATACACATGAAGGTGAGTCGCTGAAAATCCGAATCGAGATTTCGCGGGAAGTAGGCCGCTGGCTTCAGATTTTAATGTCAAGACTTCGTTGAAGCTCCGCCCTAATGTCGCGATAAATCAATCAGACAGCGATACAGCCACAGAGCGTTTTCGAATGACGTCATTGTATTTGACATTCAAAATCTAAACGCTAAATAACGTCTCAATCAATTCATTGAGTATTTACAATTCTTCCGGATTAAAAAAAGTTGGGTATATTAACATGGGTGAAGCGTTGCGTACGCGAAGCGGCTATCTGACGGAAAAAGAAAAATTTAAAAATACATAAATAAAGAAAAAATTAATCTTTTTGTTTACGCTGAATCGACCCATCTCGGCTTTCAAGTCGGGAAAAAAGGACTATGTTTGCCTTTTTCTCATTTTCAACATTCCATTGACGTTCCGGGTTTGAGGTGTTGAGCGAATATGGCCGGTACTTCATGTCGTGTTCTGAGGAGACGGCTAATTCCATTTTCGAGAGCGACATCGCAGACGCAGTTACACGCTATTTCAAACGGTAAGTTACTTTTTCCGGCTTTTTTCGCAAAATCAAGTTTTGCAGACAAATGCCGGTGTCGAACGCCAACATGACGATGGTCGAAAGGACTCCACGAGGAGTCAGTTCATTTTCATAATAGATAATTTGAATTATTTTGAAACGAGAAATGGGGAGTTTACTGTTGAGGTTGAAACATGAGCTCCTCTAGATTAACAGAAAACATTTTTCAATTCCAAATAACTTCAGACGTTAATGTTGATTAAGGACTGGTCCCAGGCGAGCAGCATCAACGACTCGACGTTCAGCACGGCGACGCATCAGTCGCAGCAGAGCAAGATGCGGCGAGCCTTCAGCAATGCCCAGCTCCAAATCGCGACCACTTTCGGCTTCGGTCGCGCCCAAAGTCGCGTGAATCTTGGCCAAATAAGTCTGCGACTCGGTTCATTTTCGGTGCGGCAAGACGATTTTTCAGGCGAGACGTCAGTCTGTCAGACGCCGCGAGCCGTCGCCTCCTCTTCCACTGAAAGCGCCGCCAATTCCACCATCTCTGCGACGCCAAAACGAGGGTTACGGTCGGATTTTTGTTTTGTTTTTTTGAACAAAAGCCTTTTTTTCAAATAACTGTACACAAAATTTTTTGAAAGTATAGTCTAATCTACATTTTTATTTTTTGATTTTAAAATCTTGATCATATATCCATTTTGCCTTATATTAATATTTTTTTCTCTTGAACTCCCAGTTCAAAAGTTGCTGTAGAGGACCATAGTGGGAAAAGTTATCTTTCAAATTTTTTTAAAAAAAACATTCTGGCAAAAAAAGATTTTGGGAAAAAAAGTAGAACTTTTGAAAGTGTTCCTTCGGAACGCAGCAAGAGCTGGAATTTCAGCCAGAGACTGACGTCATCGACGTTCCTCAGCCGGACGCTCAACCGCAACACGTCGATGCGGTGCAGCCAGGCGACGTTGCCGCCTCTCGAAGACGAGAAAGAGAATCGGACGATGGTGGAGAGACCGACTCACTCCGGCAGCCGCGTCACCGACGTCTGACGTCGGACTCGGTCAGCTCGCCGGGTTTGTACAGCCGTTCCCCCACTCGGAAAGCTTCATCCAGTTGTTTGTACCTGTTCTACGTGTAACCTATGTTTTCGGCCTCTGAAAAAGCTTCGAAAAGTTGCCTCGGAAAGATGAGCAGCAGGAAAAAAGCAAAAGAATTCATTCGTTATCTATTCGCTGTTTTTACACCATTTGCAAAAGCTTCTCTCCCTTCAGCGCTTTTCTTAGATTTTTCAGAAATCTTATATGTGGCGATTCGTGTTTATTGATCCTGTGTGTGATTTTCTCTTTCAAAGACCCTTCGCCCTAACAGAACATTTTTCTTTAACTTTCCAACTTTTGTCAAATATCTTTCGACGCACGAGTTTGTGTCCGATGTGAATGACATACTAACGGTGATGACTGCTTGATTATTCCATTATTTGCCACCTAACCCCCTCCGCTCAACCTTTTTGTTCGAGCCGTCCTTGTTTAGTTTTAATTCTTATCTGTCACTTATTCATCTTACGGCTTCACCGCGACGCCTCCATATTTTTCTTATTTGTTTCTTTGAAATCCCACTTTGGCCTGTTTGATGAAACCCCGCCTTGTTTTGTGTTTTTTTGTAATTCACTCTCTTTTTGATAGCATATTACTTTGTTCGTCTTTTTTCCTTTTGTCAACCCAGTTTGTTTTCCCAATCCATCGTGTAAATTTAGTAAAGTTTTGCTTTTGCCTTGATTCGCGGGCAGGTTACAATCTTGTGGGCAATTTCCTGTGCTAAATTCCTTCTTTGTTTTGACATCGCGAAAAAAAAAAAAACATTTTTAGACTTTTCTAACAACCGTCCTAAGTTTAAAACGAAACTTTCGCGTCGAAACCAAGAAAGAGAACTTCAATTGAAAAAAAAAAAACGATTTTTTTGTTTTATTCAGAAATATTTGCGCTTCAGATAAGAACGATGACAAGTCGACTTTCACTATTTGAAGGTTCATTCGCTTCTCTGAGTCGGCGTCTTGACGACTCTCTTGACCGTCATCGGATTCCATGCCGAGTCCTGAGCAAATCTTCGGAAAGGACATCTTGAGACGGAACCTCTTGAGTCGAGTCATGCCAAGAGACCCAGAGCAAGTCTTTTCGGACCATCATCAATGCTACCGAAACGGTCTTCGCCTAGAGAAATGAACATTCTTATTTGTTGCACTATTGAATCGGTTTCTGTGAGAACCGAGTGATGAAAATATTTCAGAAAATCTAGCCGAAAAATCCGATTTTGAAGATAAAATTTCAGTCTTGGACATACATGGGCAGACTTTTTTAAAGGCCGCAATCCTCCCGTGTCTTCTTAAATTGAAGTCAGAGCTACCGCCCGGAAGTGGAAAATTATTTATATCTTTTCAACTTTATCTCCTGGAAGCTGAAACTTGAGCGCAGAAAGGTCAGACTGTTCCAAATCGTATCAAAGCAAACTATTCGGCTCGAAGCCTTCTCTCTCAAAGTTGACTAGTTCAAGATCATTTTGTAAAACTTTTGTTAGACCGAAATTAGCAGCCTGCCGGGCTGAAAGAACTCACGATGCCCTCCTCGACGGCGAACATGCGCAGTTCTCCAGACGCCGAGCCTCGGCACATCTCCGACTTCTCGACGACGGCCTTCACGGCCGCCGCCGCCACTTTCTCCACGATTTTTTCCGTCTCCGAACTCTTCTTGGCCGTCTTGTCTTCGCAGAACTCGCCGAGCAGCGTCTGTTCGGCCGGCGAACATTCCGTCTCGATGATCTTCGCCAGCTTCACCTTGTTCAACATCTTTGCCGCCGTGATCACGTCTTCCTCCGTCTAAAATCTCGGATTCGTCGATCAAATAAAATCTACGACTTCGTCCTTGTAAATAATGCTTTCGAAATAATTTATCACAGACTCACAAAGAGTTTCTTTTGGGAAAATATAAAGGACGAGTATATGACGGTATACAGGGCGCTGTTTGAGATTCTCATTCAAAATCTAGATAAAAAAATATTTTCCATGGTTTTTCGACTCTCCTTGAGGTCAGAAAACTTTTGTCCGAATAAAAGAATCAGAGAAAAGGTACATTCACACAGACAGACAGATTAAAAAAAGCAAAAATAAAATGTTTCTCCCCTTACTGGTAAAAAGATACTTTTCAACGCAATACTTTCGTCTGTAATTCTTCGAAACTCTATTCCATCTTGATTATTTTTTGCCACTGTGTTTGGTGAGAGTTAGAAGTTTCTCTGGTTGAAAATTCTGACGAATAAAACCGACCACATCGTCCATTTCGCTTTCGATCGATAATTTACTGGCACTTTTGGCTTTTTTCAACTTTTTCATTCTCCCTCTTGAGACCTGAATGAAAAAATAAGAAATTGAATAGAAGAAAAAGTCGACTTTTTTCCTTGCTCTCTCTAAGACTTCACGCATCGCTTCAGCGTCGTCAACTGGAAGAAGAGGATTATTGTCGCAGGAAAACGCTTAGAGACCTGTTGTGACGCCATCCTTCCATCTCAGGTTGCTCTTCACCCCGTGAAGATGAGCCTGCGCCGGACGAGCGCCTCCCATCACCGGCTAGCCAAGAAAATGATAATTCTTCCCGAATCTCTTCAATAGAACCTCGAAAAGGCTCATCTCCTCTGGTTTTTTCTTTTCTTCATTTGATTGTTCTTTCGAATCTTTCCTCACGTTCTCCTGAACCCCAGAAAAGAATATTCAGAGACAAATAAAATCGCAAACCTTGCTGGATAATTTTTTGAGCGCCGATTTTGACTTGCTCGCTGAAAGCTGATATTTTCTAATTGAAAAAAACTAGTCTTCATCGACGAAAATAGCTGAACAATAGCTTCATTTTCTGACAGATTGCTCCAACAAAGAAGTGGATTGTACAACAATCAGTAATAAAGTACCTCTTATTTTTCCGGACGCTTCGCTTTCTGCCGAACCTTTCTTTTTTTCTTTCGGATTATTTCTCGACAAATCTTTCCTTGAACTGAACTTATCATAATCCTTAACTTTTAGTTACTTTTTGCGATTTGTGCCAGGACTGTCGGCCTGAGTTTCCAGCTTCGTTTTCGATTTCGACATTCAATCTTTGAGCGAAGATTCCACAAAAAAAAAGTAGGAATTCGTCATTTTTAAAAAAGCAAACCAGGCTCGATCTTCCGTTGTATTAAAATAACCTCATCTTCACGCGGTTCCTCGCTATTTTATTTCATCATTTGACACTGACTTTGAAAGGGAAAAGTTTTCAAACTTATTCTATTTTAAGCTTTTGTGAACTAATGTGTACCCATTAAACAAAATAGTTTCTCAAAATGAGTAAAAGACTCTGATAAAGCTCACTTTTTTTATTCCTTAATGGTATTTAAAAAATAAAGATTCAAACTTTTTTTGAAACTTTCTTAGACCCCCGTTTCAAGAACGATGGGAGCCAATTGAACGAAAAAGCAATGATCAGAGCTTCATTTGTCCATCCCAGTATGCTTTCTAAGACTTCTCTATCAATATGTATCATTCCAGATAATCGGTTCTCCTCCCTATTTGAGCTTTCGTCATGGATGGCCTGCAGGTCGCGCGGCGTCACTCACTACAAGGCGTTACCCCGCAGATAACAGCATGTTACGAGTATTTGCGGGCTGACTTCAGTCGAAACCGTTAGCCGAGAAGAAATGTTTGCTTTTTCGATAACAGCCCTTCGAACTTGGTGATTCAACAATTACTTTGATAACACCTTCTTCCTTCATTTTCTGTTTTCATATTTCTTCCTCCCACTCTCAAAAACTACTTTTTGGAGCTTAGGTCTTTGGGGCGTTTTCTAGCAACCTTTATAATAACCTTTATCAAAAAATCACCCTATTAGAACGCCTCCGACAAAGAAAGATATCACAACGAAGAATGGGCAACGTCTATTTTCTTTTTCGGCGTTCGTCACTCTATAAACATGTCGTTTTTTGCATTTTCCCTGCCTTTTCACTTTTAATATTTATTTCAGCTTCCCATTAACCTTTTTTAAAAACGACTAGATCAGTTCTGACTTTTTGAAACGTCGCTTTTCCCAAAATATTAAAGTTTTGAACAGATTTGATGAGCTTTTTTTTACAGGTTCCGTGAACCGAGCGTAACTTCCAGTGCTACAAAAAAAGGAAAAAAAACAAAAACCGAAATATCTTCACGAAATTTTTAAAAAGGTGAGTTTTTTTTTAAAAAATTTCTCTTCTAATACAATAAGATGATAAAAAAATAAAGCTCACAGTGGATATTTTTGGTTTATTGTGCTTCGTTTATTTATTTCAAACTAGCTCATTCATAACGCTTTGAAATGAAGCGTTAGAAATGAAAACTGATCGTACTATAGGAAATTGAAAGCCTCACAGTCTTGTCAACAGGAATCCTGTAATAAGAATATGCTCTTTGATAGTTTTTTTCCACTTTTTTTAAATTCAGACTGTATTTAATTTTTTTGAAGCAGAAAAACAAATTTTTTTACGAATTATTTCTAGTTTGTACTACAAACTTCTTAACTTATTTCTCTTTTTATTGAAATACTCTTATCTGAATGTCAATATTGTAGCTTTTTTCTGAAAACATTACTATAAAAAGTCAAAAAAAAAAATGAACTTCTCTAGTTAGGAACGGATGAATGTCGTTCGGCTTCTCCTGGCCCTGATCGCTCAAACCGCGGCTCAAGGTTCTCAGCTAAACTGCGCGGGCTACGATATATCGGTCCAGCCCAGGAGTCCTTCTTTCGGGGGAGTTTCTGGCTTTTACTCGATCGCCAAAGGCATTTCGGACGGTCTGCAGACTTCGCTCAGCGATAAAACCTTGAAAGTGAGCCTAGAAGAGAAGCTCGGCAGTGTACATTTTTTTGCCAGGACATCAACTCTCTCGTTTTCGGAGATGACACCACAACTGTCACCACAGGCCAAGTTATTACCGACGTCGTGAAAAGTCAGGTGGGAAAAGTCTTGTCTATCCTCTTGAAAGAATAAATTTCATGTTAACACTTGAAACTTTTTCAACTTCTTTTTATCAAAATCCGGAAAACTGCAAAAAATATATCTTCTCGAAAGCCGCTTCTTCAAAAATTTCTTGAGAAACTAGAACCTTGAAGCATCAGTTCTGAAAAGAGGAGGAGATTGAAACTTTCAAAAATCTCATTTAGAATATCTGATAATGTTTTTATTCTTTAAGAGATAATTTAAATTCTGAGCACAAGGATCGCAATTAGAAGTTTAACTTCCAAAAATTCCTAGTTCTAACTCTAAAAAACTTGCACTAAAAATTTGTTGCTTTTGAATTTCTTTTTTTTTGCAATCCTGTCTTCAAAAGATGAGAAAGAAGTTCTGTAAGTCGATTGCATTCCACAAGCTTCTAGTTTATCATCAAAGGAAAAGGCGTTGGCCTCTTTATCACGGAACAGTTTATCATCAAGACGTAGATTCTGAAAGTAGTATCACCGTGTGTTCAAATGTCGTCATAATATACAAACAAGGCATACGTTTTTTTCAAAGATTCTTCAAGAGAAAAAAAGCAAAAAGATTTGAAAATTCTTCACTTCAAAGTTTTTAAGACTATTATCCAAAAAAATTAAAAAAACTAACAAGTCTGAATAAAGTGGTAATTTTTTTCGGTTGAAAGAAATTCATACTTTTTGCAAAAAAATTTGACTTTTTCGGTGCTTATAAATTGCTTGAATGTGATGTAGTAGTGCTGGAAAAAAAAATCTAAAGCAAAATCGTCAAGGCAGGAGCGATCGTTTTCTGGAGCATCGGATTCGTTATTATTCTAGCGGCACTGATTTTTGGATTTACGACGTGCTGTTGTCAGTTGTGCTGTGGGTCCAAAAATGAAGAAGATGTAAGGTTTTTTGATTTTTCTCTCAAGTCTCATTGCAATAGCAGGAAACACGGTCAAAACTTCTCGGCGGTATTTATGTGTTTCTGCTGGTTGCTGCCTTCGCTTTCATCATTACCGGCATCATTATTTTTAACATTTCTGCTACCAATCTCTATTCTGCCATCGACAATGAGCCCACGTTCTCCAATGCAATCCAAAACGGTAGTCCTTCCCCAAATTCCTTCGAAGCTAGTAATTTCAGATCTCAATCGGACTCTAATCAACGGAACGATGCAGATGACGTGCACTGTCAACCAGACGACGACCTTGACTTTCAACAACATCGAAAACATTCTGAGTACCTACTCGACAGTGATGTTCGCCAACGTCTCAGATCAAGTTGGTCTCACGAAACTCAACCAAGTTAGTTTTTATTATACTTTCCCGGAAGTTAATTTATTTTTTGAAAGGATAACCTTACCGTTATCTCACAACAAATAGATTCAACAGTTGATGCTGGAACAACGTTCATAACTGATGCCAACCAATTTTTGAACGCGGGAGGGGCCAAAAACTGTCACGACCAAGTCAAGAAGCTCCTCGACATTGTGCAGCAAAACCAAGTGGCCTTGACAGCTGCTCAGAAGGTGACTTTCATCCATTTAGCTTTGATTCCGCAGTTCCGCTCTTTTCAGCAGTTCAAAAATGTAGCGAACCCGCTTGAAATTTCGCTACAGAACATCAACAAAAACATAGCTGCGACTCAAAATCAGGTTTTAGCAAGTCTAAGAATCGGAAAAATAGCTTTTTGCAGGTTCAACAGCAAATCGACAGCTCCATCGTCCAGATGAACAGTGCACAGGCAGACATCGCATCTTCCATGGACAACGTTCAGTCTGCCGTCAACCAGACCATTCAGGAGATCCAGTCTGTAGTCAACGCCCTCAACTCTGCTCAGAGAGACACCGTCACTGTCAGTAGATTCAACCTTTGACAGAATGATGATATAATCTGCGAGAATAACCATTTTTAAGAGATTATTTTCAGTGGAACGGCTACGGAGTGGTTCAGAACTCGGTGCGAGCCGCGATGACGACACCGAGTGCGATCGCGTTGTTCTTCGCCTTCTTGGGCGTCGTCTGCGTCCTCGTAGGACTACTTCTGCCTTCCTACTCGGACTCGAGTCGAGGTGTCGCCTCTGTCGTCACTCTCGTAGGATTCTACGCCGTCGTCTTCCTCACCGTCATAGCTATGGCCGTAGCAAGGTGCTCCCAAAATCGAAAAAGATTGAGAGCGTAGACAAAAATTGATCAAAGTTTGCAAGCTTCATAGCAACTGTATCGCAGAAATTCCGCGCCGAGTCATTCGAAAAGCGGGAAATGCTTTCAAACCAGAACAAATCGAATCAAATATCGACACTAATCAACACCTCTGCCTTCTTTCCAAAGTTATTCAAAGCTTGATAAGGAAGATTTGAAATGAGATAATGTGATGAACCACTCATATTTCTGCTATGTTTTCTATTTTTTGTCTGAGAAAAGATTACTGAAACATATACTGAAATGGAGCAAAAAGAAACGGACTTCAGCTCGTCGTTTGTGCTCGGCTGGGGTCTTTCGGCGGTTTGTGAGCCGGTGTTCCAGGACCCGTCGTTCCGTTTTTTCAACGTCATCGGCAAAAACATCACCATTACTGGCTTCAATGGAGCGCCACCTGTTTTCGTCAACATATCGTGATTTTTCAAAACATTTAGAAAAAAAATTCACTGAATAATATCATCTGTTGTTGGGAAACAAATTTGGACCTTCCGTCTATTTAAAAAAAATTTCAATGCATTTTCATGAGAAAAATACTATTATTTTTTCTCTTCACAACGTGGTTTGGTTTTTTCATAGTCAATTCTTCCTGTCTTGAAAAGCGAAATGCGTAGTTTGGCATAAGTAAAGTGTTGCGTGGGCGACGCGACTTTTGGCGGGCAACTCGATTTCAAACGCGACTCGCTATTTTCCTTTTTTTTTCAAAAAAATTGGTGACTAATTCTTGACTCACCTCACTTTCAAAAATCAGAAGTTGCTACGTTTCAGTGATATTTTCATCGGTTGCCGAAACAACCAGACTCTCTTTGAAACAATCGATGGCCAGGCACTTCTATCCAGTGTGTACTTCTATCTAATTCAGGAATCAAATTTGCTTATGTTCCAGCACAGCTTATCGACCAGCAGCTGAATCTGACACAATACCAAGAGCAGGTCGACCAACAGATCGACAGCGCAAATTTCAACTTGACCATCGACCCCAACGCCCTTCAGCTTCTACAGGTTGTCAAATAATTAAAAACTTTAAGAAAGAATGAAATAAATTTCAGTCGTTTTCTGAGAGTCTTCAGAAAAGTCTGGAGGCGACAGCCGCTGAACAGCCTTTCCTACAAGCTTGTACCGTAAGTCCCAACTTCTGTCAACCAAAATTTTAGTTTTTTTTTAAAGAGCGATGACGCTAGTAAGCTCAAAACCGACGCACAAAACTATTACACGTAAGTAAGTTGAATTTGGGTTGGATAAAAAAAAGATTAATTCCCAGCAAATTCAATTTTTAAAAACATTTCCGATTTTGTCTGTTTTTTATGAAAAGATTTTTGATAAGGGTCACGAAACGCTTTACAAATTTGAGTTTACTCAAGTCTACTCATTTCTAGAAAATTTTCAAGGAAACAAAAACGAAGATATTCAAAGAAAAAATTTAAGTTTTTCTTCAGACAATTGACTGCATTGACGGCTTCAACCAACGAACTATATATCGACGTCTACAATGTCAGCAACAGCAATATCGTAAGCTGGTTCTAACAAAGCATTTCTTAATTCTTAAATTTTCTTTTAGTCGGGTATTCTGAAAACGCAAAACGACGTCCAGTTCAACTTGGCTTACACCAGCATCAACAGTTCTATTAACGGTCTCATTGTAAGCACGAAAACTGATTCTCATATTATTGATAAATTCAGTACGACTTATCGAACAACGTCTTCAAATGTCAACCGCTTTACCAGATCTACGAAAACTCTGGCAACGTCATCTGCCAGCAGTTCGGTGAACCTATTCATGGCATCTGGGCAGCCGCTGGTGTGTTTTCTAGAAATTAGAAGAACTGGGGCTTAGACCAGCTAAAGAGAAGTTTCATATATTGGAATGCTTTCGAGAAAAAGGAGTTTGTTATACAAAAGAAAAAAAAAACGCATAGCGGAGTTAGTTTGCGAAAAACTTGTTTTGAGGACTCGCGGCGATCATGTTCTTGCCCTTGGCGATAGTTCTTCTGTGCACATACCGCTGGCTGAGGAAACGAAGCGATGTGGAGACGTGGCGCCAGGTGGGCGGCAAAAGGCTTTCGCGCCACGAAGTCGGCACTTTGCGCTCGAATGCCCTTGACGAGTACGTCCCCAGCACCTATCCCGAAAACTTGTGAGTAACTCGCAGTTCAGTCTTTTCATAGACAGTGTTACTTTCCTTAAGTAAAACTAGTTTTTTTTTAGCTTTCCCAGAGCGTACGCCTCTGGTAACTCCGTCTACCCAGAAACACCGTGAGTTCATTTAAAGGAATAATTTTCATAGAGGTGTTCGAGAAGAAATGTATTGTTATACTGACTCTGAGGCAGTCCCCGAAGAGTTAGCGAAACTCCAAGAAATTTAAGTTCTGTTGAGTATAAAAATTGTTTCTACAAATCTCTGCGAAACCAGGTTATATATTGGCTTACACAAATTGAAAGAAGTGGATATGAGAAAAGTCTATTGTGCAGATACTTCGACACGATAACAACGCAACAACCAATTCCCAGAATAGATACTTCGTACCCGCCGTGAGTTTTTCATCCGTTTCCAACTCTAAAAAAGACGCTTGGACAGAGCGGACGAAGGGGAAAGATGGAGGAGCGACGAGGCTTGGGGCAGCGACGATTCAGAACGGCCGGCGCCTTCGGTCCATGGCCTCCGAAGACGGTGACACCCGTATAAATACCTTGTTACTTTGTAATTAATTATAAATTATTCGTCATTCGAAAAGTGTTCAACAGGCAATGATTAGCAAGCGGAATTCGATCACATTAATCGACAGCCAGATAAGGTTTTCTTTATCGATAAGAAGCTTATAATTTATGGACCAGCTGCGGCGCACCCACTCTTCGATTTGCTCTGCCACCGTTTCTTTTCCAATATCGATTTTTTAATGTTCGAAATATAGTAAAATTACAATCATACATATTACGCTTGTAATACGATATAAACAGCTCAATTAATTTCGCTGAAAATATTTCAATGACAGAGCAGCCTAGAAATGAAAAAAGCCGTCTGGATTCTCGCGTTTGTTGTTGCTGTGTCAGCTTTCGACTCGCAGTTGAACTACGGTTGCAACTCCAAAAAGTGTACTTTCCAGTTCGTCCTTCCGGAGGTACGCTTATCAAACTTCAAGTTTACGAGAACTACATAAGGTTCTTTTTTTTTTGTTTCTTCCACTGCTGAAAACTGAATTCGCAGCTTCATAGCCGGAAGACTATTTTCCTACAAAAGCTTTTGTACATACTCACGTTGAAAAAGAGTTTCTCAATCTTTTCAAGTTCCGAATTTACCTGAAGCTAATATTTCAAAAACGTTTACCGAAGATCATTCGAAAGGAGAAAAAATTCAACATGAAAATTATCAAAGGAAGTAGCCCGATACGTTGATCCGGCAGTTCTCACGACTCAGCTGTCGCAAATCACCAGAAATCTCAACACTCTGACAAATACTGTCGGAGCACTCGGCAATGTGAGCAGCAACGCCGATCAGTTCAACTCGGTAGGTAGAAAATATGACCAAATGTAATCCATTTTTATGCAGACATTTTACGAGAAAGAAGGACCGGTGGAAAATCAGATAAATCTGTTGGCGGCGTCTACGACCAACGCAAGCAGCAACGTCAACTCAACTCTTAAACGTGCCCAAGACGCAAATGCGGGAGCCGCAATGTTCCCGGACATAATTGCGTGCTTCAAGAACTCTTCAGCCCCTAGCTCACAATGCCTTGCAGCGACGACGACGGTCGCACCGACGACAGTAAAGTTGACGACACTTCAGAGCTTAGGCACCACTGTCAAGTTCACCGGATCCACGACGACTGGACCGACCGGTGGAACGACGATCAGCCCTGGTGACGTCACAACTGGAACTCCTGTCACCGGAAAAACTTCAACTATCACGCCAGCAGGAGGATCTAGCACACAATCTTCTACTGTCACATCTGCAACAACCATGTCTACCAAACAAACGACAGTAGCACCTGGGTAATGGAAACTTGCAAAAACCTGAAAACTACGGTACTGGATGAAATAAAATATTCTTCGTAAGTTCATTCACAGACTAAAACACAGAAACCATGATACAAGCTCGGCAGAAAAAATTGTAGAACTAAATGGAACTTCTAGACAGAAAGCGACTTTCAAATTTGAAGGATTTCATCATTAACTGTAGATTAAAAGCTTCTTAAACTAACTTCAAAACAAAGTTAACAAGATAGAAGAACTTAGAAATACCTATTATTGCTGCGAACTCATCTGAGCAATGGTGTCCCAGAGAGCGACAGACAAACCTTTCAGGTCGTTCTGCGTGGCGTCCAATACTCTCGTCAAAATGGCGAGAACCTGAAAATCTAATAGAAAAACTGATCATAAAAAAGTAGAACACTTACCGTATCTGTTGTCTTCTCGTTTGAGAGAACGCAACGGATCGCGACACAAATTACGGCTCCGGACAAAAGCAGAAAGTCGGCTCTTTCATGCGCCATCGCCTCTCTCAAACGTCAACATACGAAAACTTGATCACTATTTATGATTGAAAATCCCAGTAAAAAAACTTCTCCAGGAAGAAAAAACTCGGAGTTTCTCATATTTATTGAACAAAAAACGCTCAAAATTTTTCGCGTTTGAAATGGGCTGGAGAAAAATTATTTGGCGTAATCAAAGCGCCAAAACTCGCGTAAAAGGCGAAAGTTAGAAAAAAATTTAGTAAACGGAAAGCCGGGGTTCTCAAACTTTCCGCTAAATTTTAGCCGATTCTTATTCGCTCACTATTCTTGTAATTAGTCAAAAACTGTGATGAATCTGAAAAATCTCCACGTATCGCACTAACCAAGGTAAGGGAGAACATAAAGATTACTTGTGTTTTCTGATCCAGGGTTTCAGCTTTTTTTCAAAATAGTGCAGCCACTATTCCCCCAGTAAGAAAAAAAAAACTAACTCTTTAGTAGCATATTTTCGCAGCGATGTTTTCGAGACTTTGAGGAAATTTTCGTACAACTGAAAACAATAATAATGTTCACAGTTTATTTGAAATACTTTCGAAAAACCTTTTCATTTTGCAAAATAGCAAAGTCCAAAATGACGAGAATGTACTGCCAGATGATGTTCATGTCGGCCTCGCTGTTCAACCAATCACGCTTCATCATGGAGTTCACTGCAGATAAGGCGAAATCGATATTCAATTCGTCTTTTTCGATTAAAAAAACCAAGCTTCACGGATATTATGGGAAAAAAATTATCTTTAAAAAAATTTCCCACACATCTTTTTTTCAAATATTAGTACTGACTTTTTTTAGAAAAAGTAATTCTTTTTCACTTGAAAAAAATGAATTTGCTGGCAATTTCTTTTTTTAAAGTTTCCCTGATATACAACAATTTTGAACTCACCTATCATTTTTCATCAACATTTCACAGTGAGCCAATGGTGTAACGGGAACTCTGCGAAATGGTTAAAAATTTCCAAGAAAAATGGTTGAATTACTGATATTTGATGGCCCGAGTGAAACGCAATTCGGAACTGAGGACGGCTCCTACAGTGTACGGGAAACCGAGAGTGCGCAGACAGTTTGAGACTTGTCGAGATGATAAACTCTCAAATTTGAAATCAGTTTTCCAGGAAGATTTGGATTGGCGAGTGACTCACATCGTGGTAGCTGTGATATTTGCTGGAAATCTGGATGGCTGTCAAGACTCTCAACGGGATTTGCCTGGAGAAAGAGTTTTTGGGTGAAGATGAGACCTGACCTCGTCGAGTTCGTTTCGACAACCTCCCAGTGCTCGTTTTTTTTCGCTTCGCTCATATTTTGCTGGCAGATGAAATGGTGCAAACTGAGCATGTGGACGCGCATGAACCTCAAATAAAGAATCTTTGAATATTGAATATTTATTTCACTCTGATCTTTAAAAGAAGTTATAACCGATCAGGCATCTTGGGTCACTCAAAACAACCCTTGAAATTGTGCTTCTCCTAGGTAACATTATGGAATCATTTGATGCGACTTTAAACATCACAGCAAGGAACGAATCCCCTATAACCATTTCAGAAGTAAGAACATAAATTTCTTGAAAAGGTCTATCCAGTGAACGCGTCAAAAAAATATTGGAAAAGAAACTAATTTCAAATTTAATAAAAAAACTTTCCAATTTCAAATGAAGCTCATTTTTAAAAAAAAAGCTTTCAAGAAAAAAACTTGACTCGCACAGCTTGAGGCATCGAGTAGAGCGTCTTTAGACCAGTTACAAAACAACATGCGAAAAAAAAATTTAGGAGTTTTTTTGTTTTTTTAAACAGGCGATAAATTCCTCGAGATGAAAATATTTCTTGAACTTCGTTGAAAAATAAACTTTGAATAAAGCAAGGCGGCGGTGTACCGAACATCATGAGGAAGTCGGAGCCTGATGCAAATCGTGAAGATGTACTGAACTACCGGCGGCGAGAGAAAATCAAAATCTCCGGGCCTGGCGCTTTCCATGTTTTCTGCGAGAATTTCGCTTAAAAAGCTGTTATCCTATTCAAGACCCACTTTTGTTTTGTCGTTTCACTTCACATAAATGATCGACCCAGTAAATTTTAGGCATCAAGCCTATCGATGAGAAAAAATCTGAAAAAAACTTTGGTAGCGTTTCTTATTCCTTTTTTCTTTTGATTCTAGTTAATACCTATATCGATTCCGTCTTTGATCTCTTCTCTCTCCGGCTCGCCATTGTCCTCAGCCTCCTCTGTAACTGGGTTTTCAGCAGAAAGAACTTGTTCCGCTTGTTCTGGGATTTCCTTAGGCGGAACTCTCTCGGGAAATTCTGTTTTTTTCTGTTTTTCGGGTGGCGAGTCACTACCAGCCGCTTGCGATCTTCTGAAAAAAAAGTAAAAATTTTTCTGACTTGTCATATTACCTAATTACTCTATCGTCTGAAGCGGTTCTCCTTTTTTTCTTCATATTTCGTTCCTCAGCTTCTTTTTCCTTATCTCCTAACCATATTTCGAACCTTAAATAAATTCTTATTTAACCAGAGGTTTTAACTTGGAGTGAAGAAAATTCCCAGAACGAGCTTGATTTGAAGATACAAAAAACTTGTTTTTCGAACTTCGTTTGTACATACCCTGACGTTTCCAAAGACTCAATTAAGACAGCGTCATCTGTAAAATATTATCCTTGAAAGCACAACCACGTCAAAAATAAGGAAAGAACTATTTTCGAATATAGTCAACCATGAAAGTCATGCAAGATTTCTCCTCTGCTGTACCCCCCCCTTCCCAATTTTGAACATGAATGACTTTGCTGGAGTAGAGAAAAAAACTCTATAGCTTCTACCAAAAAAACGAAATAAAATGTATAAACATACAAACATGACCTGCTCAAGACTTGCTTGTGACTCGAAAACATGTGACACGAGATTTTCTTAAATTTTTCAAGCCAGTAGTGAATCAACCATAATTTAATATCTGAAGTCGTTTTTACGATTTTCTTCGGGAAATTTAACGCGTTACACATGAGAAAATCATCGCAAAAAGATCCCAACAAAAAAAATAAACGTTCTGTAGTACAGTACCGGAAAAGGAATAAAACTTCTTTTTCAAATCCTGAAATCGATTCTCGTTTTTCTGTTACACACATATAAAATGCTATAAAAAATTAAAATTAGACAAAAAAAAAGGATGATACGATTTTATCTCAAGTCCGCAAATCTCCGGAGCCGTTATCTCAGAGTACCGTAATCTCAATGCTCATAATCTCCGAAACCACTTATCTCCGAAAACAAATAACTTCAATTTCCTTTCTCTTTTTTGCATTTTATTTTCTTTTTTTTCTTGTGTTGTACTCAGAATACAATCTCCGACCGAAACTGCGTACGAAAGCCAAATATTTTCGTTTTTCAAACTTTTTTTATTTTTTCCACTGAGTGAAAATAATTTCAATTTTTCAAATTGATAATTTTTTCAATTTTTTCTTGTTCTTAAGCTTCTCTGATAACTTTTTCATGTGGAAAGCAAAGAAAAAAAGAGTGAAACTCGAACTTCGAAGTGGCTTAACTTAAAATTGTTCAGCTTCTCAATAAAAGTGGAAATTTGATGAATAATTAGGGTCCGGCAAAAAATTTGGATCGGAGATTGTATTCTGAGCACAACACAAGAAAAAAACAAAAACAAAATGCAAAAAAGACAAAGAAAATCGAAGTTTTTTGTTTTCGGAGATAAGTGGTTTCGGAGATTATGGGCCTTGAGATTACGGTACTCTGAGATAACGGCTCCGGAGATTTGCGGACTTGAGATAAAATCGTACCATCAAAAAAAGTGAAATGTTTTTTTTGCGTAGGGTACGGAGTTTGATCCGCATACAACTCTTGCATACCGTCCCTCATAAAATTTGTGTGGAAAGCGAAAACTAATTAAAACGTTTATTATTCATTTTTCCCAATCATACGGAAACTCGGTGACTTTGAGTTTTTTCATGGCATTTTGCAGTGTGGAGTAAATCAGTTTGTAATTTGGCTCCGAAAAGTATGTGAGACTGTCGATGTGGCTGCAAAACACAAATGATAAAGAGAAAAAGACTTTCTTACTCACTCTAAAATTGTTTTGTACTCCGAAAAAGGACATCCTGTGAAAAACTGTGAGAGGAGAGGCTGGCTACGAGAAGTTTTCTTCATTTCACCGACATCTTTTATTTCTGTCACAACTTTCCAAGGCAGCGCGGCGTTCGTGAAATCTACTAACATGTAGAACCTATAGATCTTTAAGTTTCGCCTCAGGTGCTAGGAAACCAGCTTTCAACGTCGTCGCGCCGTCCATGTTCTTTGTACTCGTGCGAAGCAATCGGCGCATACCGGGGCGTGCCCCTGTAAGGAGCTTTCTTCCGCGGCTGCACCATCACGTTCTCAAGTTGTCCCAGATGTCAGTTCGGATGCCAGAAACGAACCCGATCGTCTACATACCTCCGGCATAAGCCGAAGTCCAGCACATAAATCTTCCTTTCTTCCCCGAAATCTTTCCTTCCTATCGCGAAATTTCCTGGCTTAACATCTCTGCAAAGTTGGGATAGTTGATAAATTTAGCAAATTATTTTTTTCTTTTCTTATCACTTCTCTTTTGAATGTTTTGAAAGGAACCTGTGCAAGAACCCACACCAGTGCATCTCCTCGAGAGCCTCCAGACATTGAATGGACGCTCCGATGGCACAGCCGGGGGACAAATGGTTGTCGGGGCCTGTTTTCTTGGCGTCTTGCATGGATTTGCCAAGAAACTTCATGACCACGTAGTTACATTGTTCGAATCGACCTTTATCTTGAGATATTCTGTTAATCGATAGACTTTTGAGAAAAAACCTATTAAACTAGGAACGTGCTTAGCTTGTCTTGCCATTAGCCTGTTCATGACGTACAGTTCAAACTTTAGTAGCTGCAAAAGTCGTTTGAGCCTGTTTGAAAGCCGACTGACCCACCGGAACTTTCTCACTGCAACTTTCCGCCTTCATAGCATATTCTTTTCCTGACTGATCACGCACCTGAATATTTGATCACTTTTTTTTTAACTTCAATGGTACTCTACCCCGTAAACCGCACCAAAAGCGCCTTCACCCAGTTTTTTAAATACCTGAATTGCTTTCGCATTTGATCTTTTTCAGGCAATGAGAAATTCTTGTAACGCGACTTTTCAAAACTTTTAGAACGAATGGAAACCGTATAACGATCAATTGTTGCTCCAATCTCGTACTGGACGATTGTCGGCGTTCCCATCGCAGCCTTATTCGAAAATGAGCCTCTTTCCTCGAAAACTTACGTTGCGTTTTTATTATTTTTTCAATTGAAGAAAAGTTTTTCGTCCTAATTGAACTGTGAAAGCTAGAAAAAATTTATCGGCTTTTTTTTTGCCTTTTTCTTAACTGAATACTTTCATTTTCATATATAATCTATTTTTATTTACAGGAGAACGAAAAAAAGGTCAAATGAAGGTCTTGGCTTTTTTTTCATCTAAATTTGATAGTCTTTGACTACTTTTGGTCCCTTTGGTTTCTATTGAGACGCGAAAAAGCCAATTTTTCCAAATTTTTCCAAAAAGGGATAGCCAGCCAACAGACGAAGAGACTGTCCACATGACGTCTCCATCTCACAAACAACTCCACTGTAACATTTCGCGCAACCCTACGACAGATTTCCCACCAGAATTCTCAGCTGTTTTGACCATGTTGGGAAAACTTTTACTCCTCACGCTCATATCCACAGCGTTTTCGGCAACTCTGCGAGTCCGACGCGACTGGGATGACATTTATCCGCCGCGAATCAGACCCGTCGCTTACGTCGGCGACAGGTATAATCCTTTCTCTCTCCCCCCATGATTCGGGTAGGCTTTATTCATGTCTGGAAGCAGTCTCAAAATTTAAAGAAAAAACACTTCAGATTATATTTATGAAAAAATGTTGTTTAAAATTTTTAGGCCAGTTTACTCGAGATTCGTCGAAAGAGCTGGACCGAACTCTCACATAATTTTCGACGACAACGGCGTTCCATACGTGGTTGGTTTTCCAAACTCAAAATTATTCAAATCCCATTTTCAGGTGGAAAATCGAGGTCCCGTCGTTCGAAACTTTCTTCTTGCGTCTAAAATGAATCGTATCGCTAACGGCTAGAAGTTTCTTTTTCTTAATGAACATATATGTAAATTTTCTCACCTCTTATTGTTAATGACCCAGCCTGCCTAATAATTTAAAACGTCTGAAACGTTTCGCAAGCTCGAAAAATATGTTCATTTTATTTTCCAAAAGTAAAGCCTCGAAAATCTGCTGTTTTAAAAGAATACCAGATACAAATCATGGAACTTTGAAGACCCATACAAAATATTGTTTGATCATCCTTTTTTCATATTTGAAGACAATTGCGGTTTTTTGAACAAAATCAATAAGAAGATTTCGAGGTCACATCTTATCAGCCTTCGCTTATCCCTCTTTCGCTTTCTTTTTGTTCTTCCTTTTCCTTTCCGTTCAGTCACGCCTAAATTATTTTGCTGATTTCACTGATTAATAAAAACTTGTGGACTTTGTTTGGAAAGAAAAAATGCTGTTGAAATTGGGAGTGATGTTTGCCGCTCTGGAAGTGATTTGCGCCTTGACCCGTGACGAGTTGATCGACCATCTCCGGCATAACCAAGGTTGTTGGTCGTTCTTTAAAGGAAATTTGTCTGACAAAGCAGGTGAAAAGTTTATGTTAATTATGAACGAGAGAAGATATGCTTCAAGTTTTATAAATGCTTCAAACGAAATAAACTTTCAGCAGGTTAAGATTGGAATTAGAAGTGATACTTTTGAGTTTAATTTCAAATCTTTTACAGCTACCCGGAACACTTTCGATTCTCGAATCCGGCAAGGCGATTGGATGAAACCCATCGGCTACGTTGCTGGAAAGTCTGAACTCTCGGAATTGTTTCTCAAAAAAGCCCAGTAATGCTTTAGACCAATCTGGCCTCGAATCCTGGACAAGGTCCACTCAACTGGCGAACTTTTCTTCGACGACGATAACTTTGCCTATCTGGTTAGCCTGTTTCAATTGATTAAGCTCGAAAAAAATAAAAAGTTCAGATGCATGATAGGACGGCAGCGGGTCTGGTGAAGAAAATGGACCGCGAGGCAAATTATCGCAAAATAATTCAGTTTCTTGAACGATACACCGAGTAATTCGTCCTTTTTCAAATTTAAAACGTAATAATAATAAACTTCACTTTGTTTCTGCAAATCCCACACAAAAAAGCTATCGGTTCTAGAAGTGACGTCAAAGAAGAAATGGGTTTAAAGTTCAGACTGAAAGATCGTCTTTGCTTCTTGTTTTCCTGTGACTGTCGCTTTCTATAAATCATTCAGACGGCCCCCAACCATTCACATTCCTTGTTTGTTTCTTTTGACTGTGAATATAACTCATTTCGTAGACTTTGCACGAACTTATGAAAATGATAGTCCCTATCATTCTCCTCACAATCTTCCTTTCGCCAGAAGTTCGCAGCTTAACCATGAGAGATCTTTTGAGCACAGAACCAGGTACGTCGGAATAATTAATTTTCAACTTGTAAGCAATCAAATTCGCATCGTATTATATTAACATTGCTTTTTCTCCTTTTAGAAGGGAATTCAAAGTATTCGTTCGCTGTGAGACCCATCGCAAACGTTGCAGGAGAGTAGGTCCTATTCCAATACAAAAAATGAATTTTGATTTAGGTTGGTGTATCCAAGGGACCAAGACGACAATCCGTGGATCCGCACCAGGAATGCCAAGTACAACGAGCTCGACGACCTTCCCTCCGAGGCTCGATGAGCTCTCGACGACCGTCTAACCGTATTTTTTCAGCAGCCCACGGACCCCTATGTCAACCGCAACATCGAACGCGTCATGCGTTTGCTCCAGCGAGAGCATCGCATTTGAGTTGCGGAATCCAAGAAAGTAATGGTCAGAAAGGCACACAAAATTATCATTATCTTTTGTTACTCGGTTATTTTTCAGCCCAGAAACTTTCCTTACTCGCAATAAGAAATTGCATGTATAATATGCTTAAAACCGTCTTTCAAATCTTTTTTTTCATCTGTTCGATCTCCATGCTACGAGTCCGTCTTTGAATAGTAAAAATGAATAAACTTTTTGAACATTTTTATTAGGGTTAGCGCAAAAATATTCAGAAATCGATGAAGAAAAAATACCCGTTGAAGTATTGCAAGAATAATTTTCTCAGAATTTCGAGAAGGGTCAATTCATCCAAATCTCTTATCACTACAATAATGAGAATTTACAAGGAGCATATTAACAAAGTGTTTGAAGCTGAGGCTGCAAATGTGAGAAAAAGGCTGGAATTTGTTGTGAGAAGGACCATCACTCGTCCTGTTTGAAACCGAAAAGTGATATGTGAGGTAAGTTGTGGAATGAGTATTTAAGAATTAGGGTAGTCAGGGTTGAAAAGAACCGGCATGAAAAACTCGAACATGAGGACGATGGCCATCACCGCCACAATGTAGAAAATCACGAAGAATCCGAGCTCTCGGCCCTGAAGAATAGTTTTATTCGTTTTTTTTTATCGTGAATTTTCTCCCTTTTTCAGTGAGATAACTAGCAAAAGCCTGAGATAAAAAAGTATTTGATACTTCCCCGTAGATGGGCTTTAATATTACAGATTGCTTAAATTTTTTTTTCCAAGTGTTTCGGTCGGTGTTTCATTCGAAAAATCAAAGTTCAATTGGAAACGTCTACGATGAAGTCGATAATTGTTCAAAAAATACTCCACGATGATAAAAAAAAAATATTTAAAACCATATTCAATTTAAAATTTGAAGACTTTTTTTGAACTTATCGAGTTCAAGTCATTGCTGGTTGTACATTAAACATATGTCAAAGAGCGGAAAAAGTCTTTCCTGAAGCGAAAGTATCGCATAAATTGCCGCATTACACGCCATACTTCCGGCCCACAACCTGGGCATTCAGAAATTTTTCACATTTATCTGGGCTCCAAAAAAAAGAATAAGAACAAAATCTTTTTTTTATTTAAACTTGTAGTAAAGAAACTGACCCTCAAAGTGTTGACGAGCTCTTCTTTGTTGTAAGGATCTTGGTCCGTTCCGATTACCAACTCTGCAAAGAAGTTTTAAATGAAATACTTGAGACAATGACTTTTTTCTCAGGTGTTAGTGGAAGATTTAGAAAGCGATTACTATGGTTATTGATCGAAGAAAAAAGCCATCAAAATTATGAGCGGCTTTTCATGCATTCGCATTCTGCTAGAGGATTATGCAGGCGACGCAAGCAAGAAGAGTCTAGAATCGTTTGAAAATATAGGTGGCCAGCACCTTCTCACAGGACTGAAAAAAGGATTGTTTACAAAACTATTTTTAAAAAAAGAGATTATGGCTAGTTATAGACAAGTTTTAAAGTGAGGTCACCTTAAAAGTTATTTGTAGGTTTTTCAACAAAAGTTCTCGATTATCTAGACTTCAAAGACTTGATATATATTATTTAGAATCAAAAGATACCTTTTCGACCTTTAACTGTTTTGGAAGGCATGGAAAGTGCGTGGTTGCCGTGGAATAAGAAAAGAATTGTGAGCCGGCTCGGCGCTGAGCCACGCCCCGGGAGCCCACCTCGTGCTCTTTTCACGTACGGCTCCTTTTGAAAACAGGAGAAAACCAATTTGTTTTATTGATGGCCATAAACATAAATGTTTCATTTTGTCTCAGATAAAAGAAGCTTTTTATAATTACTGGTATGAGATTTTTTTAAAAAAAGTGAATCTTTATTTGAAAGACAAATGAAAAAATATCAAGCCAGTTGGAAAAAAAAAGATGAATCATTCATAAAATCTGCTCAACCTTTTTTGGTACATGAAATACATTCAAACACCTTCTCATCACACAAATTTCGCTACAGATGTGAAGATTTCATCGAAAAACATCGTGAATCAACGAAAAAATAAGTCTTTATTACCGGCTCCTCAAGAAAACTAAAAAATTAACTTTTTCACTATAATTCAGGAAACATTTTCAAATTCTCTTCAGTTTTTGAAACAACAAAAAAAACAGATAAATTCATGAACAAATGAAACAAAGCTCACAGAACTTACCGATACCAGTGAAAGGATGAGTTGCATTGGCGAGATGCTCTAAAATAGGGGGAAAAAAGGTATTTAACAAGAACCTTTCTTCCAAAAAAATATTCACAAAAAAATTGAGTAAATAAGTTTGAAAATACACGATTAGAGTTTGAAAGCTTCAATTCGTATCTAATGTGTATTTGCAAGCTTTCGTTTTCTTTTTCTTTTTCGTTAAGCCCTAAAATTGATAATCCTATAATCATACGAGTTCCTAAATTATAAATTACTCTAATTTCCGTTCTAGTCCAAAAAAGTGGTAGGAAGAATATGTATAAAAAGGACCTCCAATAGTGTCGGCGCAGAGGCCTTTTCCAACGAACGCGGCCATTTGTCTAACAAGGCGTCAAAAAGAGCCGAGGCGACGGAAGAGCAGACAAACAAAAAACAAGAAAGAAAAAAAAAATTGCTACTCTCTGATGAAACCAACTCTCAAAATAGAAATTGAAGAAGATGAAATACTTATTTTCAGGCAAATCCTGGGAAGTTGAAGGGAAGGTAACCATCAAATGATTGAAAGGTGAATGGAAGCTGGAGGGTTTTGAGAAGGCCTTGGTAAGGTGTTCAGAAGGTAGTCGGAAGGCCTTTGGAAAGTGAAAGAATGGAAATGATCCTTCCACCAGACTTTTGGAAAGTGAGTAGAGGCGTTAGGAGGCAATGTCAAAGGCTAAGGACAGCTTGCTGGAAAGTTTCTAAGCCCTTTTCCGAGGAGCCGGAAGCAGAATCTTCCCATTTTCGCCTAAGTTCTTTTTTTTAGAAAGAGGTTCGAAAGAGGTCCTGGAAGCCTAATCAGGAAGATGATTTCTAGGTAAAATTTGTAAATTGACATTAATTCGCCAAAAAGCTTTTTGAAATCTGATGAGGTTATCAGCTACTATTTGTGCAAAACTTGTTTGGAGTTATGAGTATTGAAAAATTACTTTTTGTCAACAGCCGAAGGATGGAAAAATTTTTCGCGCAGGTAGAACTTTATAAGACCTACATATAGTCCATCAAAAACTTTCGAAAAATTTTCAAACTTCTCACTAACTAAGAGGAAGTAAATCTAACTAAAGAGAAAAGAAAGACACTTGGATTGTTATAAAGTTGCAGGCAAGCGGCATTATTTATTCTTTGTTAGACAGAAAAACATAGACACAACGTTCTACATATGTGGAAGTTAGTTTTGATAAAATAAAAAAGGGATAGTAAAATAGGGATAGTTCGAGTGAAAACTTTCAAAAAAAAAAGCAAACTTTTAAACGGTTTTTCCGGCTTTTCGGGCATCAAGGTCAAGTCGTGGAAGCTTTCTTAAAAAGGGCGATTTGAGATATTTGGTAGTTTGAAACATTTTTACAGCATTTAAAAAAACTTGCGGAAACGTTATTTACATTAAAAAAATGCGCAAACTACTATTTTTTTTTTTGAACGGTTTTTCTGAGTGAAAACCGAAAGATCTTTTGAAAAACACAGAAGAAGTGGAGAGAAGCCGCGGAGGAACAAGCAGAATTTGTGTGCGGAGTGCTTGGCAAGAAGCGTAAGAGCAAACAGATTTTTGATTTCCCCTTCTTTTTCTCATTATCTTGGCGTCTTCCGTTCGGATCCCTGACCGATCAGCACTTGGCCTCTCGAAAGTCTTCAAAGGTTTGTCAAACTAAAGTATATTCGAACTTAGGGAGGTCTTATTGCCAACAGAACTTCTTGGAATCCGCAGGAAACGAAAATCTGAAATGAGAACAGAAAACCCCCAAGAAGATGAGATTTTCGAAAACAGATGGCTTTTAAAAGTTAACGACTTCTTTTTTCTCAACCTGAGTGAGAATCAATCTCTCAAGAATGATGCTCGAGCGGCAAAGCCTTTCAATTAGATTGAACGCTTTTTGGATTGCTCCCAGTTCAGCTTTTCATGTGAATTTCAAATAAAATGCGAAAAGTTTCGATTGTAATGACTTTTCCAGAATTTTTCATTCCAAAAGTAAGTTACTTTAGCGCCCTGTCGATCATAGAAAATCAAAAACTAAAATAAAAGTGAAGAGGGAAATGAAAAATTTTTGACAATAGTGAAATAAATAACTGTAATAATGAAAAAAAATATATTTACGGGGTTAGGAAATAGCGGCTTCCAAAAAAAAAAGTTCATTTTTCATTGGTATGAAAAAATAAGATGTTTCTTTATGGTTGATCTACCGATGGATTCTTACAAAAAAAGAGAGGTACCTGTCGATTTTTAGAGACACTATCATGAAAACTCTTTAGTTATGTAACAATTCGCTTAAGATAAAAGTGAGTCAATTATGTAACTAGCCGCATAAAATCTAAACAAACCATGTGTGTGTTGCCGGCTGACCTTCTTCTTGAACTGCACGTCGTTGGCCTTCTGCTCCTTGGAGCCGTTGCGCATCAGCTCGATGTGCTCGACGCCGACGCTCATCTGACGCCGCTGACGAAGAGCCGATAGTGACGACGGTCCTCAAAGTACAAATTGTCTTGGTTCTTCGTTCTCTCGTCTCGAAACACTGTTGTGAAGGAGCTCAAAGATTCACGAAAAACTGACTCGAAACGGAAGTTTGGAATTATAATTTCTAATGTAATTCCTTTTAAGTCAGTTGAGCAACAGCCGCCCCGCTACAAGTCATTCCAAGACAACCACTGATTTTTAATAAAAAATGAATATATTTAAAAACGGTGAAAAAAGATTAATGAATTCGAAAAGGTTAAGTATTGTAGACTAACGGTAAGTTGGAAATTTTTGAAAGAAAGAGCTTGAAATAGACCATCAAAACCTTAAGACTTTGTCGCATTTTCTGCGAACTTCACGTGGAGCAGAAATATATAAGAGAGGAGATTAGGTTTTCTGGCGAAAGCTTATACCTCTCCATAATATTTTTTTATAATAGAGGTGGAAAACATAATAGTTTATTCACGAAAATGACGCTCGAAGGATTCTAGGAAAATTTACAGCGTGAATATTTATTTTTGGTGTTGAGATGAAAACGAAGTTGTTTTTTCTTCTGAGTAAGAATGCTGCAAATTACAGTGGTAAAAGTAAATACGTACATGATACTAAGCTTAAGACATAAACAGAAAAGTTTTGTATTCTACTTTGACTATAAATTTTATAGGTCGCATTTTCAGGAATATATAATCATCTCCTGTACACGAATGAAATGTCGAAGAAGGACAAGAGAAAATAAAAAAAAACCCCCCCATTTTGAAACAATAAAATGAGGCCGAAATCCTTTCACCTTTCATGAAGAAACAGCGGCTCTGGGGGCTAATGAAAGACACCCGGAACTCATATTGGAGGTGTGGAAGAGAAAAAGAAAACAGAAAACAGGGTAATGAGTGAAGTGGAAAGCGACGGGTGGCTGGCAACCGCAAAATTTCCACCCAAATGCCACTGGACAGGTGATACATCGAATCACTTGGAGAAAATAAAATTATGACCAAAATTAAATTTGCTTCGAGAAACATTAAATTGAATCAAAACGAGGGTTTCAAGTAGAAACTCGTAATAAATTTCTAAATACTCAGATAATTTCTCGAAAAAATGAATTATACCATAGGAAAAACCATAAGACACGATTGATCATACATAGAAAAAATGAAACATTAGCTAATGTCTCTCTAATATTAGAGCGCTTTGAATTCAAAGAAAATTAATTTTCAAAACACATTTCGCAGCAGAACGACGCAAAGTCGCAACCCTGACGCCTCTCGACGAGCAAAAGACGAAAATTTGATATTTTTTCTCATTTAAGAAGCCTTAGGCTTAAGCAATATTTTCTTTTTTTTCATAACTTTGGGGAAAAAAATCATGAAAAATAAGTTTATCTCCTCAATTTTTTTGCTATTCAAGAGGGATTTCCTGTAATTTTAGCTAAAGGGTTTTTTTAATAGTTGAAGTGAGAGGGAAACGGCTCCTATACACACGATTTTTTTTTCTGTCATAGAAAGTTGAAGATACTTTGATATATTATAATAAGTCATATACATGTCGCAGCTATTCGAATGTCAAGTCTAGAAAATAAATAAGAGTCTTTGAACAGATATTTTAGACTGGGAATTTTTTTCATGAACGCTGTACTTTTTTTAAATAATTTTTTTACACAGAAAAAATAAAATGAAAACAAATTCTGCAGCACCAGTTTTCATTCGAGAGCTTCTTAGTCATGACAATTGATCGAATGAGTCAGATGAAGAAATAAACGATTTTGGAAGCAAGCAGAAGTGGAAGAAAACTCAGGAAAAACCTGGGTTTCCAAGTGTGAAACGCTGAATGGAATGATTTTTTTTTCACGTGAGGCCGAGTCAAAGAAAATGGGCGGTTCTTCGATTTGCGCAAAATAGGAGAAAATATGAGCGAGTCTGCTCCCAACGAAGTTATTCTCGTTTTAGTTTTTGGATGTTTCTTTCTGATTGGTTTGAAAATAAAAATAAAAGTTTCGAAATGATATTGGAATTTTTAGGATAGTGATTTCTTTTTTAATTTTACATGTTTGTAAGTCTAAAAAATGAATAGTTTTTAGCACCTCCATATTCGTACCTCTATATGAAAGAAAATATAGCTAAGGAAAAAAAAAAGAAAAACTTATATTCCTTCAGTGAGAAAGTTTTTTTCTCAAAAATTTAAAACGGACAATAATAATAGATAGTTTATTCACTGCCATTATTTAACATAAAAAAATAATAAGACCTTCCATATTCGGAAGCCGAAAACAAGAGAATTTGATTCACAAAAGAAAAAGCTGAATGCAATATAAATATCGGAGAGTTTTCTACCTATTAAATTTCTTTTTTTTCTTTAGAAAAAAGCCGAGAAAGACTTTATGAACCAGCTTGAATAGCTCTCAGGTTCGTCGTCGTTAAAAATGAATGAGGAGAGAAAAGAAGAAGCTTTTTACTTCTTTTGGCGGCGTTATATTTGATTTCTGCGCCGTTCCCATGTCAAATTCCATCAAGCGCAACGAAAATTGGAGGCTTTGTGATGCACTTTTGCACAAAGTGGGACTTATATTGCCACCAGATGGTGCTAAAAATATTGGATTGAATCGGAATGTAAACAAGTGAGACGGTTTCCATATTTTGGCACGAAAAGAAAGAAAGAAGAGAGAACCTGTGTTGACGCGAAGACGTTCAGAGGGAGAAGGCGTCGAATTGAACGGATGGAGCAGGAAGTGAGTACGCAGGTTGAAACCTTATTTCCCGCGGGAGCTTCCACAGAGCCTTAGCCAATTCGCCGCCCAAAAACAGCTCGTATCCTCTCTCGTTTCCCATCAATTCGAACGCCAACTCAGTCAGGAGAGAAGATTTCTTCTTTGGATAATTGACGGAGGCAAAATAAAAAGGGCAATATTGCCTGCAAGCAGCTCTTTCATTATGTTATGGGCCAATTGGAAGAATGAGTTAATCTCTTTTAGAAAAGACGTTTGAACTGTCGTTCGGCTTGGTGTGCTTTTTTGATCTATCGATAGGAAATATTGTTATTAACTTAAAACAGAAAAAAAATTGGAGAACTTAAAGAAAAAAAATTTCAGAAAAAGGAGAAAAAGAAAGATAATAAGTGAGAGGACGAAAATCAATTAATTTAATTTCTTGCAATAGGGTCGCATTGATAACGGCCATATGAAAAATTCTGAAAATTGAATCAATACGGCGTCAAAGTCTTTACTATTCCCTTGTTTCGAGTGAAATAAATATTGAATGACGCCCACCACGTGCCACTGGAGGGTATTGCCGTCGTACTGCCTCTCCGAGGAGTGTTTGCCTTGGCGCAGTCGGCAAGTCTATCAGCTGTCCTCGCGGGGGTCGCTGGTTCGATTCTCCTCTGCGCCTTGCTCAGTCCGTTGATGACACCTTTACAACACCATAACGATCTCTGAAATCACATGAGTGAATCTTCCATGCAACACCATCTGAGGACTTTTTGCACCTTTGATTTTGCTGAGTTTAATTCAATGAATGAGCATATAATTAACAAAAAAGGATTATTTAGGAGTTTTGATGGGAACTCCTGTTATTTATGTTGCAGAGAAAAAATTTCGATTTAGGAAGGGCAGCGTTTATGAAGGAGCAAGAGCGGCATGGTTAGTGCAATCTCCGTGTTCCGCAGCGAGAGACCACTATGGCGCAGCGAGCAAGTCGTCTGCTCGGCGCTCACCAGGTGCAGGGTTCGAGTCCGCTGAAGACTTTTTCAATTACCATAACGATCTGAAGGAACGTGAGTGATAAAAAAAATACCTGAGGACTCTTTTGGTTCTATTTTACGCAAAAGTTACCTGGTTCTGCTGATAACAATGTGTGGACAAGGTTAGTATTATTTAACCTGGAAATTAATGTTTTTGCTTTCCCATCACTCAACTGTTGGTGATAACGTCTATTTTCAAAATCTACACCTTGGAACAAATGGACACGGGCGAGCAGAAACCAAGGAGGTATTTTCTAAATGTTATTCATTACGATTGTTTTCAGACACCTCGATATTCTTCTCATCATTCATTTTGTCGGCTCGGTGGCACATTTTCTAGCCGCACTTTTTCTATATTTTTCGTGGAACAACCTACAAATTTGCGACGAAATCAGCAGCAAAGTCGGAATCCTTCACTGTGAGTATAAATAAAATTTCAAGGGCTGAATAGATGAGATATCAATGGTTTGTATTTCGAAAATCTGAGGAAGGCGATCGGAATTTCAAAAAGTTTGGTTGTAAAATAAATGCGGACATTATTTTTTTTATTTTTTTTTGTAGTATTCAGACTTTATCAGCAGGACTTATTACTGAATAAATATAGTTTCTAAAAGCGATTTTGGTGAAATCTTTCTTACATTTCAGTGGTCCTTGTTGTAATCTACTGCTTGGCGACTTTTCTCAAGTTGGCCCTATCCCTTCGACATTTTTTCATCAGCAACTTTCAACCAAGGCACCATCATCGCATCTTAGTATTGTGCGTCTGAATTTTTGCGATTCTGTTATTCTAGATCATTTCAGTTCTTCCGCAAAACAAAGCCGCTTTGGCTTGTTTTTCCCAACTTCTCACGCAACTTTTTCTCATGACGAGTCGAGAATGCGGAATTGAAGAATTTCCGGTGAGCTGAAGGTGTTTTTCTGAATTATTAAATGACGATGAGAACACCAATATTTGTAGGAAACAAAAATATTCAATTTTCCCTGGCTTCGACTTTTTTTTTGCGTAGGTCTCCTACGCATGGCTTAAAGCCTCAACCAGCGAAATTATTTTTGGAAACAAATTTCCTATCATCAGATTCCAATACTCTAGCTGGATCCTTGGAAGGCCGAAAATAGACTCTATTCCAGAAACCAGTCTTCTACACGACAGCTTTCTGTACGACGTCCGTGCTCTTCAACTACGTCTTCACCATGTTTGCCGTGAAATCTTTCAAGCGAAAACAATGATAAATAAACGTCTCCCTACAATTCGAGTACAGTTCTTCAACAAACACAAGTGTTTTACTCGCAGCAAATTTGTCGGAGACTCCTCCTCCTTTAATCCAACTTGTAACACTTCACCTTATTCGAATTTGAGAATCGGAGGGCGTACAAAAGACGCCCAATTTGTCGAAAACATTCGATTTCTGGTTCCCAAAACCACACAGTCTTCATTCTTTTGAAATTTTCTGTCAGTGGTTTATCATTTCGCTCAAAAAAGTATTTGTTCTTTTTTGAAAAAAAAGAATGCTTCGAAGTTTTTCTCCATTCAATTTTCGGCTCAATCGAGAAACTTTCTGTGGGCCTGTTGTGCTCTGTGAATAGAACAAATGTGCAAAGGATAGCTGCCCTCAATTAACTGTTTTTTTTTTCCGAGGGATTTCCACAAATCGTTTTGTTTACGATTCAACACTATATCCAGTTTTTCCTCATGTTTTATTTTTTCAATACAACTATTCTCCATTCAGAGACTCCAATATCTGCAGTGATGAGCGTTTCCGCACTTCCCAACTCTGTTAAAAGTCAGTTTCAAACCTGTATTTCTTTAAAATCTAATTTTGAATTTTACAGACTTGTTCCCAGAGGAAAATCTCAAGTTCGCGGAGTCAATCACCGAAAGTGAAGCCAAGGTGCTGAGAGAGGTTGGTAGTCGATTTTGTTGCTTGATTTGAATGTCTTTGACACAGGCTTTCCAAAAACACGGATGTTTTGAAGAATGCGGAGAAATGATCAGCCACGTAAGAGAAAAGTCGCCGGAATTGGCCAGACGAATGCAGGAAGTCTGGATTTACTTTGGAAGCAAATCATGGAGGCCGATTTCAGGTTCTGGAGGCGAATAAGAATCGACTGAGTGGGTTGACTCCCGAAGCGATCGCCTACTCGAAAAGAGTAAGCTCATTTTGCAAACTAGAAACAGAAGATAAAGAAATTAGGAAAGGTTGTGTTATCAAAAGACGGAGCGATTCGAAAAGGGATGATGAAAAAAAAAATAAATAAAAAGTTTTGAAACCCTTTCTAAAGCCGAGTTACTAACTTTTCGTTCTCGAAGAAGATTGGGAATTTTTTTAAACAATCTATTGTGTTTAGGCCAAAATTTTCTTAAAAATTACCGAAACTTTGCAGGTCATTTGCATGGTAACTCGAATTTTGTGCAACTTGACCCTGGGGAAACCGGTCGACGAGTCGGAAGCTAATCGAATCACAGAGGACTTCAAGGTGTTCTTGATTATTCACAAATTGGATTAAATTAACTCGCAAAGTTTTATGATGTTTCAATTTTTTCCAGAAACTGTGCGACAGCGACCGTCTCGGCATGCAGAACAACAATCCAGACATCAAGTTTCAGTGAAAATTCTCATTTTGTACAGAACGGCTGTATCCCAGATAACCGGAACGAAAAGAAAAGAAAACCTTTATTGTAGAGATGTTTAATTTGAACAAATGATGAAAAACTTTCAGTAAAGATAGTTGGAGCATCGCATCAAACAAATCGGGTCCTGAAAAACACTGAAGCTGAAAAAAAAAATCTTTTTTGAACCTTTTCGAAATCTTCCAAAGCGAATTTTCTAGCTGCCGCTTTGCAGTCAATGGCGAAAGAGGAGCATTTCAGCTAAAAAATCTCTTTCGTTTGGATAAAATATCTTTTGAATCAATTTTCAAAAAACTGAAGGTTATGAGTAAAAAGAAAAGAAAAAAATACTCCTTCGGTGGTGCAGGCGCAAGAAGTACAAGGCGAGGTTTGACCTGTGGCGTGCAAATCAATCTTCTGATCTCCGACTCGACAGCTTTCTGAACAAGAATGTTTGCAATGTTCTTGAATTTTTCCATTACTTTGGTCTTCCCATTTGCTAGTATCGAGTTGTTTGAACAGAGAACAATCGAGTTGAGCATTTCTGCAAGAATTACAATAAATTTTTTTTTCCATGAGTCCCCTTTCGAACATTCGATAGTTAGAGAACGTGGTAAACAAGAAGGCGTTCAAAAAAAAAAGTCTTGCTCTCTCGTTTTTTACGCTGTATAACTATTGAAGATTCAAACCTACACTTTTTGCCTCGAAAAATTAAAATTAAAAAAATTGCGAGAGGAAGGTTTTTTATACTGCTTAAAGTTTATTATTAAATTTAGAAAACATACAGAAAATCGTCTGGGATGGAGAAGACGTCTCTCGCAATGTGAAGGGCCTTCGTGTTGGCGCAAATCAACGACGCCATCGAAACTTTTCTGATTTCATCCAACTGGCCTGAGATATTTTGTGAGTTTAGCACTGAATCATCTTCCAACTTGGCGTGAACTTGACGTGTTCGACGTTTGACTCGTAGAAAAACCTATCACATTGTTTGAGTATACGGAATTGCTCGCTGATGATACAGGCGGCAGTGGGACCGACGATGCCGCCGACGACATTTTTCTCGGAGATGATCCCGGTGAAGAGGTCGACGTCTTCTGGAGACTCGTAGACGCTGCCGAGCGCGTGGATCGTGTCCTCGCTGATGTCCGCGAAGAGCGAGTGGAAGGAACTCAGAGGTCTCAGACCACAATACTCTCTGGAGAACAAACAGTTTGTTCGATGATGATACGGAAAATTTTCATCTCATCAGAAGCTGAATTCATCATTAGATGTGTAAAACTCTTACAGAGAACCACTCGTGAGAGACGAAATAGAAATCCCTGATAATCATTGCTTATAACGGTTTCTCAGCTACGCCAAAGTGGTCCTTACAGGGGTAGGGGGAAAAAGGTATCTCTAGAAGACAAAAAAGGGTCCGTTGTAAATATAAAATTGAAGTGGTCTCTGTAGGAGTTTAGTCTGAACCGTTTAGACTGTAACCTCCGGACCCCCAAAAGCTCAATGGATACCGATTAAGTCTTTTAATCTTCTTTTTTTTTTAAGTTTATTGTATTTTCTCGCTTCATTTTTCCTTCATAAAACAGGCTCTGATCTCACATAAAAATTTCCGTTTTTAAAACCATCTACAAAAGAAAGCGAAAAAATCTTTTGACATTTTGAAAATTGCGTCAACCTGTAGCGATTATAAGGCGGGATGCCGTGCTCCCTTCCCCGTTGGATGTTTATTGCAGGCAAGTCCAGGCCGCTTCTCGGTTTCCCCGGCTGGGCGAACAAAGAATTCCTGACCGAGAATGTTCATTTTCTGATGACAGAAGTATTGCTACCTGAGGGCGTCATCGACGTGTCTGTCGGTCGCCATCTGCGGCTGTATCGACATTCCTCCCAAAATGCCTTCGATCGCTGAAAGTACCTCATACACCCACTTATTTTTCAAATCAGTCAACCTCGGTCTTCGTATATTTTCGTCATGTTCAACAGTTCCACGGCAAGATCCACCACATTCACCACGACGCCTTCTTCACTATCTACTATCGGAGTGTGTCGGAAAAAAAACCAGCTTAAGTGAATCCAGGTATTCATAAGAGAACCTTGTGACAGTAGAATGTCCGAACCGAAAAGCCGCCGTCGCAAAAGGCTGCAAGATGGAGGCGTCGCACTTATCGTCATACTCTTAATTAAAACCCTTTTCTCTTTCCCAATTTTTTAATTTGATATTTTCAACCTCCGAAATATCCTTTATCTAGAGGTCGCAACTTTTTTTGCGACATGAGTTCCTCCCCGATAATTTTTGGAAGATACTCGTTGTAGACGACGTGGGCGAACTCTGCAGACACTATTTTTCTCGTTTCCTGAGTTAATTCACTTGTGAAGTTTTGAATCGAAGATACAGACTTGATAGAGTTTCTCATCGTCCCAATGACCATTTATTTCTTTGAGGAGTTTCGCGAGACGGTCATGTTCCCGCAAAAAGACGGTTTGAATTGAAATCAGTAAGGTGTTCTGAGAGTTTCGATCATCTCCTGGAAAAAGTAAACAATTTAAAAGTTTGAAATAGTTTTGCAGTTCAACCTGCGAGGAAACACGGAAAACTGGGCGCCGACAAGCAGCCGTCCTGTTCGGTTTCATCCGAAGGCGGCAATGTTATTCTGAAGACAAACAAATGTTTCAAATTTCTTCGTAAAATCTGTATTTAGACTCGTTTTCGAACAGTTTCAAATAAATTGTGATAGCTTCACTTTGTTGAAAAAATTGAACGCCCAAAAAAAGCAACGCACCAGAAAAATGCCGAATCTCGATATTCTTTGTTCCCCATTTTGTTTTTAGTTTGATTACTTGATTCGAGAAGAATTTTTCCTAAATAAAAAAAGGCTGTACCCGAAGTGACTGAAACCGGAAAGTCTCGTCGATTTGAGTTTTCCATCCGTGAATTCACGTAGCCGCTGTGCCTCGCAGTCGGTTGAGCCGTAAATAACAGAGCCATCCAGAAACGCCGTGACCTGAGAAATTTCTGTTGATCTGTGATTTGTCGATGATTACTTGGTTCATCTGGTTTCGGTATCCTAGCGTTTTCTGAGCCGGAAGAGAGCGGACGAGGGGAATACAAATCGGCTGAGAAGAGGCGTCCGTGAAGAAGGGGTCGTCCGTCGGAATCGGTATAGGGAAACAAGAGGGCGAGACGCTCCGCACCGAATCGCATCTGAAGTTCATTGGAATCAAGTTTCAAAGGATAATTTTCAACTACCGGCTGAAAAATTGTTTGCCACCCACAGTAAGTCAAATCTCTAACGACTCATAGATAAAATGATTATCACTCCGACAGATTAAAAATGGAAGAAGCCCGACCTCGTACAGTTCAAAGGCGTTCCGTCAGGGTTTTGATCGATCGGAGAGTGAGTTATGTCGTGATCTATGAACTGACCCATCTCCATCAGCATGTGCGAGTACTGCAACCGAGCTAGATTTCTCGATATAATTACAGTTATCACTTTAGGGCTTCGAAATGGCGCTGCATGGTGAACTGCGTTGGTGATGGCTCTCGGGGAGGGAAGATCGTTCCCACTGGAAGACTTTGACCGAGGTAGGTCGACGCCTGAGAGACAAACCATTTCAATTTTTGAGAGTTTCAAAACCATCTTCATAGGCTGGATCCAAAATCCTTCTCAGTTCTGTGAAGGTATTTCCGTAGTGTGGCCTCTCAAGATTATTGCACCAGCCGGTGAAAGACCTGAACCGTCCGTTTGCCGCGCAATTTGAAAGAAAAATACGAGCCTGAAGGAAGAAGTGGGATCACAGGGCATGGGTCTTGGAATGCAGTCCGTTTTGATCCTAAACCCCCGATTATAACTGGATGAAAAACAAGGAATTCCAACTCTTTCTGAAGAGATGCGCCGATGGAAACTCCTTGTACTTCTGACAAGGCAAAGTGATGATCGAACACCAACTTTTTGGTTGCCTGAACTTCTATTATTAATATCCCTTTCTGAAAGTCTTCATCTTTTCAAAATCAACTGCTCTTTACGGATTATCATTATGGAAGAAACAGTGAGAACAATGACCTGCAAGAGAATGAGAGAGACGTTGGCTTCCTCGACGGCCTCATCTTTGGCCAGCATCATTCTTCCATGGGAATGAAAGGCACTTGGCCCCTTTTCCGCTGAAAATCAAACTTTCGGAGGATAGAAAACAATTGAAACTATCGAAATTGTCGTTGATACGCTGAGCGCGAGCACTGTTCACCGTTTCAATGCAATCTTCTAAAACTTCTGCGAACCTGAACCCTTTTTTTCAGAAATATCTTCTCATTCAGGTGACCTGTTATCTGCTGGTAAAGAAGTTTCTTCAATCCAGTTTTTCAAGGAGGGATTCCCAAAACTCGAAAAATTACAGAAAATGGGCGAATTTCTGAAAGTTCCAGTATAATAAACAAGTGATTCAGATCCTACAAGAATATATCTGCCACGATAAAAGGATTCGGCTGAATTTTCAGTATTTCTGAGTGTCTGCAAATCAGAGAAGCCATCGTAGTTTTGCGGACTTCGTCCAGTTGTTTCTCATTCAAATATCGCTCGTACCATAAGTCATCGCCGAACTTGGTCTAAAGAGACTACAGATCTTCCCAAGAGAAAGAAGAAACTTTTTGGAACTGCCGCGCAATGATGCAGCTCAAAGTCGGGACCGAGAAGAGAGCCGTAGGAGGGCTTTTCGGACAGAGCCAGCACCATCAAGTCCACGGCGGCAACCTCAAGCTGGGAGGTCTGTTTCAGCCTTATTTATAACAAACATTGTCGTAAAGCTCTTGGACATTTCGTATAAATTCTGGATCCGCTGCCAATATTCTTTGAAGATCATTGAAAGATCCAACCTGCAAAGGTTTTTTATTCGTTTACGGTACATTCTTCGACTTCCTCTCCAACGCAGAGCTGTCTCCACTGTGCATAGGTGCCGATGGAGTGATCTCTTGACGTCATCAGCATCGACGACGTCATTTCATAGCCACTGCTCAACTTTTCTTTGGCTTCATGAGGTCCTGGGTAGAGAGCAACAGTGTTCAGAAGGTCCCTATTTATCATAGCATTTTTTCCTTTTTCAAACTTTCGTTACTCGACGTTTTCGAGGTTTGCTATTGACTTGAAAGATCCTTCTCGCATAAAGTTGAAAAACTAGAATTCGAGATGAATTTTCGAAAGATCGTTCCAACAGACCAGGCCAGCTCCCACAGCATAATCGTTCAGAGTATTCAATTCGACGCTCTGCTCGGTTGATAGTTTTGATAAACCAATATTTTTGCTGAAAGCTTCATGAAGTTCAAGAGAAATACTATTCATCCGAACAAGTCAAAATTTTCCAACCATATTTTTTTCTCCCAGAATAAGAGGAAGCCATTCCGTGAAAGCAATGTGCTGTAGTTCGGCTATAACAAACTTCCGAGCTTCTTCAAATAGTTGAGTCGATGTCAGCCTTGGCAGCAACACCTTAAACTGCTCGATTTTTTCTCTTCTCAATGAAAAATGAAACCTTTAGTTGTTCTGCAGCCCAGTTATGTTCCTCTATGATCAATTTTCCGAAAAAGCTGGCAGAAACAGCAACCGTTGGAATTTTGCCTCAAATGACTTACCTTTTGAAAAATTTGAACACATAAGTATCCAAAGCCGTAGACACTTACTTCATGAACATCATATAATAAACACTTTGTAAAATTTTTAATATGGGATGCATAGCAAGTTCAAAGCCATTCTGAATAAAATGAACAATAAAACAAACCTCGGTGTATATTACTGAGTTTAATTGAAAATAAATAAAATATATTTAATAATAAAACATTATTAATAATAAAAAAATAGAAATTAACCTCTATGTTAAAAACGCGTTCAAGTAGCAGAAGGACGCAATTCTACATCCTAACGCGCAAACTTTTTAGTGACATAAATATATATATATATATATATATATATATATATATATATATCTTATATAAATATATATTTATAATTTATATATAAACTGATCGAAAACTTTTCGCTTTTTCTTGCGAGCTTTTTCCACCCTTTTATCATACTTTGGCGATGTCAATTACACTTATAATTACAATTATTTTTCTTTTCTTTTTCTGATAGATCAACGAGCTTTTTTGTGGAATAATGGTCGAGATGCTTTTTTTGCTTAAAATTTTTATCAAAAGGCTCGCGAAAGGCTAATGCCGTTTTCAATATAATAAACATGGGTGATAAAAAAATTGGCTATCTATATATTTTAAGAAATATTTGCGAAAAACTGATTTTTCTAATTACCATCAACGGAAGGAGTTGAGATCTGATAGATGTGCCCGGCGTCGAGAGTCGCTGTGGCTCCGTTCATCTGCTCGCGTGGCCCCAAGGAGCATTTTCTCGTGGGAGCCGGCGAAGATCTCACGTAGCACTTTCCAGGTCTAATTTTTCACTAACATATAATTATAAAAAAAAAAACTAACTCGGTCTCAAAGCATTCTTCGCTTTCTCTTTCCATAAAACAGCAAGAAGATCCATCTAAAAATGATATTTGAAAAATAAAATGGGTCATCAAGAATAAAGTAACCTCCCAGCTTGATGATTTCCACCAAATCTTTGTATACGAACGCACTGAATTCTACGAAAACACTTGTTAATGACGATTTCTTCCAATTCTTTTTGCTGAGATCATTCTCAAACTTATCCGACTTCTGAGGAAAAAATACTTGAAAAGTCGGCTAGCGACAAAAGAAGGATGCGGCAGGATCTTTCCTTCGAAAGAAAGTGGCATTTTCGAAATCCCTGAAAAAGTAGACATTTTTTTCCGGATTCGGTATTGTTCCCTTCACCATCTTCATAATTTGGAAGGAAATTTCTAGCAAAAGGCGAAAATTCTGCCCCATCATGAGCATTTTTGTGGTTGGAGCATCTAAAGTTCAAGTTTATCGGGTACCGCTATACTTCCCGGACATTCCATCTAGACGACGGTACGGTCTATTGAAGCAGCGAAGTTTTTTGATCGGACAAAACTTCCAAGGAAGTTTGTAGTTTTTCCTGGAGCTTTTCATTCAGAATGACGTAGAGAAAGGCATCCAACCTCTTCAGAAGTCTTGTTAGTTTTATTGAAGTCAGTGCTGCGATGCTGTTGTTTCTCATTTTGAGCTCGCGATTTGTTGGAAAAGCTACAGTGGGAAATTCTGAACATTCCGAATAAGTTCATTTTCAAATGAAAAGAGAAGGAACTTCCCAAAGGTCTCACCTTGTTCAGCTTCATACAAAGCTATGTGAAATATTTTGTCGAGTTCTGAAAACCTTTCATTAAAAAAGGCTTCAATGTTAGAAAGGATTAAGGAAAAAAATAAACGGCTCACCATCAAAGCTTGCAAGCTGACTGAAATAAAGAATAGCGAAAACGAGTAATCTCATGATTCAGAACGAAATATTAACTTTGCAAAGTTCAAAGAATTTCAACGACCAGAACCGGCCAAAGACTTTAGAAGACTGTAGGAATACCTCCAGAGGTGACCTACTTCGAAGAAACTTTCCGTCCGAAGAACTTTTTCAAGAATCTCTCCAGACCTGTTTTCCACTGCTTTTTCTCAGGTTCTATTCAAATCTCCCGTTGTTCTTTTTGTTGGCTTTCTCCGACACGCGTGCAGTCAATTGCTTCATTTTTTGAAAAAAAGAAGATTTATGCGATGATTCACAAAGTAAATTGGAAGACTGTAGGAACGCCTCAAACTTTATTATTTTTTAATGAGCGGGATTTTTGGGTAATTTTGTAGGACATTTTCCAGTTACGAGCATTTTTTTATAATTGAGGGCTTCCACTCTAGTTCGTTCAAGTTTTCAAGTAACAAGTTCAAGTGAATTGTTCCAATCATAACTTCGCTCCGAGGAGGAAATAACGGGAAACTTCAGCTTTTCAAATTATTTTTTCTAGTGGAAAAACGCCAACTTAAGATAATCCCAATTCGTTCGATTTCATCTTTAATTGCTTTCCAATCTTTTTATCGGCCATTTTTTTTTCAACAAAGCATATTTTTGGGCCTACATTCTTTCGAGCCTGATCT